AATAATTTGATGCGTTTATGCACAAGTTTGCTTCATTTTTTAAATCTCTATCAATTGCTATTACTGTATTAGGCTAGGGGCTTTGAAATTTGAATAGAGGATCGAATTGATTCCCAGTCCTAGCAAATATGCGGTCGCTTTGATATCTCCATCTGCCAACATCGGCGAGCTAATAAACCATAGCAGACAATGTTCGAGGTCTCTGTAACGTCACAGGACACAGGTCGGATCAATGTGCGATAGGTACGAATGCTTTCAGGAGTTTCATTAACCCTTTGTGCTTTCGGATATTCTGATTGGCCTATGTACTTTGAAAAGTTATTTATTTTGTTACTATTCATTACTTCGAAATAGTTGTTAAAGGTAATTATAAATTCATACATAACATCTATTGTTTTACGTTTATGTATGTCTATGGGCTCAATGGTTAATAGTGAAACATGCACTTTGTTGTGTTGTGTTGATATTATTATTTTAATTTCTTATTTAGTCCGTGAAATTTAAAATAAGTATGTATGATGTGTAAACGCGTAATAATAATTAAATAGTTGCAAGTATTTGTGTCGATGAAGTTTTAGTAAGGCTATCCTTGACTTAAAACAAGTATCCTTAAGTCTAAAGATTTCCAAATGTCCCCAAAATTTGATCATCTTTAAATAAATAAATAATTTAATCCTAATTTTGAACAAAATATAACTAGCTGTACTAAATGGAAGTGATATTGACTATAATATATGAAAATGTCAAGCGAAGAGAGCAAACACTGTAGCGCAAACCGTGGAATATTCCTGCAAAGCTCAGCTTTATCTTCAACGCGTCTTGCATACGCGTAGCACTCTAGATAAGAACGTTTATTTTGGAGAATATTTACTTCTAAGTATCGCATCTAATACGTGACCCCTACGACCGTAATATTACACCATACTATGAAAATAATTACTTAAAACAGTTACAATTTTCAACAGCGAACAAATAGTTTTCACTCAGGAGTCAGGCCGTACAAACATCTAACTGGTAGCGCTAGCAAGACGTGATATAGTATTCTCAACATATTGTGAATACTCAATGTTGATATCTGCAGCTGCCCGATGAATACCAATGTATTATCCTGAAGAATTCCAGCGCAAAGGGCGTAGCACTACTTACAAAACGGCTTAGTTATTAATTTTTAGTAGCAACATGATATCAATACATGAGAATAAAAAAGAGCTCCCTGTTAACAGTGGTAAAGCCCTAGGTCATCTTTAGCCACGTAGGGGTAGGTAATATATCTAAATAAGTATTTTACCTACCTACGACCTATAACCTGAGGATAACGAACAGTAACGTATTATGAGATGTAAGAGCAAATCAACGCTGTAATAAACGAAAGATACAACTTCTCACTGCTTTTGATGATACCAAGGGAACGGTGGTGTTACGTTTATTAAAACTTACATTGTCAATCGCTCGAGGCTAACATGTAAGTTCACTGAGATAGAAGCTATAAACCAGTGTTGCTGATGTTTCTCGTTAATTAACAAGACTTATCGTTTCGGAACTAACTTGTGCGTCTGAGTGGAAACTGAACTAGTGAGAATGTGGAAAGGTTGCCCAAGGCTTAACATGCATACAGATGTCATTGAAGTAAATTAAACTCAAGTTTGTAGAAAAAATAAGGTTTTGATTTTATGACTTATTTATGAAATACAGAGAAAGCTTTAAATCAAAACCCATTTAAAAATAAATTTAGTTACATTATACTATCTTCAATAAGTATTAAAAAAATATTAATTGCAATTTTCTTATTTATGAATGTACTTATTTTAAACAAGATTTATGTATGATATATAATAGAGAAGCTTAGTCTTAAACATAATCCTTTTTTTTTTTAATACAAAAACAAATTAAATTTAGAAAACACGAAAGCATCAATAGCATGACTCATGAGCACCAACATAATTACTAATGTCTTTAATTAACTTAATACTCTAGTTCTAATTGATCACTTTACAGACAATTGGTCGTGTCTAAAACGTCTCTCAAATATCCCAATAATTGGTCTTTGTAAACATATCTATATAAAATATAAGACATTATTAGCAGGTCTTGATACAAAGTAACGTTAGTGGTGGAAAACTTTACGCTTCTGTCACCTTATTATTTATGTAGATTGACTTCAGAAAGTTTATACAGCGGTGACGTTGAGTTTTAACTGCGTTTAAACTTGTAGCTTCAGCGCACAAATTAAGGAAAGTTACTGAACGTTCCTATACTTGACAAAAAAACATAAATATAATTTAAAAAAGGCTGAATTCTTTGCTAATGGTCCTTAATGATGCAGGTGTGAAATTTTTAGATGTCATAATAACATTAGATTTACTGCGTATTCCACATTACACCAAAACAGGTAATCCTAAATACACAAAACTTAAATAATAAATTTAGTTTAAGAAACTGGGGGCCTACCATGAACTTTCTTAAAACAATCCAGTTGAGATGCAGCGGAGTTTAGGTACCTAAAGTCAATAGCATTTTTTCGTACCATGACCGCCTATAAGCTGAAACGTATTAGCATCGCAAGACCGAATTTTTTAATCTAAAGGACTTTGATACGCCTAACTTAGTGCCGAAAACTTCGCTCTAAATATATAAAAATAAAATATTATTTTATGTGGGATTATTACCGTTAGATATGTGCCTAATGTTATAAACGCACGTAACTTACGGTAATAATTAAATAACGCACTGCAATTTTAATTTCCTCAACATCCATTTTGAAGCGCGCTGTATTTGCACTGACGAGTGACGAGTGCGAAGTGACTAGTACGGTTTTGGCGGTTGGCCGCTAGCCCTTAGCGCGAATTATAATCCTTGTCTGTCAAATTATACGTTATCTTATGATTTAGATACGGGAGTCGCACTAAGCGCTAAGACTCGTTTTAGAATCGGCCCTTAGGTTGTGACATCGAACTCATATCTGTGGTAATATAATGAATATAGAGGACACTTCTAAGTCTGTGGTACTAAACTAATAATTAATCTGTGGCCACAGACTAGAAAGAGAGACTGGGGTGAACCACCAAACTGATTCCCAATTCCCATTGTAATTTGTGATTGACAAAATAGTTTATAACACCGGGCAGAACACATATGTTGATTTCTAGACCCATTCATATTTCTATTTGTTGTAATCATTTCATTTCTTTCCTAAGTTTTCCGAAATTTCCTTTATAAAGTTGTATGAAACAAAATAGGTAAGCTTTTTTTAAATTGGCATAAAACATTTTGGTGTTAACTTTTCATTTTATGAACTAAGACCAGCCTTTTTTAATTCTAAATTTCAGATGATGCAGAGAATAATATCCATTGCAAGATCTGTTATATCCAAACCTCTATTTTCAACTAACATCTTAAATACCTCAGTGGCAAAATACAGTATTCTACATAGAGTATGCAGTGAGAAGCTACTTAGACCTTCGTTGCCCATGATAACCCCTACTTGTAATTTAAAAGTAAAAGGGAAAGCAAAGAGACGGTGTAGGTCATGTTATCTTGTTTACAGGCAAGAGCGTTTATTTGTTATGTGTCATGAACATCCAAGACACAAACAAGTTCAGAGAGCACCAAGACCAATCAATACATGGGTATTAACACATGCAAGCCAAAGTAAAATCAGACCATGGTGATAACCATAATTATTTAAAAATATATCTTGAGTTGTATAATATAGTTTAAAAATAGATGTTGTAGTTTAATTTTAGCATTAGCAGCTTGATTCTATAACATGTAGGTTTTTTTAACAAATTGTAGGTGTACCATTAATACAAGGTTTATTATATAAAATATGGTTAAAGGTAAAAAAATATACATTTCTGTAAATTTTAATAAAAAAAACTATTACTATCATATTTGCTAGTTTTAGTATTTTTATATACTTAATACTAAAACTAGCGTTTCAATTTAAACAAATATGAGACTTACTGAGCAGAAACGTATAAAAATAGAATTATCACAACTGTTGAAAATGGAACATGTTGATAATTAAAATACTAGCATACTGGCTTCTCATGGCCAAAGTTATGATTTTTAATATTTTGAAAATAAATATAGCCTGTTACTGTGGAACAATGTAGCATTCTAATAGTGAAAGAATTTGAAACTGTTCTGGTAGTTTTTGAATTTTTCATTACAGAAATATTAATCTTTACTCTGTATTTTATCAGTATAGATGTGGACATAACTATCTTCTACCACATTAATCATGTACTGTTTGGATTAATACCTACAGCTGAATTCTAGATAAAGACATTGAGGCAGAGTAATTCCACTCATATCACCGTGATGTTTGTTATTCCGTGACTGCTCAGTCATTACACTTCTCTACACTGTCACACACCAGCAGGTATTTCCAAACCAATACAACTTAAAGTCCATAGAGAAATTACCATTGATGTACCTATTCCTGAAAATATGGAAACTCTAGCGAGATTTTGTCCAGTGTTTCCATGGGTGCCAGAGTATCACTGCAATCTTTAACAGTTGACTAAATTTATATTATTTAAAAATAATAAGTACTTTATTTTAGATAACATGATCATTAGATAAAACAACTTGAAAGTAAATTGTATAAATAAATCAAATGATACTTAGAACATTCTTTTGTTCCCCTAACTTCTTTAACCTACTAATAATTTTTTTTTTTTTAAAAGACAATTCACACCAATTGACCTAGTCCCATGCTAAGCTGGTGAAGCTTGTGTTATGGGTACTAGGCAACGGATATACATACATATTATAGATAGACATATAAATACATATTCAAACATCCAAGACCTAAGCACAACACCAAATGCTCATCGCATCGATGTTTATCTCAGCCGGGGATCGAACCCGGGACCCATGTATAGTCAGGGGTACTAACCACTAGACCAATGAGTCGTCAAACTATAATATATACTATAATAATAACTAATGCAAGTTGAAATTGACTAAAAAATTAAGTTTATATCTTCATAAAATCATGTATCTTCTGTATTAGGACTACCAGATGGCAATTGCGGTTCCTGTATTGACATAGATCTGAAAATATTTAATGACTATGTATTTGCAATAGTTTTAATAAACATAATAATGCAATTACCACATAATACAATATGCTTTACTAAGTTGTTATATGTTAACAGTTACTGCTGCTAATTTATGTGCAGTTTTCACAAAAAGCACTTCTAATCCAAAACCAAATATATAATTGCCAAAATTAAGTATCTACTCATCTAAAACACTAATGATCTAATACTGAATTACCTTATACCCAATGAAGTTTTAAAATGATTATACATAATACTATTTATAAAATACCTTAAAATTTGAGACATATTATCGATGTCGTCTCCATTTTCATGATTATTTTCAATGGTATCAGTATGATCATCCAGAATGTTAGCAGTAATATTCACAGTATTCAAATCAACCTGCTTAGGGCAAACTTTTAGAATTCCTGCTATTCCTTAAAAAAAACAAAATTAAATATAACAAAGTGGAATTTGGCATTGTTTTTTATAATGTTAAACAATATGGCAGGCACATATATATATTTTTTTGTCATTTTATCAAATAAATATTTTAGGAATAAAATTGTACCTATAATTTCATTTCTATGGAGCCCCCCATTTTATTACCTTTAGATGGATGAGTGTGGGTATCCCTCTTCACTTTCCTTTTTCTACGTGGATCACTCTGCCTGTATTGTATCATCTGGGTAAAGTCTACACAGTAAACTGCACCCGCAACTAATAATTTACACTCACTCTTTCCATCATTGAAATCTGATTCTATATCTTCATTACTTCTTTCATCATAACTCCACCACCCTTAAATTATAAAAATTATTATTACTTTTTACTATTTATAAAACTGTCTTATGATATTTGTTTTTACATAATATCAATCTGGATTATACAAATCTGCCATAGGTTAATGGGCAAGGTTAAACTTGTATGGAGTCTTAGTTATTAAAATTTTAAAAAATTATTATCAGTATAAATAAAAAATTTTTTTTTGGTACAGTATTAAGGGTGTTGAAACATCAATATAGACAAATATTTTATATATTTGCTTTAAAAGGGTGCGTCAACATCTGTCGAATGTGCAGCTCGCATTTTTTATTTAAAACTCTAAAGTTCTAAGGCAAGAATGACTATTTTTGCCCGTCAAACTAAAACAATTATTGTTTTGCCCACAATCAAACACAGGATTTGCATTACCAACTTAGCCAGAATAGCAGTGTGTTTTACAACACACATTTTTGGTATCCACCACCTTGATTGAAGGTAAGATTTAAGATTCAAAATTTAGCACAAAGTATGATGCCAAACAAACAATAATCTCTATGATTTCTTACATACAGGAGCCACATAAGCAGTTTTGCCCTAGAGGCTTCAGTATGCGTCTCTCATCCCTGAGGTTGTGGGTTTGAACTCTGGCTGTAACTTTATGCAATTAACAAACTCTCATACAGTGAAGGCAAACATGAGGAAACCGGTATGTCGTTATACCAAAAAATCTATGATGCCACAGAAGGCTGATCACCTATTGGAAAAACTATCTCTCAATCTGTTTTGTGATCATTTGATCACAGAACAGATATCTGAGGTCAGACCTTAAAAGGATGTAGCGTCACTAGTCGAGTTCATGTATAAGTCTTAAATAACTTACCATCTTGACCTTCATAATACCACCAAAATTTATTATCAACATATTCATCAGTTTCAGTTTTTTCATCCAGTATTTCTTTTAAAAGCTGTGGATTATCCAGATAGTCCTCAGGTATTGGTGAACGACACATTGGACATTTATGACTTCTTAGAAATACACCCTGAATATAAATATTTTTGTGTCATGATAAGTTTTCATTCTCTTTTAACTAAAGAAATTTGTTCAATAAAACAGAAGATATTATAGAAATATTGACTTATTTATTAGAACTTCATATGTATGTAAGTTTCATAGAAACACATAAGTTTTCTTTTTGACACTTTATAGCATTAAATTTTGAAAAAATACTAACTGGCTTCAGAAATTAAAATTACCTTGATGCAAAGAAAACAAAAAATATGATCACAGGGAAGCTTTGCTGGATGATTATACTTTAACATACACACTGCGCAATCACCTTCTGTAAAAAGAAAATGGTATGTTCTAAATAAACTAAATTTTCTGTAAAAATCTAGGCAAGTATATTAGGTCATAATAATCTCACTACTACAACATTCAAATGTTTACAAAAAAATATATAAGTATGTATCGGAATTGGATCATACCTTGAATACTATCCATCGTAATAAACTTAAAATAAAAAATAAGTATTTAATTAAACGCGTTTTAAATTGCGTTATACTGAAATTTCTTATATATTATTTGTAGTGTAGTGTGTAAAAAAATAGCACTCATGGGGTTAAAATTTAAAGCATTTTCATTTCTCATATGGACTATTTGTATTTTGTACACTAACACCACTGACCAGTGACCACACTCCAGTCTCATAAATAAACCACAGTTATATCTGAAAGTCAAATAACAGCACAGATTACGTAGTAGTGACGAAATCTTAATCTTATGGCGGTTGTTCATAGATGTTCTGACATTTAATTAAGAGAACGAGTGTGACATAGCTCATAAATCTGTAAGGGCTAGTTGATCTAGTTCTTAGGGTAGGAAATTAAACACTCCAATGATGGATTTGATTGAAATGAAATGAAATGAAATGAAATGAAATAGTTTATTCTTGCAAGTAGGACTATATAAATCACTTTTACAATGTCATCCTAAACTAGATGAAGTCGACATTTCCTAACTGACTGCCCTGAGAAGAAATGTCGAAACAAACTCGGGGGTCTTAGTCTCTTTTATAGTCCAGATAATACAATAATAAATTAATAAATTGGTGTAAACAAATGCAGAGTATTTACTGGACTGGTCTTTGGAAGAAAGAACCAGATCGATCTGACCAAGCCTGTGCCAGCAGACGGCGTCTTTACTTGACTGGTATACATTTAGATGGGTATTCATGTACATTCTCCCATAAATATATTAACAAATGCGACGGAATCGTAATATCTCATAAAAATAACATTAACCTTAATATTACTGTAACCAGCGTTTAGATACAAACTGTTTAGTTTCAAATAATAATGCTGTTATTATATCAATTTACAGATCACCTTCCTTTTACAATGTTGATAATTTTCTCGACTCTCTCGAAAACCTCATTTAATCGTACAATGGACACCCTATTTATATAGTTGGGGACCTTAATATCGTCATTATGGAGACGACCGACGGTCACAGAGCTCATAAGTTTCTTGAGTTAGTGAACTTCTACGGTATTATACAAGGACATTTCTTACCAACCCGTGGAGGAAATTGTCTAGATCATGCACTCATCAGATCACATTGACCTCAATAATAATTTTGTAACTAACTATGACCAACTGTAAGTATAAAGATTTATCAGGGGAAGATTGGAGCTTTCTATATAACATCAAAAATATAAATGAAACAGTTGATGCTTTCACAAGCACAATTGCAATTTCAATTAATACCAACTCAAAAATCATATATAAAAGAAATTCTAATAGTATTAGAAAGCCATGGATCCAATTCCTGAGTTGCTACGCTGTGTTAGACGACGAAATTATCTGCATGTCTTATCAAGAAAATAACCTAACAACGAACCGCTTTAAAGGGAATATACGCAATATCGAAATTTCTGTAATAACATCCTTAAAAACGTTAAAAATTTACATGCGACTGACACCATCCTTAAGAATAAAGATAATTGTAAAAAATTATGGAAATCTATCAAAAATATATGCCATTTAAACCAAACTAAATCCAATTCTAACAAACTGCTATCTATAATCTACAGGAAAACCCTGAAAAGTCTCTCGATATTGTGAAGGGTTATTTCAGTTCGGTGGATAATAAATTGGCTTCCGATATATCTAAGACAAACCAGACTAAACAAGACCTTTGCTATAAAGTATCAATTACAGCTAAATCAAATTATTTTCTATTCCTTCCTTGAGATGAGCGGGAAGTTATAAGAATTATTAGTTATCTTTAGCCTAATTCTGCCCCAGGTGATGATAATATAAGTCAAAAATCATTTATTCATGTAGGTAACACAATGTACACTTATGAACGTCAAATAAAAGAAATATACATAAAATGCTTCTAATTTTACATTTACTGCCAGTTCTCAAATCAAGGGCGTATAACGGTAGAGAAGAACTGGCAATAAACTGTCCGCCACTCCTTTTTATTCACCAAGTTTTTGTTTTACACAACGTTTGTAAGGAGCTGCAACCATTACACCATGTTCCACGTGATATCTTAAGCAATAAATAATAATAAAATAAATTAAAAACAAAGATTTGTCCTCTATCAGCAGGAGGCATGGTGAAATAGGAGCACGCACTTACATTCTCGTGGGAACAACACGCAAATACATAGTGGAAACCACTAACATCACCGCATACACGTGGAAGCTACTATTCTTTTTAAAGATATCTATATTTTTCTGTACATACAAAATATTCTCATAAATGTATTGATTGACTTGCCAAAGTCAAAATATGTAAGTAGTCCAGTCAAATTATGGCTAAAAACGGGTTAAATAAACATGAGCGAACACAGTTTGGGGATTTTGAGGATCGATAGGGGGGTGTATTCTGAGCATAAATTCCAATTTGAGGGGTTGTACTGAGGTCAGCTCAAGGTCATTTCGATGGAAACGCGTTTAATTCGATATCTCGAGAATGGTTAGTGTTAGGCGAAAAATTGTAGAGACCTTTTCTTTTCCTAACTAAATTTACTAACTTTTTTAACTGAAACTTTTTTTTATAACATTAATATTTTTCAAGTTATTACTCCCGCAAGGCAAAAATTTTACTTTTTTTTCCATTTTTCGTCGTTTTCTCCCCAACCATTCAATTTTATTAAATTTTACCGATCATCGAAGTGTAGATCTTTTAATTATGAACAATTTTGTTCTAAAGCTTTTTTCCGTAATGCCAATACCTTCGTAGTTATAGATTACTTTACCGAGCGAAATCCGCGCCATTGTCGCAACGTGTATCCACACTGTTGCGTATTAGTGCGAGTTGAAACACTTATAAAAGCCAGTGTGATAAGGGGACATAAGGAACATGAGCGCATGTTAACGTCTCTATCGAGTATAAGGTAATATTAATTATTTTTTTACCGTTATAAAAATTATTTTCCATAATTACAAAATTTTCTAGTGTTTACTCCTGGTATTAATTTTTTATTAGGGTGCATTCTTCGTGTCAAAGACATTATGGAGATGAGAGAGCTGCTGCAGCTGTTGTACGGCGAAGTTTGTCGTCAGACTCTTCGTCGTCATTGCCATCATTGACACCTTTACCCGTACCAGAAGAAGAGGAATTCGATTTCAAAAATGCGTGCTTCATTTGCACCGAAAATATCCCCGAAAACGTCCAAGAAACCAACCAACGCGTACGCCACAAGCAACGAATTCGAATAAGTACGGTGAGGTCATTTTCAGCGGTGAAAAAATCTATGTTGTCGATCTTAAAGAGCCGAAATGATGAGGTGTCTCAGTCGGTTATTGTGCGTATACGAGAAGTTTCTGATGATGTTGGTGCTGGCGCAAGATACCATCACAAATGCTGGCTCGATTTAAAGGTTGAACCGAAAAGGGGAGTAAATTAATGAGATCGATTGCGTGCAAATGCAAAACCAAATGCGGCAAAGCGTGCGGATGCAGAAAGGCCGGCCTCTTTTGCTCAGTGATTTGCACCAATTGCCAAGAGAACTATTGTTCGAATGTCGCGAACGTTATCGACGATGATGATCTTGACGCAATGGACGAGGACGACGTATGCCCCGATACCGTCAGGACCACGAATATTGTGAGGAATTGAATCTGGATGATACAACTGTATTTCTCGGAATCACCATGGATTCAAAACTTCAGTGGTCCCCTCATATTAACGGATTGGCGAAGAGACTTAGTTCTGCAGCCTACGCGGTTAAAAAAATTCGCTCACTAACTGATGTCGATACAGCTAGACTTGTTTATTTTAGTTACTTTCATAGCTTAATGACTTATGGCTTATTATTATGGGGTCATGCTGCTGATGTCGAAACTATTTTCATCCTGCAGAAGAGGGCTATTCGTGCAATCTATAATTTAAAATGTAGGGAATCTCTTAGAGATAAATTCAAGGAAATTAATATACTTACCTTTCCCTCGCAATATATTTATGAAAATATTATGTATGTATACAAAAATAGTGATAAGTTTACTAGAATAGAACATACGCACAATGTTAATACACGGAACAAACGCAGGCTGCAATTTCCCCCGTACTAGACTATCTAAAGTTAGTAATTCTTTTTTGGGGAAAGGGATACTCTTCTTTAATAAAATCCCAGAGGCTCTTTTATCACTGCCTTTCAATAAATTTAAGAAATGTATTAAAGAAAAGCTGTGTAAAAAGGCTTACTATAAAGTCAACGATTATCTAGTTGATAAAAGGGCCTGGGACTAGTGCTAGACAGGCTACTTCTAATCAATTTGCGATATTTGTTTTAAATAAGTGTTGTTTGATGATTTGCTGTTTTAAAAGAGTACCGAGAGTTTTTTACGCCGGCTTTTTCTCTCGGCCTACACCCTCTGTCTTCTTTGCCGATGAGTAGGGATGCCTTCAAATTTAATGACGTGGAATAAGTGATACATGTATCTTATGTTCCATAATAAACATATTTTATTTTTTTTATTTTTTATTTTATTCACGCATCACTTCCATCGACCTTGGGTGCTTAATATTCCGAATTTTATAACCTATTTTTCTATCAATAAATGTGTGAAACAGTTTTAATTGTTAATTTACTTCTTACCCAAATTTACCCAAATTAAGTACCTAATTTTTAAATAGTTTAATCGATTGACCTTTTTATATTGCGACAGTGGCGCGGATTTCGCTCGGTAAAGTAATCTATAACTCCGAAGGTATTGGCATTACGGAAAAAAGCTCAGGAACAAAATTGTTCATAATTAAAAGATCTACACTTCTTTGATCGGTAAAATTTAATAAAATTGAATGGTTGGGGAGAAAACGACGAAAAATGGAAAAAAAGTAACATTTTTGCCTTGCGGGAGTAATAACTTGAAAAATATTAATGTTATAAAAAAAAGTTTCAGATAAAAAAGTTAGTAAATTTAGTTAGGAAAAGAAAAGGTCTCTACAATTTTTCGCCTAACACTAACCATTCTCGAGATATCGAATTAAACGCGTTTCCATCGAAATGACCTTGAGCTGACCTCAGTACAACCCCTCAAATTGGAATTTATGCTCAGAATACACCCCCCTATCGATCCTCAAAATCCCAAAACTGTGTTCGCTCATGTTTATTTATTTCGTAATTTGACTGGAGTAAAGTCCTTAAACTTCCTTCGGACTGACTCCCGTGGGAACAACCCACAGATCGCTCTTATAGCCCGCTTTTGCACTACAAATATCGATTTAATGACAGCTGCATTATCCCACAAAATAACACCATATGACATGATACTATGAAAATATACTGCTCAAAACAATTAGCGGAACAAGATTTTTCTCCTTTCTATTGCTTAAACTAAAATTAGATTTAAATTAACTTGTACGCTATTTTTTACCTTGTTAATTTGTTAATTACTACAATTAATAAAAAAATTCAATTTGTATTTTTTTTATTAAAAAAAAATAAAATGTGCATTGTAGACGAAAAACTAATTGGTGATAAAAAAGGTCCATCAAAGAAATATTCTTATATCGTTTGAATATTCGTCTTTAGTGACTTTCAGTAACGTGTGTGGCCTCCATGAGCCCTAATCACGGCTTGACAACGACGCGACGCGGCATGCTTCGTATGATCCTCCGAATATCTTCTTGTGGAATTCGCTCCCATTCTTCAATCAACGCTTCAGTGAGCTGCTGCAGTGTTTGAGGTGCAATCGGACGCTTCCGGATGCGCCTGTCAAGCAAGTCCCAAATGTGTTCAATTGGATTTAGGTCAGGGCTCATGGAAGGCCACTCCATTACACGGATTTCCTGCTGTCGTAAGTAATCTGACGTGATGGCTGCAGTATGCGGCCTGGCATTATCTTGCATTAAAAGAAAATCTGGGCCCGTACCATATGCTGCGGGCCAAACATGATCTTCGAGCATATTTTCAATGTAAGTTTGAGCACACAAGCGCCCGGGAACAACGACGAGATCTGTGCGCTCGTCCAAACTAACTCCGCCCCAAACCATCACAGAGCCACATCCAAATTTGTCATATTGCTGGACTGCTGCTGCACTGTATCGCTCGCCTGGGCGTCTGTAAACACGGAGACGACCATCGCAACGTGTTAGACGGAATCGTGATTCGTCAGTAAAAAGCACTGGCCTCCAATGTCGAAGTTGCCAATTAGCGTAATTTTGCGCGAACTGTCGGCGAGCTTGTCTATGTTGAATTGTTAGACGCACAGCCCGAACTGGTCGGCGTGATCTCAAATTGGCTTCCAACAACCTATTTCTTACCGTCTGGTCGGAAATTTCTACACCAGTAGCCGTCCTTAGTCTATTTTGTAGATCTCTTGCAGTTGTGGTGCGGTTACGTAAAGCACAGTTGACGATGTAGCGATCTTGCAAACGTGTAGTTTTTCTCTTTCGACCTTGACCACGCCTTCGTGAGTATTCTCCCGTCTTACGGTATCGCTTCCAAAGTCTGTAGATAACAGAAGGGGCTACTCCTAGATCATTTCCTACATAACGCATAGTTCGACCCTCTTCAAGCAAAGCGATAGCTCGGGAGACATGCAATTCAGTCAGATCTGGCATTATGACCTAAACTCACTCGCAACAATGAATAACAATACTCAAAAGGCTCACTTAAATTTCTATTAATACTCAAAAGATTGAAAAAAACTACTTAAAATGTGTTTTCTGTGATTAGAAAGTAATGAAAATTCAAAGACGTCACTTTGTTTTTCGTCTACAATGCACATTTTAATTTTTTTTTAATAAAAAAAATACAAATTGAATTTTTTTATTAATTGTAGTAATTAACAAATTAACAAGGTAAAAAATAGCGTACAAGTTAATTTAAATCTAATTTTAGTTTAAGCAATAGAAAGGAGAAAAATCTTGTTCCGCTAATTGTTTTGAGCAGTATAGCTGAAATAAACGAGCTTTGCTATATTCTCATCTGTAAGATCGCGTACTTACCTTTTTTTACTGCGAACGCTGCAGAACTTAGCCTTTTCGAAAGACCTTCTATGTGTCGGCCCCACTGGAGTTTACTATCTAAAGTAATTCTTAAGAACACCGCATTATCAACAGTCTATTTCCTCATCTTTAATTTTTATTTGAGAATGACTACTTTTTACATTTGTAGCTACAAATTTAATACATTTTGTCTTATTTTCGTTTAGCTTAAGATTATTTCTATTAACCCAGTGAACTACACTGGAGATGGCACTGTTTACATTCTCAAGTGATGGATTTCGTCGTTTCACTTTAAATAAAAACGAAGTGTCATCAGCAAACAGTACTATCTCGTGAAGCTCCTTTACAAGAAATGATAGGTCATTTATATAGACGAGGAATAAGAAGGGACCAAGTATGGAGCCCTACGGTACTCCCATAGTAAAAGAGGATCCCTGTGATATAGCTCCATTTTCTTTTACTTTTTGAATTCTATCGCTCAGGTAAGATTTAGCGCTTTTTCGCCAATGCTATAGTGTTGAAGTTTTTTGATTAGGATTTCGTGATGGACACAGTCAAAAGCCTTTGATAAATCGCAAAAAACTCTAATAGCATCATGAGAATTTTCCCAAGCATTTAAAATCTCGGAAATTACTTGAATGCCAGCATCGGCTGTGGAACCTCTTGTAAAACCATACTGGTCACTATTCATAAGTTTATTATTATTAAAATGTTTCAATAATTGATCAAGAAATTTTTTTCCAAGATTTTACTCAATGCAGATAGCACAGATATGGGTTTAAAATTTGTGGGGTCAGAAGTGCTGCCCGTTTTGAATAACAGTGTGATTTTACTTAGCTTCATCTGGTATGGAAAGACTCCACAATCTATACATTCATTCAATATTATAGCTAACTCTGAACTGATAGTATTGATTACTGATTGTAAAATGAATACAAATACACCCCAAAGTAGTTTTTTTTAGTTTAGCTGTTTAAGTGTTTTTATAATATCATTGAAGCTAATGCGGCTAAATATAAACCCATGCTGCAGGCATGAGTTTATATTTGGAACATTTTTTTTTTCAATAATACAAGGGCGGCTGATGGTGAAGAATTTAGAACGCTGGTTGGTATTTAATGGAATGTTAGTAAAAAAACTCTTCGTCTTCAAATGCAGAGGCTACTTCGAGGTCGGAAGTCGGAACTAATTACTTTGCCGTTTATGTTATATGTATAGTCTTATATTCAGTATCCTTTCTGGAAATTCTTCCAGTCTCCTCGTTTATAATTTTCCAAGTAGCCTTTATCTTATCAGAGCTGTTGTTTACTTTAAGACTTAAGTGTTCACACTTCACACTCTTGGGGACAAGCAAAATTGTGACGATATACCAGTACTGAATTTCAGCTATCTAAATTCTCTTCCTGATGCAAGATATTTTAACGTTGCAATAAGTCGCTCTTCAGCAGTAACAGCTTTCCTCATCACAGTATCAGTTTTCGTGATTAGAGGTTTAACCAAATTTAAGAGTTCCTCAAAGGTTTCGTGATCTAGTCGCAAGTATATACGGAAGTCTTCGCAATCGAGCGATTTGATTAACTTCATGTGACTAAATTCATCACGGTTTTTTAAATATGTTTTTGCCCACTCATTTCTTTTTTTTCGTGATATTTGTGGCGGCATTACTGTTGTCACAACAACAATCGCAATTTTAGCGCGCTTGGATAACGACGGAGGCATGACGTCTGAACTGTGTACACGCCACGCGGTTACTGCGAGATCCGGCCGTGTGTTGTGAGTAGCGGATTCGGTACGCCATACCAATCCAGCCCGTACCAAGTTCGATCGTCTGTTAATACTATAAGAACTACAAACGCTGATTTGTTTTAAGGCTATCTACCGTCTATCCCAGTCTAGTCTATCTACTACATATCCCCCTATAGCCAATGCTGGTCTATTACAATAATTGTCTTTGATATCAATTTCCGCCGCTATTTTGCAAACCCGAATAAAGGCGCGTTGCTAAATATTAGGTGAAATTACACCACGTTGCGGCCATGGGCTTTGTTTTAATATTTATGCGGCCCACCCAGCTATTCCTATTTCGCTCCTTTTGACTCTCAATATATTAATGTATTTACACTCACATTTTGAGATATACTGTATGTCTATCAAGAGAATTGACCGGACGGCGCAAACACGAACCCCAAGCTGTCACCGATTTAGCAAGCCGCTGAAATGTTTAAATCTGACAAAATATTTCAACTCCTTATTTAGATGGTTCTATATGAAACCGCCTAAATTTCACTCCGGAAAGGCAAAAGATCTATGTGTAAGCTCAATGTTTACATAATAATGTTAAAAGTTTTGTTCCTACCTTGAGTACAATTATAATTTATAGCATTAAGCATTTAACATGTGTACTTAAGTATTTTTTGCTGGAATCAATAACAAACATGGGTTAATAAAGCAGTGGAGAATTAACTAATACATAATCATACATAATTGATTCTAGGATCAGGATAAATAGAATCACAATTCAAAATCAGATTAACAATCACTTCATGTGTAGCTGAAATATTTGACACAAAATTAACAGCAATAGAAATCTCAAGTTTAAAGATAGCATTTACTATGCAGAAAGTTGAAACGCACTTTAGAATTACATATTTTAAGGGTTTTTTTATAAAAACTACATTGAACAGAACTATTAAAAATTGTAAACAAGTTAGTATGGTGTCTCCTCACTCCTGTATGATTTATAGATACTCCAGTCTAAATATGGGATGTTAAAAAAATTGTTTATTTAATTTATAGTTTATTCCCCTTTTAAAAATTGTTTTACACAAAGTAACTTGGAATGAAGTGCCAAATTTTTTTTAATAACATTTAAGACTTAACTATATGATGACATACTCTTCATTTGTCCCTTACTTTAATTAGATCATTGAGATCTAAAGCTACACATATTTCTTTTGAGTCTGTTTGGGGGTTGCGATCTAATATTTCAGTTATGGCATAGTAGTTATCACGATTATCAACATTCCACCCTGAATACTGAAACACAATCATATTAATAATTAGATGTTTTTGTATATTATAGTAATACAAAAGGTAAATATTTAAAAATTTTATGAATATTATTTAATAATTATACTCACAACACAAGTACATTTGTGAAGAATTTTCCCATTACATTCCATGGGGATAAACTTTTGTAATAAGGCTTTTCCGTCAATCTTCCATAAGTTAAGATCACTCAGTTTTGAAGTAACAGTGTCTCCATCCCATTTTACATCGGATTTTAATAAAACAAAGTTTGCAGACTGAAAAATAAATGTTTCAAATTTATTGTTGTAATAAATAAATAAGTTTTACTAAGTACATATCCTTTAAAGTATGTAAGGTGAACATGCTAGTTTGCTGCCCATCTCTAGTTTACAATGCAAGTCAAGTGAAGTTATATTAATATAAATATATTGAAATATGTTGTGTGTGAGTGATACTGATTTTCACTCCATCATCTGTGTTTTGTTTAAGTGAATTAGGTATAATATGATCATCAGTAACTTTTATTCAGCATTCTAAAATTAAGCATAATGCATTTGCCCAACATTGTCAAATATTTTAACAAAACTATACACAATTGTAATCTTATTGAGGTGAAAGTATTACAGTGTTTTATTACTACTTATCATTATGATGTATTAAGTTGGATAATGCTACCAAAGTTTTATACATACATGGAAATGTTTTGGTATGTCCTTTGATTGGCTTGAATCTGATTTGTTCCCATCAGAGCCATTCTTCTCATCATCAGATCCATCTTCTTCATCAAGCTCTTCCTCTTCTCCTTCCTCCTCCTCCTCTCCTTCACTCTCTTCAGATGTTGAGTTTTTACGCTTTTTCTTAGCATTATTCACAGATGCTTTCGGTGCTCGTTTCCGACCCGCTCTTACTGGCTGCTCATTCTGGAATTTTATTTCCAAAATTTTATTTAGGTTGAACATTATTATATTCCTATGATGAATGAGTGGCTATAGTAACAAAAAGCTTTGGCCTTTATTACAATTTCAACAAAATGGCTAAAATCACCTAACCTACAAGAATGTCTCGATTGCAAAAAGCACCTAATTAGGCATCAATATGCCCATTCAAGTGAAAAAGTGATTTAAATATATGAGAATAGGATATACAAATTTGCTATAAATGTACCGAATCAGCATCCGGCGTCCAATCCTCTCCTGAATCTTGAAATTCTTCTGGTTCACCGCCACCTTCTGATCCCTCAGAATCATCGCCTTTCTTGAGCGACTTCCTTTTGCGCATGTTTATTAAATATTAAAAAGCAGAATAAATAACGTTTGTAATTAAATAATTGATTTGTAAAATAGTTTTTAGAATGAAAATTACTGCCTATCGGCTTCCCAACAAGAGCTTGGCGTTGGAGAATAGAGTATAGACTATAGAAGCTAGCTCCTAGAATCTCGACTAAATAATGAGTGGCAAATTAAAACTTAGCGTATGGTAACACAGTAGTTTTTAGGCTAAAAGACTTGTGTCCACGGTCATATATTAAAAACTATATTATGTTTTTACTGCAAGACGCTTTGTCTGTGCCTTTATGTCATATCAGCTGATTGCGTCATTATTATTGAGACTGTAAAACAATAACGCAAAAACAAAAAACAAGTCGCATTTACGTATCAAGATATAAAACTTGGAAATTCGTTGTTAAATTTTTAAAATGAAGTTTCAATACAAAGAAGAACATTCCTTTGAAAAACGGAAGGCGGAAGGAGAGAAAATACGCAGAAAGTATCCTGACCGAGTGCCTGTAATTGTAGAGAAAGCGCCCAAAGCAAGGCTTGGCGACCTCGACAAGAAGAAATATTTGGTCCCGTCGGATTTGACTGTTGGACAATTTTACTTTTTGATTCGAAAACGTATCCACTTGCGGCCCGAAGACGCTTTGTTTTTCTTTGTTAACAACGTAATTCCTCCAACATCTGCCACTATGGGATCTCTCTATCAAGAACATCATGACGAAGATTTTTTCTTGTACATAGCATTTTCTGATGAAAATGTTTATGGATATTAATTAAGTTCTTCTTTTTAAAATAATTATCTTTTTAATTAAATTCACTAAATTGGTAGTATTTTGTCCACAATATGGTGAAATTAGGTGTAAGGCTTAAGAATATTGGTGTATTATGTTTATATTGTGATAATTAATTCTATTTTGCAACCTTTCCTCACTGACTTGTATAATATGCATCATTATATTAGTTTTAGACATTTAACATTATCACAAATGTGAACTTAAAGAAATGTTTAAATTATCTATATTGTGTGTACTATTTCTGAAATAAAGAAACTATCATAAAAAGGATTATTGTATTTTAGACAACCCAGTTTTTAGTTTTAAATTATATGTTAAGTCAACTTTGGAGTATTGTTAGCTACTCCCCTATATAACCTTGGGAAAGATATCTCTATCTGTAAATCTGTTGCATAGATTGTTTAGAAAGCTAATCAGCCTGTGTTTCCTTGGAATCAAACCCAAGATGTCCATTTTAATCTCTAGGACCACTATGCCTATATATAATTTTTGTATTATGTTATAGAAAGTATGTATATGGAAATTAGATTTAATATGTAAGTACATTATCAGTCAATTACCCTGTGTAGTATAAAGAGGCGATATGACCTTCAACAAGGAATTATACACAAATCATTAATTAAAACCTAAACATTACAATCAAATATACAGTATTTACATTTCTTAGATATTTATTTTGTTAACAAATAGTAAGTTCTCTTTATTAAAAAAGACTAAAATTAAAAACTAAGTTTTTTCTAATGACATTTACGGAAAGGTAAGTCATGCACTAGTTTTAAACAACATATATTTTAAAATGGCTTTGTTCTCTCAGACCTATATAAGAACAATGTTTTGAGTTGGAATCACGGAATAGTGATCACTAGCATAAGAAAAATTATAAGTAAAATATAAATATGTATGTAGCTGTATCTAGGGTTACTAATATTAAAGTCTTCAAAATCAAATCAATCATCACCCTAGAAATATAACCTGTATATACTTTTATATACAGGTTATATTTCTATGATTACGTAAGAGAAAAAAAATTGGCAAAAAGTAAATATTTGTAACAACAGGAATGAAAAAACTGTCACATGGTATGCATTTTCTGGAATAACAAAAAAATATCCATAACTTCAAAAATACACGACTTATTTTTTTTTTTTTAATTTTTCTGATAACTGGTGTGGCATTACCTATGAGAAAATTTCGACTTGACGTCGACTTTTGGGACATCCTGTATTATATTTGAAATTGCACACATCCTCCCTGTTAAATTATGTATTTAGGCAGGCTTTCACTTTCTGAATATACTTGATTAAAATAGTCTAACCTTATTTTAATGTGGCTTAAAGGGGCAAGCCTTTTTAGATAAATATTATACATATCACCATAGTAATAAGACAAGAGGAATAAAGAATTTAAATAAAAAAATGATATGCTTTACTATATTTATTTTTCAAAATATGTTAGCATAATAATAGTCATTAAATTTATGGAAATGTTCACTGTTATATTAATCTTAATACATAATTAAAGATAGAAACAACCCTTCTTGGCTGAATGATTTATATTGCTAGTTTACCCAATGAAAAAGTAGTAGTAATTGCTTCTATATGGTGTTTCCTTCATTAATTTAATTAAAGGCGAAATTTTTGGAAATATTTCATGCTAATAATTACTAATCGTTTTCATGGTAATAAATAAAACTTTTTCATTTGGTAAGCGTATGGGTTTTGATTACAAACTATGGCTTAATGAATATTAAGTATTAAATTATATTTTTCTTTATAACTCGAATGTTGGACCTATTTATAATAATGTTGCTTTATAAAATCAAAAGGCAGCTTCAAATTTACTAGTATATTTTGTAATCACCAAAGATAAACCACAGTAAGCTTCACATAAAGTTGTATATAATGTTTTGACAGCCTTATTTAATTACCACATCTCTGGTGAGAAAAAAATATTAAGTTCAATAAACTATGGTTTGAGCAACTACTAACGATATTATAATGTAAACAAAAATTATTAACTTATTAAAAGAAACAGTGTCTTCACTTATAAGCACGCACCTATAGGTATATTACGAAAAAGGTTTCATGTCTTATAATTAAATTGTTACAAGGGCTGGTTTCTTACGCTAGAACAAACATAATACAAAACTTTCACCATTGCTTCCGCCTTAACTGCTACTCGTATAATAGGAAGTTGAAACGCAGAATTCCTAATTAGCGTATCAAAAGGAAACTTACACTAACAAAGTCTCTAAGGTAAGTTTATATTTAGAACCTCATGTACGAGTGTGACCTTCGCGGGGGCCTGCCTCTTGGACGTGTTCCTCGGCCACGGGGACTGCTTTCACTGTCTGAAATAAAAAAATCATCATACAGGCGTTCGTTCTTTGAGGGTGACTCTTCCAAGGTACATTAAACAGGGTATTTACCTAAAAACATATTATTACGAAATAAACAAAATACCTGAAAGGTGTTGTATGTACGTTCTAAGTCCAGATGAGTCATCCTTATACTTAAAAAAAAATATACCTATAATTACGATAGGGACAATAAATAACATACTCCATTCTTATATTTGTATTTTTAAGTCTGTTGAAAGTATCGGTCACGTGAAGTTTGGTGATTGGTATGATATGGGGCATTCTTTTCTATTCAAAACCATTAAGGACTTCCACATCTAGTTGCTGACCATCGAAATAGCACAAATGCGATTAACTCATTCATCTGTATTACAATTTTTAAATGAAAATATAATTAAGTAAATTATCAGCGTATAGACCACATACCACAATAGATTTCCGACACGAAATCGAATTCATCGTCCGTAGTTACATATTTACACAGCTGTATACAATATATGACTTACTTAACTTGAAAATTTAATTTTAAGAGTGATCTAACTCTTAAATACCGAGAATTAGTTGACTTAGTAATAAATGTAAAAATCAGTAATATTTTATTACTATAAACAATATTTTTATTTCTCGTGGTGATGTCGATAGCGACATGGGATCTCGCTTAAGTAATACATTACTTCTTTATATATTAAATGCGTAGAAACTTCTAGAGAAACAAACGTTCAGGGAATAAATTTTCCGAACCTACATTATGGTCTCAAAAACTATCTTAGACTACGTAATCAAAATCAGTAAACTAGTATCTAGTACGTGTACAATCTTAGCATCTACTAGGTACTATCACACTTCCGTGATGTGATGCCAGCTTAAGCCAGCATAAGTGAAAAAAAAACAAACACAAAATAATTTTTATAAAACATTTTGCGTTAAACAAATTATACGAGTTAAGGTGACCTTGCGCGAAAAATTATCGCGGCAGACACTTGTGTTAACCAAATAATAATGAAAATTTTAAACAAAACTCATAGATTAATATCTGTATAGACCTGAAATAATTATTTAGTAAATGAAATAGCCTTACCTATGTTACTGTTTGCTTGATTTCCTTTTCTCTAATTTTTAATTAAAGAAAAGGAAATCAAGTTTTTGTTACTTAATTAAAGTTATTTTGTGTGAATTTCTTTGTTCCATTATAATTTGTGTATGTGTTAAAATTTGTAATGTCATATTTTTTTCCTATTGTTAATAATTTTAAATGTAAATATAATTGTAAAAAATTCGTGACGTATTTCCCTAATTTTAGGAATTTATTTAAACGGCAGTTGTATATTATAGAATTATTGATAAATTAAAAATAACATTATGCAAGTTAATTAATTAGTAGTAGTAGTAACTAGTATTAGTACTGACTCTAGTAATATATAATATGTAAATTGTAAATAAGAGCGTGTTGTATAGCTTGATCCAGCGACTCTCGACCCATAAGGTCGTACGTTCGAATCACGGCAACACATCAATAAAATTCTATGTGCGCATTTAACACTCGCTCGTATGGTAAACACGAAAACATCATCAGGAAACAGTTATGCGTTAGACCCAACAATCCACGTCGTCTAACAGGCACAGATGGCGGAACACCTACTTGTTAGGAAAAAAAATATTAAGATATAGAAATCTGAGGGCTTTTAAAATAATACCAATTTTAAAAATGTAATGAAACAGCCTGCTGACTCTAAAGTATACAAACAATCGTAGACAATAGCGATAAATACTCACCGGCAGCTCTCATCCACCGCTGATGGGGCGACGGGGTAGCAGAATGCGTACGTCGAGGTACCGCGCTGGCTTCGGCCTCGCGTCCCTCTTCGGCCACCTGTATGGAAACACCAAATTCACTTAAGAAAAAAAGCAGCTTACAATGGTTTTTTTTCTAAATTTTCTAATATCACCGACTCTTTTGGTGCGGGGTCTTATTTTATACACATTTTGTACAAATATAAATATAGAAATTTCCTAATATATTACTATACTATATTCATAGGCGAGTGGAGGCCCTTTGTCTCGTCGCCACTACGCTCTAGTTGCAGTGAGTGCCGCATTTCATTACTTTACAGCAGAAATCTTCCAGTTGCGATCTGAAGCTTCTTAATATTTCGGGTAAATGCCCGGTAATTACCTTTTAATCAATTTGTTGGTCCAGGTCGCACCTGGAGGGTCCAAATACAGGACATTCTAGATCTGCATCATTTGTGGGCTACTTTTTTGTCTAATAATTTTGCAGCCGTCTATAATATTGCTTATAATGAATTTGGTTGTTTTGGCAGTATAAGTAGCTTCTCTTTCCTGGTGTGAGAAAGTGGAATCTTTACGTATTCCATTTTCGTCCCCAATCATTCCGCCGCCTCTTTTGCTCCGGCGTCCGCTCTCTCATTTCCCGGTATATCAATGTGGGCTTTAATCCAATGAGGTTCTATGTTGATGCCTTTTTCTCTACCTGAGATTGAGAGAACGTTCGCCCGTCACGGCGTCCAGGGATGAGAGTGAGTCAATAAATTGCGACATGCTTTTTTTTTTTTGATGACCTCATCGACTGCACTGCAGATGGCTATTAATTCAGCCTGATATAGTGTAAATTTCACTCCTAGGTTAGTTTTGCTACCATCTGTATAAACTATATAACATAAGTATAATAAACACGAAATTATTCACGAAATTAATATCGGTGTGAAAGTTCCAAATCTAATTTATATACATAATCAATTAGAATAAATTAGTGTTAATTAACATACAGCGGGAAATTCAATAAACAATTTTTTTTCTTTTGATCATCTTATTTTGGAAGCAATGATGTTTTTGAAATATATCTAGCATTTTTATTCTATTTCTTTAAATTAACCCCTTAGCCTCCACACACATTATTGTCTCTGATTAATGACTATTTGTAAGGCAAAAATCCTAAAATGAATTCCTATTCTGTGTGAAATTTGGTACTTGGCTTTGAATCCAGATATTACACTTCAAGCACGTAATCCCCATAGTCACAGAGGCTTTCTTACGTCAGTTTTTTTTTGTAATTAAAGCATCACGTTGATGATAGTATCCGAAAACCGAGAAGAATATTTATAGTGAGACATTTTTGTGAAGTCGAACTATACGTAGACATAGGCCCGTATTCTAAAACATCAATCAAGTTTAAATGTAGTTTCATGATTTATCAAACCATTCTTTCTTTAAGAACGATTATTGCCTTATTTGACAGCGCTCAAGATAGTGACTTGAGATACGTACGTAGAAATTTATTTGTTTTTAAAAAAAATCAGTAAAAATAATAACCTGTTGAGGAGAGGAAGGCTCGCTGCCCTGTGAACTAACAGCAGCCGCCTCTTCTTCATTCCTTGACTCCTCCCATTCACGTGATTCATTTCCATCTCCTCCTGTTAAAATAATAACAACTCTCAGTACTTTGTTAGAAGCCTCATAATTTTTTTTTTATCTGTGCAACCGCTATTATATAGTTAAAACCAAACTTACACTTTACAACACTCTTTGCGAATCAGTCATTAATCACGGTCTAAGTAGAACTTACCCAACGTAATATATAACCTCCAACTTCGAATCCTCAAATAGCTGTCTCAAAAAAGATCCGACGCATTTAAAAATGAAGAAATTATTAAACACTAAAACACTACCATAACAGAAAAAATAAAAAATGTCTTCTAGTCGAGCACTTTTTCGAGATGATATAAAAAAGATGTAGAGCTTTACGTACAGACCCGAGCTGTAACGAAAGTTGGCTCTGTACTTCGAGAACAAACGTTTATGATGAGAGAACGTTGAAGTACGTACCACATATACCGAAAAAGCCTTTACTTTATATAATCATCGTACGATTGAGATTTACAAAGTCTCTCATCGCTACACTATAATCTGTCTAATGTATAACGATTTATTCCGTCGGTATTACGAATCTTCACCAAACAGCGATACACGGCCCGTCCGAGGTTAGAATATTTATTAGACTAGTGAATCAAATGGGACCCATTAATAGGTTGCCATTTGATCCCCGCTGTTAACTTATCACAACCAAACTAGGCGATTTTTTCACTACAACATTTTAACCTCCCATTTTTATATGGTGAGTGATTTAAGTTGGAAAAACTAAATACAATCGACTGAGAATCGAATCAAAATTTATTTACATCATTTGTTATTTAATTTTAAGAGATTTAGAAATTGTCTGTTACTACACTAGAAAAATAAACAAAAATACTTGGCCCTTTTAAACGCCAGTGGTTAAGAATTTATTGGAAGAACGGACAGGTCATCCATGACGCCTAAATTAATAAATTATAGTTGGATTTTTTAATATACCAAGGGCATATCTATAATTGAAATGTTTTCTGTATGTACGTACGTGTGTCCGTTCGTGGTGCTGGCGGCAGTGCAGATGTGAGGTCGGCGTGCGTGTCAAGGTGAGACGCGGCGCCTCCAGCCTCTGCAAACGTAAATCGGGCTTCGCCCCCACTCGCAGAACCCGCCCCGCCCAAGGGAGACACTACTGCTTCACCAAACCTAATAATAATTTTTGTTATTACCATTTAATCTAGTTTGTTTTTTACTTTTAATGTTGAAGTTATTTTCTCTTCATCATTGTAATGTTTCCCTTTAAATGTTGTGCACACTTGTTATTGATGCACATGCATGTATCTTGTTTTCTATGTTATGTGTTCTCTGTAAGTGTTTGTATGTGTTTCGTTAGTGTGCGTTTTAAAAAAAAAGGTTTTAAGGGTAAAAAACGGTTGTAAAAAACTAAAAGTCCTATCGAAGAAAGTTAAATGGCAAAGTTGTAGGTAATAAAAAGATCTAAAACTTTTGTATTCACACATTTTTCACATAACCTCAAAATTTATGTGAAAAATTCAAAAAACCAAGTTTTTGGTTTTTAATTTTTATCTTTTACAAATTTCTTTTTTTTTTAACGAAATTTGGTGAAAACTTACCTTATTATGTCCCAAATATACTGTAATTTATTTGATTAAAAATATTAATTTTTTCACCTTATTTTGAATTAATATCGAAAAAACACCCTAATTTTCAATCGAAAATTCTGACGTCAAAATTTCAGCTTTTTTCAAAAAGTTGGTGTGCTTTCAGTTCGTTGAAATCTCTACTTTCCTATGGTAAAAAAATATATATATTACCATAGTAAATCTTCTCAGAAAATGCAAAACATCGTATGCAGTAACGCCCAGACCCGTCATACCCTTCCCTACTTCTCTATGAAATACGAAAATTTTAGCCGATCTAAAGGCTAAAAATTTTTTTTTGGTCACTCAGGTATATATAAGTTATCTTAAAATAGTAATAAATAGGCATCTAATTATAATTTAAAGAAGATTCATAGAGAAGTAGGGAAGGGTATGACGGGTCTGGGCGTTACTGTTCATGTTAAATGAGGTAGAAGATGCAAACACCCCCACATCTCTACGCAACACACTTTACATTTGTAAAGTTTTGTGTTTGGTTGGGTCGTTCAGTGTGGGGTTGGAATCCCATCTTGGGTATAGGCTCCAGCTTATGCCAACACTCTCATCCATTGCTTCCACTTAGGGAGCGTTCAAGTATTACGTCACGCAATTTTTGGAGATTATTTCGTGACCACCCAGTGACTCTTTATACTTAAAAGTTACCATTATGTGGTGTAAGTCGAAAATAATATTAACAATAACGCGTAATTCAATCCCCGCCCAGCATCGTAACGTTTTACAAAAGGACCCCCCCTCGCCCCTCCCAAAATTCGTTACGTAATACTTGAACGCTCCCTTACAGAATGGCACATAAAATATATATTAACGAAAAACTCACCCATCATTGCGTCTAGGAACATACAATGTAGGAGTTGACGGCACGATGCTGTCGTCTCCGTCATCGCCGTTGTTCCCGCCTATTGACAATGCACCGCTTGCTAAAAAAATATCTTAACATTTCAATAAAAGCTATTAATATATAGATAACATTATAATTTATTGAAATTAGTTGTGCATATAAATAAAATAAAAATAAATCAGTAGCGCTACAACCTCTTTAGGTCTTGGCCTCATATTTCTAAACCTGTTTCATGATCAATCTAAATCTAATAGGCAAGTAGGTAGGTGATCAGCCTCCAGTGCCTGACACACGCCGTCGACTTTTTGGATCTAAGACATGTCGGTTTCCTCACGATGTTTTCCTTCACCGTTCGAGCAAATATTAAATGCGCACATAGAAAGAAAGTCCAGTGGTGCACAGCCGGGGATCGAACCTACGACCTCAGATATGAGAGTCGCACAAATGTCCGTCAACTATTTGAATAGTGTAAATTTCAAGATTCGTAAATTATTACTACTTTTATTAAAATGACTATACAGATATGAGAGTCGCACAAATGTCCGTCAACTATTTGAATAGTGTAAATTTCAAGATTCGTAAATTATTACTACTTTTATTAAAATGACTATAAACTGTTAGTTCCGCACTTGTACTAAGCCAAGAAAATGTTAAGTTTTTAAACATAACCAAGACTTATATGAGAGACTTGATTTACATGGACTCTATTCCTATAAAACACAGGACAGCTGTTCAATTTAAGTGCTCTAAAATTATGCTCGGTCAAGTTTTCTTAGGCGCGAAACACACAGAAAAGGCGTAAGGTGAAGGCGCGGCGCAGGCATCTTGCCAAACGCGTCAATACAAAATGTTCGTAAGCGGCACGTTGTTAATTGTCGCCTGTTCCGCGTCGCTAGCAGCAAAGCGAGCGCATCTTCGTCATCTGAAGAGGAAGACATGCTATCACGATAAAGTCAGCCTGCGTAATGACTATTTGTGCCGTCTCTTCGCCTCTTTGAAATAATTTAAGTCGCATCCGTGGCGTATCTGTTCCATGCCGGCTCTGCGCCTGCGCCGCGCCTTCATCTTACGCCTTTTCTGTATGTTTCGCGCCATAGAAGAACTATGGCTCTCCTAGAATTTACTTCTACTTTAACTAACATAGGATGTATGATAAAACATTATGGTCGTGCATACACTATTACTTAAAATTTAATAAAATGTCACAGGTACACTCTTAGCATTTTAAATTTAAATCTCATAGAATTAATAAGCTTTAATTTAGCGCTTAATTAGGAGTTTATTATTTTTTGTTCGCAACTGGAAAATGTTACATTATTTTTATCTTAATAACGAGTGCTATAAGTGTGCTTCTGTAATTTAATTCTGCGGTGTTAAACTGAATACATACGTTCAGTCCCGCTGCTAATAGCCTCGATCTGCGCGTGCGCAGGAGCTGGGTCGCTGTCCGCCTCTCGAGCGCCCTCTGCCTCTCCCACGTCACCATCTACGCCTGACCCTGCCTCCTCAGACCCTCCCGACCCGGCTGATTCTGCTGAACCTGCCTCCGGTGACTGAGCGGGAGATCCCTTGAAATTTTCAGAAATTATTTAAACAACACACGACCTTTTTGAGAAATTATTTTACATATAGTATTAGTGAACACGGAGATATCAAAACAATAATATATGCTTTCTATGTTTCTACGATTTTGTAAAGATACCAAACCGGGGGACCAATCAGGCAGTGCTGTTCATACCTGTCTGGTGGCGGGACTTTCATCATCACCTTCCGCCTCCTCCTCTTCTTCCCCTGCCTCCACTTCCTGTTCCTCTTCCATATCTTCTTCATCCTCCTCGCCCTCCTACAAAATATTTTCAAACGGTAATAAAAAAAAAATAGTATTTTCAATTTCAAGTTTCGTGTCATCTCTCAAGCCAGGTCAAAAAAGATACAATTGATCTTTTGCTCATTCAATTTAAAAACATACTTTTTAATACCGTTAATTTATATAACTATTATAATATATTACTAGTCAATCATATGAAAGTACATACTTTAGTTATAAACACCTCACCAATGAGTAAAGAAAACAGCAACAAAGACAAAAAAGCTATAGAAAAAATTATTACCCGGTACATAGTTCCCGAACACCTTTCGTCGTCCTCTTCAGAGTCCACCACGATTACTCCTTCATCATCTTGGTCGCAGCGAGAAGACGTCGGAACTTGATATTCCACCTCCACTGACCGTTCGAAGCCCTTTATAGATACATATTGTATAGCGCATACCAATATTAATAAAGCTTATATTGAAATTAAATAATGAATGATAAGGTTTTACTTTATATTTTGATAGGCATAAGCCTTAATTAATCAAACGACAATTATAAAATTATGTTTTGTAAATAGTATACTGAAACATATTGTATATAAAAACTCATATAATAAAACATAATACATTAAAAACAAAAGACACGACACTTTGGCTTGAAAGTGAGTTCTTACGAATTTATTCGATATTATTTTCTAGTCAAATAAAAAATATGTACCTGTACACGTGTACGTTTAGACGTAACGGGCCTCGACTGCAGGCGTCGTTTCAAGGGTCTCGCATCTGGAGGTGGATGGGAAGTACTGACACCTGGAGGAGCGTGGGAAGTACTGACTCCCGCCCCAGAGTGGGAGGTACTCCCTCCTGGCGCTGTATGAGAGGTAGTGACGACTGGAGTTGGGTGGGAAGTGCCTACGGTGGCCGCATGAGAGGTGCTGACTGCAGCCGGAGCCGCGTGCGATGTGCTCACGCTCGACGCTTGGCCGGTTGTGCTGGCACCGCTCACTGTTATAAATTATTTTTATTTATACAATGTACACTCTTTATAACGTCATTCATTATAACGAAAACTCTCTTTAACATAAAAAATTAACCAAATACCAATACATTCCTCCCTCTCTATAATAAATAAAAATGCTCGTTCCCTTGAAATTCGTTATAAAGAGTTTTCACTATATATAATATATCATGGAAAAAATTTGGTAGTAATTATATAGAAGGCAGTTTATTTACATCTCGTTTACTACTAACCAAATGGGCCCCCAATATAATGTAAAAGTGTATTATCGATATTAATGTAATTAAAAATAAATAATTTTGGGTCTTAAGAAACTGAAACTCCCGTATATTAATCCTTCTTCTTTCTAATTCTAATTCTTTCGTTTTTGTTGCTCCAATTTTCACATGAAAACGTATGATTTGTAAACATGAAAAAAATCCTAATCAAATCTTAGGTTTTCTTCGTAGTCAGTGTTTTTTGAAAATAAATATAATCTTAATTTAAAGTGAAACCATATTTAAAGTGCGAATAAGTTATCTGCTGCTATATATGATATATCTTCATACCCAATTGAACAATGCCTGAAGACATTAGCAATAAGAGCTCATGGTAGGCTCCCAGATAATTAATCGGTATTTGTTTGTAAATAGTTAACCACGAAGTGGCAACCGTATATGCATTTTTTCAGTATTACGATAGAATGGAAATATCTATGAAAATCATAGCTTAATACTAAAACTAACCAGGCAAGGGTGCAGATGGCGGTGGCTGCGCAGGCGCAGGCGTTGCTACCGGTGAGCTGGCTGCGCTACTAAGGGAGCCCGTGGCTCCTCCGCTAGGCTGTTCAATACGGGGCAATACTAGTGCCACCGCCTGAAAAATGACCAATTACATATTTTAAACACAAGTTAACTACACATAAGTACTGTTTTAAGTAAGTGTACAGTGAAAAATTTCTTCGCATTTAAAAAAACATTTCAATAATCAAAGATTATGATTGTACACTGAAAACTACTGCAAATATTTATTAAATAACAACTCTATTATTAGTTTAATTTCTAAGTGAAAACTGTTTATTTTATTGTTCTCTTATTATTATTCACGTTAACAAGTAAGTTTTCGGTTACTATATAACATTGAAATAAATAAATTAGAACAAACTCATGAGGAAGAAATTCTATGTCTATTGATGTACATATTAATTATACAAATACCTGCTGGGGTGTTTGTGAATGTGTTGTAGATTGTGTAGTGCTATCACTGGAGCCAGCACTGCCCATTCCAGCTTCACTTGTATCCATATCCTGTAAAATATTAGTTTTATAACATAACAATTGACTTAAATATCTTGACTCGTAATAATATATTATGTACACCAATAATACAAAGATGTCAAGGAATATAACAATGTTGGCGGTGAATTGGATGATTCACTTTAGAGTTGACATTTGCTGTCATAAAAAAAACATTAAAAACAATATAAGAACACAAATTAATATAATAATAAAGCTTATTAAATTCCCTAAAAAGTCAAAAAGATATACAATACAATTAATATATTAAAGTTAAAATATATCACCTGCGTCGATTCCGGCGGCGCAGTAGAAGCAGCTAGTGAGGCGCGCGTGAGTGGACGCGAAGAAGAAGCTGGCATATACTCTGTTGTGTGGGCGTCGTGAGGCGCCGTTGGCCCCACCTGAGCCATGGGTCTTATTGACGCTAATGGAGTTTCACCACCACGTCGGCTTCCTGACACGCTCTGTTGGGCTACACCTAAATAAAACATATAATATGAGAGATCCGAAACATGAACTATTTTATTTTTAACATAATCAGAAAGAATGAGAAGCTCTTTATTTTAAGTGAAAATACACATTTGAGGGGTAGTTCTTTAAAACCTAAGACCACTCAACATAACACAAATTCCCTAAAGAACTTTCTCCCAAACCGAGTAGTGGCCGATTGGAATAGGCTTCCGGAAAGTGTAATCAGTGCACCATCCTTGAACTCCTTTAAAAATAGATTGGATAGTTTCTCAAAACACACGCGCATCAGCTTATTAAGCTGCTAGTGTGTTTATATACATAATAATAATAATCCTTCCTTATTGAACACTTCGAATGTGCTTTCATTAAATAACCTGATTCAAATCAAATTGAGGAGCTGATTTCGAATCTCAATATGCACGCATTAAACAACAAATTAGGCAAACAACTTAAGCGCTTATTACACTACGCGATATTCAGACAGTCTTACTAAGATTTAGCATAATGTAATAAGAGTTAGCAAGTTAGCCTGTCTAATTAGACTGACCGAATGGGTTCGGCGGTGCTTACTTGCTTACTTGCTGAATATCGCGTAGTGTAATAAGACTTAGCACGCTTAACCGTTCAGTCAGCGCGTGGCAGCCGCAGAGCAAAGACGTTCGTACATGTTTGTTTGCTGTGGCCGCGTGCACCATGGCGTGTTCGCAAGAAAAAAAAGTACTTTTCAATATTATCAATTTGTACCGAGACATGCCAAATTTATGGCTGCATGATTGATTGATTTATTAATAATTGATGACCTTAGGTTTTTTTTTTTTTTTTTAATAATTTATTTCATAACCATGGATACAGAGTCCTTCAGGATGACCTTAGGTCTTGATAGGAGTTGCCCGTTGCCAGGAATCTTAAAGTAACTACCAATATTTATTAGGACTGACACTTTGTCTAAGAACCGTATCTTCTTTTTGAATGTATGGAGTAACTCATTGGTCTAGTGGTTAGTACCCCTGACTGCGAATCCATGGGTCCCGGGTTCGATCCCCGGCTGAGACGAACATCGATGTGATGAGCATTTGGTGTTGTGCTTAGGTCTTGGGTGTTTAAATATGTATTTATATCTATATATCTATAATAATATGTATGTATATCCGTTGCCTATTACCCATAACACAAGCTTCACCAGCTTAGCATGGGACTAGGTCAATTGGTGTGAATTGTCTAAAAAAAAAAAAAAAAAAACTAATTTCAATAGACATTCAAACTCGGTAACTCCTACTCTAAGGTAGTTTCTTAAGTCACATGGTTCCAAAACACTCAGTATTTGCATATTTGATAATAATTTTTCTCGCAAAAGTAAATACTCTTTCACCCATATGTTTCTTTTCTTTATTTAAATTAATAGACGCGGCAAGAGCCATGGCGATTTTCTGGTGCTTTGAAAGTTTTCCCATCGCGAGACAACCGTCACCGACAACGTACGCTTTGCAAATGAGTAAAATGAGTTAGCTTGCGATATTCAGTCCAGTGTAATAGCGAGCTTGACTAATTCGATTTTAAGACAGTCTTACTAAGACTGTCTGAATATCGCGTAGTGTAATAAGCGCTTTAGTTGTAATGGTTTAAAAAATATATCTTGTATTGTAAAATAGATACTTGTAATTGATTAAGTAAAATTTTAAATAGCAACAATAGATATTGATTCAACTTACCAGCCATAGGCTTAATATTTGCAGTAGGAGGTTCTGTAGTTGTCTTTTCTGACGTGGATTGCTGTTTTGATGCCGACGCTTGGCTGGCTAATTGCCGCTGTAACAGATTGACTTTTTGCATAAGGGCCTCAACTTCTCTGTTGCGCTCGGCTTGAGCTTCGCCTCGTTCTTTTTCAAGACGGGACAATCGTCCTTCATATTGTGATTTTATAAGAGCCAATCTGACATCTTGCTCGTCTCGTGTACTTTGTTCTATAGAATCAATTTTGGTACGAGACTCATCTAATTCACGGCTCAGTGAATTTTTCAACTCTGTTAACTGAACGATTTTACTCTTTGCTTGCTTTAAAACTTGTTTTGCTTTCTCTTCCTTATCCATGTTAGCCGTTCTTAAGGTCTCCAACTCTTGCTTTAATTTGTCATTGTTTGCCTTTTCAGATTCTAATTGTGCTTGTATTTCATTAAGCTGGTCTTCTATCTTCTTCGCGTTCTCTGCGGCTACTGCACCAGCTGCTGCCACATCGCCTTCACTTTTCTTTTTCTCTTCATCTACGGATTTCACGAGCTCTTCGTATTGGCCCTTATATTTTTTAGCAATTTTACGTATTTGCATTTCTTTATTCTTTATATCTGCTAGAGAAGCTTCTTTTTGTGATAAGTCTTCTGTTAATTTAGAATTAGTATCTGCCATCGTTGAGTGTTCAGCTTTAAGCCTAGTTAACTCTTCTGTAAGTTTTGACATGTCTTCTTTGAGTACTAGGAGTTCTTCATTTAACTTCTTATTTTCCTCTATAAGGACGTTTTGCTGACGTGATAAGGCTGTATTCTGCTCTTCTAATTTAGTTTTTTCAACTTTGATAGCTGTTAATTCCTCATTGATCTTCCGAAGTGCCTCTTTTTCATTTGTAAGCATTTTAGCTAATGTCTCTCTTTCGTTTTGTAACCGTTTCCAGTCTTCAGGGCTAGTTTTATTTGCACGTTCGACGAGGGCATTTACCCTTGTTCTCCACCTTGCACAGTCTCCCTTAATAGACGTATTTTCCGACTGCAAGGTATCATTCTTGGATATTAGATCTGATATTTTTTCTTGTAATGGACTTAACTGTTCTTCCAACAGCTTCACCTGCGATGTTAGCTCGTCTACGCGATGACTTAAACTGTCCCGTTCTTCTCTTAAAATTCGGTTGCTGTCAGTTAAAGCATTTAGTGTTTCGACTTTTCTTAATATATCTGACTGTTTATTAACTGTCACCATTGTAACTTCAGATCTTTCCCTTTCTTCTGCTAATGCCAATTTAGATTCATCTAATTGTTTTTCATTAATTTCCAACTGTGATCGCAATCTCATTGTTTCCGCTTGTAAAATATCAAATTTAGCCATTGCTATATCTTTTTCTTTTCGTAAAAATTTTATAATGCGGAAAAGTTGTTCAGAAGATTTTCCGTCATCTTCACTTATTGAAATATTAACATTTGATTCATTTGTTGATTCATTCATGCTATCTGAAAATGATCGCGATGCATGGGTAACAGAAAGTTGGGTACCCAAAGCTTGAATTTGATCATGGAGTAATGCATTTTGCTGATTTATATCTTTCAATTGCTGAAGTAATAGTTCATTTTCAGCAACTATGCTTTTTTCTCGTTCTAACCAGGAAGCCTTCTCAGATTCCATTTTAGATATGGCATTATTTTTCAACGCAACCATTTCATTAAGTTCATTTTGTACTCTGGTCAGATCTTCTTTTACCTTTGAAAGCATTTGTATATCTGATGAATGCAAAATCATTTCGTGACTATACTTTTCCTCAGCTTTCTGTACAGCCTCAGATAACTTGTTTATTTCAACCCGAGCATTATCTAATTCACTGCGACAGCTTTCGTAGTTCGCATTTAGATTTTTGAGTTCCTCTTTTGCTGATGTTAATTCAGCTTTCAAGCAGTTACTTACAGAAGAATATTCTCCATTTCCTTGCAACGACAACTCTGCTTCAAGTTCTGAGCACCTATCTTCTAATGCTTTAAGTTTAAGGGCATTTTCTTCAAGCTTGGCAGTAGTTGTTGTTTTATAATTCTCATACTCTGCATTAACGTTTTTCAATTGTTTTTCTGATTCCTCCGAAATATTACAATACTGTTTAATGTGCTCTTTCGTTGTGTTCAATTGCTCAAGTAGTGAAGAAAGTTCAGCATCTTTATCAGACAGCTTATTTTCTAGCTCTTTTATTTTCTTCAATGCGTTAAGTGAGGTATCGCTATTCGGAGTTAAAGCGTCTTTTAATTTTTTTACAAGTTCGTCGTTATTTTTATTTTTTTCCACTAAAGCTTCTCTTAGCTGCTGCACTTCTTTTCTAAGTACATCTGCAGCATCCTTTTCTTCCTGCATTCGTGTTTTCGCTGTGTCGGTAAGTCGTTCAAGATGAGCTGCTAATTCTCTAAATCTATCTTGTTCTTCTTGTAGCCTTCTCCTTAAAGCTGAACATTCTCGTGTTGCTTCATCAAGCCTTGACTCAAGTTTAGTACGATTTTCTGCTTCTACACGCTCCAAACTTGCTTTTATTAATTCAAGATTTTTTAATAACATGCCTTGCCCTTGACGTTCTCTATTTAATACTTCTTTTTCAGTTTGTAAACGTAATTCAGTGTCTTTTAATAACTTGACTTTAGTATTTAAATTTTCTGCTTGAATTTCAGCTGTTGCCAATTTACCTTGAGCGTTAAGAACTTCATCCCTTAAATGTTGGAGGGATACCTCATGTTTTGCAATTGTTGCGTTATAAGCTTTATTTTTTTCTTCTAAGGAATGTATTTGATTTTTGTATGTTGTTATATTACTTTGCAGGACTTTAATGCGCTCATTACTGAAGTCCAAGGTGGAAGCAAACTTGCTATTAGCAGCTGTTAGTTTTGAAATTTCTTGTCTCATATTATCAGTTTGTTCAAATAACATTCTCTCATTAGTAATTTTTTCTTCTTTGTAAGTTTTGTATTCTTCTTTTAACATTTCCATTTGCTTCTCAACTTCTTTATATTTAACTTCAAAGTTGGATTTTTCAGCATCTTGAGTTCTTGATGTATTTGACTCTTGTGATGTATCCATTGAAAACGATTCTGCTCTATCTAAATCAGTTGGATCAATAACTGAAGACATCTCAAGACGTTTTCCTCTCATAAGATCATGATATAATTTTTTAAACATATCCCGCTGCCGAATGAGACCATTAACCATTTTAGTTTGACGATCTTGGGCTTCAGTTAACTCAGAAACTCTTTGTTTTAAAGTTTCTACTCTACTTTCCATTTCTCCACTTTCAAACTGCTCCTTTTGACGTTCTAACTCTTCTTGTTTATCAGTAAGTTCCCTTAACATGCGCAACAGTTTTTGGTTATTTGATTGTAACTCTTGAATATCAGTGAATGTTACAAGTGTCTTTGATATTATTCTGGAAGAGTCAGAAGAATTAGTAGTGTTACTGTTACTTTGAGAGGGATCATGGTCACCATTTACAAGTCCTCCTCGTCTGTGTTCAACTTCTTTAAGTAAGAAGCAAACTTGTCTGCCTAAATCAGCTAATTCTGCCTTAAGTTTACTATTTTCTCTGTTATAGTGGTTTGCAATTTTAGAAGCTTCAGTGTAATCATCTCTAAGCCTATTGCATTCTATAGTAAGAGACTCAATTTGTTGAGATAATGCAGTATTAGTTTCTACAGCATCTGATAACTCAGATTTTTGTTTATGTATAAACGGAGCTTTTTCCTCCAACTCTTGTACAATTTTGTTGATTGTTGCATTCAATTTTCTATTTTCTTCTTTTTCTTGAGACAGTTCATCACTGACTTTAACTAACTCAGAGTAAATTTGTGTAAGGGACATGCCTGATTTTATAAATTTACTTGCAACTGCTGCTGATGGAGCTAGGTCACTAAGTGCCATATCTAAATTGTGAGCATTTGCAGCCTTTAGTAAATCATTTGCATGTTCCAGCTCGCTTTTTAGAGATGAAATAATTTCATTTTTCTTCTCCATTAACTCTTCATGATCCACTTCTGCTTGCTTATACTTAGTTTCCAGTTCCCCATACTTTTCAGTTGCTTCATTTAATAACTTTTGCAATTCAGCTATACCCTCAGTTAATTCCATGGTTTTAGCCTCCGCATCGTCATGCATAGTTTTAAATAAGTCAGCTAACTTAGTTTTGGCTTCCAATTCTTTTTTGTAATTTTCTGCCATTTTATTTTCTAGTTCTCTTTGTTCCATCAACCTCTGAGTTAAGTGTTCAACACGACTACTTAAATTCTTCTTTACTTCATTCAGTTGGGATATTTGATCATTTGCAACATTTAACTCCTCAACCTTTTCTGTAAGTTGTGTCTCTAAGTTTATTAATCTGCTGGTATTGTTTAACCTTACAGTTTGTAGTTCAGACGTTAGTCTGTCAACTTCCTCATTTAAGATTTTAATTTGAGAATTCAAAAGGACTCTTTCTTGGTCTAATCTTTTCTCTTGATATTGCAATGTAAGTTCTTTGCTTTGAATTTCATCATTCAAAGCTAAGGCTTCACATTTAGAATCAATAGCAGCACGTAATTGTTGTGATATAGAGGCTTCATTAGCTATGAGGCGTTCGATTTCAGTATTACGCCTCTCCAAAATGCGGGTAAGGTCATTTCTTTCATCAATAGCTGCATCTCTTGAACTTTTAAGGGAAATAATTTCATTTTCTAATCTTGATATAGTATCTCGGGACTTCTCAAGTTCTGTGCTAAGTACTGAAACCTTGTTTTCCAACTCTGTGTCAGATTCTTCAGAAAGCAAAAGCTTTTTTGATGCTTCCTCATATTTTAAAGCAGTTTCTGTAGCAGTTGCTTCTAAAACTGCTACTTTTTCATCTGAAAAAGAAAATCCATCATATAATATATCAATCAACAATAATTTATTGTTGCATGTAAAAATATGTTTTCTTAAACTTTATTCACAAAATATAAAATAATGACATTTTCTGTATCAATCTAACTTATAAAATTAGGAAAAAAAGAAGCAAAATTATGGGTAGACAATCACTATAATCACACAAGTCAATTTTAGCACTTTATTTATGCTTTAATATGTCTCTAAATGATCAATAAATAATACTATTCTAGTAATATTTGAAATAAAGACATTTTATTCATACATATAATTAGTAACAAAACAGTATTGTTAGTTATAATATTCAAATACATTTCATGAAAATAAAATAATGTTAGCATAAGCATTTCATTTTTTTTTATATAAGTTAAAATCATATAAATACAGAAAGATGAATACTATAATAACAAATTTACTGAGTTTGGTTCATGGCCCGTAAGGCTGGTAAGTAGTGCCTTCTGTATTATATTGCAATGCTGAGACAGTATGTAAGAAAAACACCAGATCTAGGGACCCAAGTGCTGTTGACCAGTGTACATAATATTAATATAGATCCTGTAAAATTTTTGTTAATGCTCCAAATGATGAACTACTACTACTAACATAATAACAATTATTGCAACATAATACAGTGTAAAACTCTATATATAACAACACTCAAGGGACTGTGCCTATTTTGACATTACAAAGAGTTGCCGTTAAATGGAACGATAAATCTGTATTGGAAAAAGAAAGTTTATTTCAGACTAGTGTTAGTACTTACAAAACATTTATTTTTTTATTTATTTATTTATTCCTTATTTCCTATTTTTACAGTAACTTAATACTAATACAATAGAAAACTAACTTAAAACATAATATAACCATAACAAGTAAAAACTTAAAAAAAACCTAAACAATTTTATAACTAATTATAAATAATGAAATTCTTGTGAATTCAGCCAGTGTGCAACTAAATATATCCGTCTCACAAGCAATAGTGTTTAGGGTGCGCAAAACACGCGTAAATGGTGCTTCTCTAAGTAAATTCGTCCGCGCCCGAGGCACTGCCAGCAATTGCGACCGCTTACTCCGCCGAGTGTGGTTATTTGGCACACGCAGCCCCAGTCTTTCCAATATTTCCGCATTATATATTTTACCTCTAAGGATCTTAAAAAAATATAGCGTGATAGTAAGGTCCCTCCTTACCTCTAACTTGTTGTATCCAACCATGCCCAAGACAAACAAAGTTGGATACATTATTGGGTAAAATGGGTACACTCCATACAACCTCATGTATATGTATCTCATAAATTTATTTTGGATGCGCTCCACCATTAGAGAATATTTTTTTTCTTGTGGGGCCCAAATCATAGAATTATATTCCAAGTGGCTCCTAACAAGTGCATTATACAATGCCATTACCGCTTTTATATTTGAAAATCCTTTGGCCATACGCAAAATAAACCCTAAATTCCTATAAGCTTTTTTACAAATTATTTTTATGTTATCCCGAAAATTTAATTCCACGTTTAAATGAACCCCTAGGTCTTTTATTTCGGCTACTCTTGGAATTGGCTGTTTCTCAATGTTATAATTATAAAGAATCGGTGTCCGTGCTCTGGAAAAAGAAATAACAGCACATTTTGCAGAATTAAGCTGCAGTCGATTTTTCCTGCACCAATTTACTACCCGATCAATATCCTGCTGCAATCGTAGACAATCTTCCTCACTATTAATCGGCCGTGATAATTTAAGATCATCCGCGAACATTAAACATTTTGCCTCTTCTACTACCCCTGGTAGATCATTTACCATTAACAAAAATTCTAAAGGTCCTAAATTGCTCCCCTGCGTCACGCCAGACCAAGTGTAATAGTTCCTAGATTTAATGCCATCATATTCCACATACTGCTCCCTATCTGTCATGTGACTTGCCATAAACCGAATCAATGACGCAGTGAAGCCAACTTTTGCTAATTTCATCAAGAGCACGTCGTTATCGACCGTGTCAAATGCTTTTCGTATATCAAAGTAGGCTGCATCAACTTGTCCTCCACTATCCACAACTGGTACTATGCAAGTCAAGAAGCTTAATAAGTTGCTCGTGGTACTTCTTGCTGCTCGAAATCCATGTTGTGAGTCAGAGAGTTGAGATCCTACCTGATCAAGAATGCACTTTTGAAGCGCTGACTCCATTACCTTCGCTGGTGTTGACAAAATCGCCACCGGTCTATGATGGTCTACTTTGTCACTTTGTCTACCTTTAGGTACCGGAACCACTTTGCTAATTTTCCAACGATCTGGGAATGTTGACGCTTTAAGGCTAAGATTGAATATATGGAGAAGGGGTTCCGCCAATACTGCCCGACAGTCTCTAAAGATATACGGAGGTATACCATCAGGCCCCCGCGGACTTTTTTGGTTTTAAACGTTGTAAGGCATTCCGTACCTCCTCTAATTGCAACTTATCTACGTGAACCAATGTTCCCCCACTTCCACAATCCGCCTCCGCAATAGCTTTCTTAACGTCAAGCTTGGGCTTTTGCGTAACATACACTGAACTGAAATAATTAGCGAATTCCTCTACCCTCTTATCCATAGTTAACTCTTTTCCGTTACTAACAATACCCCTAGGCTGTCTTTCAGCCCTTTGGCTCTTTACAAATTTCCAAAATGACCTAGGATTTTCTATGACGTTCGTTTCAATAACTTTCTGATACCTATCAAATGCCTTAGCAATCCCTACCTTTACCTCAGCCCTACACAAGCTAAACGCTTGGTAGTCACCTTGCAACTTAGTTCTCTTATAACGCTTATGTAGCTTAGCTTTCCATTTTATTTTACGAATAATTTCATCATTATACCATTCCGGATACGCGTGTTTTGAGTGAACATATCCTTTTAGGGTTTCTTTTGGCACACAATCGTCAAAGATAGCATTTAAAATATTATAAAAGCTATCTAGACTCGCATCTAAGTCCGAAGAAAATATACTAGACCAGTCTGCTGCTCCTATCCTCGAATACAACATATCGTAATTGGCTTTTTGAAATTTCCATTTCAATGGTCTACCTACCTTATCTACCGCCTTCGTATATTTCACCAGGGACGCCGCCGATCGGGGCCATACACACACATTTACGCTGCTAACCCCCCCAACCTTGCATAAAACCAGATCCAAAATTCTTTCATTAATATTTTCTACTGAATTGCACTGACTGAATTCACAATAATGTAAAAAATAATCCTCAAAATAATTTCTAACCAAATTAGAACAAGAGTATAAATTGAAATCCCCTAACACTAATACACTACTATATTTGTGGCAATAATCTTCTATTATTTTAAATAATAACAAATATTCATGATCATTACTATTAGGAGGAATATATAGGACACACACAAAAAATAAAAACCTACTTTTTAAAAAAACAGTCGCACAAACAAGTTCAAATGCCCGACACTCGATATATACATCGGTAGGCAATATCACTCGCCTCATCTCTAAACGCGGAGTGGCTATCAAACAGGCTCCACCCTGCTTGCGGCCGTCCGCGCGATCACATCGTAGTATAGTAAAGCCTATTGGAACCAACTCAGCATCAGCTATTGACTCATTACAGCCTGTTTCTGTGACAGCAATCAAGTCTGCCTCTGCTGTCAACACACTTGCGTTGAAGTTAACTAATTTAGTCCGAAGCCCCCTTACGTTTTGATAGAATATATCAATTGGTTTACTTCCACCCTTCTTTACTTTTGTTCGATCTCCGAAACCACACCCAATCACAAAATTCTATATTTACTGGCCAATTTTCAGGTTGACAGAGTACCTTATATTCACTTTCTGGTACACCAATAATAAAAGAAGCATAGTCCCTCTCTGTTTTATGATTTATCTTTTCTACGCTAACTGTCACATTTTTGTTATATATTTTTTTCACATAGCTTTCCAAACATTCCACCGACGTTTCCTTTTTTTTTAAGCGCCATACGTGTAAAAACTTCTTCCGCTCGGTCCCTTCAATCTGTATAGCGTTTCTGCAATCACCCTTTTTTACCTCTTTTCGAGGGTATTTGCTCCGGGGACTGTCATCGCCATTCAACTTTGCCTTGGTTTCCAACATATTACACTTTTTTCGCAATTTCTCCTTTACTTGCTCTTTAATCGTTGGCAATCCGTTTTGGTCTTCAATTTGTATTGACGCCGACGTCGTGGCCTCACATTCCTTCATGGACGCATCGGTAATTTGGCTATTATGTTTTAGGACATCCACAAAAGATTGCACAGGTGTCGTTGTATTCAAACCGGTCGGCTTATTTATTATTTCCTCGCCAAGTAGATCGCATTTTGTTTTTTTTTCGACTACCCTCATTATTTCCCGTAATTCTTTCAATTCCAATTCAGCATTAATGAATCTATTTTGTAGCTCATTATAGTCTTTTTTCTGCTCTTCAAAGCGGTTCAGCATGTCTTGCCTAAAATCCTTCATTTCTTTAAGCAAGTAACTGAAATAATTCTCAACAAGAACATCATTTTTTTGAGGACTTACGCTTTTCGGTGTTATAGTAATTTGAGACCCTTTACGATTAATTTTATCCACCTTGGAAGCGTAACACAAACATTCTGGACACCTCCACCAATCTTTCTCGTGCTGATTCATCATCACCAATTTTTCTTTGCTTATATTTAAACACTGTATATGATACATATTACCGCATTTAAACTTAGAACACTTCAAGTACAAAGAATTATTAATTCTGTTTTTACAGTTCTTGCATTCCATTTTTGCACCCAAATTAAAACAACTGACTACTTAGTCAAACAAAAAATACGTCCGTCTACCGTCGTCGCACGGCGAGAATTCGTATTTGAATGCTATTGTGTTGTCTGATATATTTGTACCAGTAGTTAGGTTGTATTTTTTATCTTATGTAATTCATATCTTGCGATATTGAGGTATCTTCGTGATACAGCACATGCAAGCATGCGAATTTGTAAAAAAAAGAATGAATTTCATGGAAAGTTGGGCATATATGACAAGTACCGACAGTCGAGTTTATTTCATGTTAGGGACAATAAAGCAACAAAACAACGTACTCAGCTCCGCAGTTTTACTCATTTTGGCCACTTAAAAAGTAGATTTTAGTATTAAGTATTAATTGTTGTAGTTATTGAGGTTGGGTGTAATGCTATGTAGAGTGTATCATTGTATGGAAGACAAGCTAAACAAACCAAAGCCGAGTGGTTAAATTGAGGTATGTTACATGGAGTTTACACTGTACTAACTTTTACACTTATTCCAATATTAAAGCATATAGTTAATACATTAAAGAATATGTAAATGACATGACATATATTGTGTCTTTTATGTACACTATACATTATAAGCAAAGTAATTTTAATTTACCCAATAAAATACTAGAGAATATACTTGATTCTAGCTAAAATATTGGTTTGATTCAACATTCATATATATATTCATTCTTAAAACTAAATTTACACATAATATTTTTGTCTAAATGTGCAAGTGTATCGTATGTATTCTTACATGTGCATGATACACAAAGTTTAGTCATTAAAAACCTTTCATTTAATTATACTAAAGGTTTTTGTATCTTCAGCAACACAATAATTATTTAATTAAAATTAATCAAAATCTCAGGTAGGGTGTAGCTCAGTGTAGTGGTATGTGTAATTTACATAGAGAAGCCACAAACAAAACTCAAGTTATAACAATCCATATTATGGAAATCATAGAGGTTCTGAGTTTTATTCCCAAAATAATAATTGACTATTATTAATATTTTGGGTTAAAATTGCCTGATCATCTGCTTGCCTATAGATAAAAATTAAGTACAACAGGTGCGAAAATGTGTCTACTTCTCTCTCTAGTTACAAAATCAAATCTTATAAACCTATGACTATAATAAGGAAGTATATTAATCTTAGAATAAAACTGTTCATAGAGCATATTAAAACAATGTATGGGTAGACATGAGACCATTTTATCAATAATTTGATATCCTTAATAAGAATTGGTATACCAATAAGTAAAATAAATTTAAATAGGGAGTGTGTCGTCTGGAAAACGTGCCTGCCTGTATCAGGGGTATCTTTACAGCACATTTTTCTTTCGAGAGTAATAACAAGATGGCAAATCATATTTCAATAGCATGCAGTCAATCTATAAAATTTCGAAACTGGGGAAAACACTGGCGAAACATATAAAAGGCCGGTAACTCACCGATTTGTGATTTAGTGCTCTCGAACAAAGCTTTTGATGTTAAGTATTCTTCAAATTTAGTATCAATGTATGAGTTAAGTTTTTCCTCAACACCAACAGGCAAGTTTGCAATTTCTGTGTCAGATAAAACATTATTAAGATGCTTTTTATCACCGGCTTCATCAGTGGCGACTTCCATTTTTGCACTTTTACCACTCTAATTTAGCTTGACATTTGCATTTGAGTTTCGAGCAATGAGTATTTGACTATTTGGGCAACGCGTTCCTCATTTTTTTATCTTTCCAGATTCATGGCGGATACATGTCTTTCCGTCGAATTTTTGTCTGTGGTTATGACTTATCGGTATTCCAACCTGGGGCCTTAGTCAAGATGCCTTAACAGTAGTGTATGTAGAAAGTCGAAAACTTAATTTGTATGGAAATGACAGTTCGTGTCGAAAAGTTTTCATACAAATTTAGTTTTTGACGTTCTACATACACTACTGTTAAGGCATCTTGACTGAGGCCCCAGCACTATAACTCCCGTATGCCAAAACAAAATACTTTTGACGTATGGCGCTACGTTTCGAACTAAAACGTTTGAAAAGATTGTATAATCGATGTTCGATAGCATCTCATTTCGATTTTTTTTAAGATCGGTTCATATCCGTAACTTAGACAGTGGGGAGCCTCATAGCCTAGTGGTCTAATTAATTGGCAGCTAGGTGAGGGGTACCGGGTTCGATTCCCGGTTCGAGAGCAAGTTTTAATTTAATCTAAATTTGTTCTCGGCCTTTGGGAGGGTTGTACGGTACCGGGTGAGTGCCTAAACCGTACATGAAGGACATGGTCGAATTTCTAAGGCAAAAAGCACGAATTATAAAAATCTTATATTTATTTATTTATTTCGTAATCCTACAGCTAACATAAATTATATATAATAACACACAGTTACACTGAAAATATAGCCAGAGATGGAAAACATAATACATTTTACTACAAAAAGGTTCAAAAATTTACAAAATCAAACAAACAAAAAAAAAAAAATTATTCAATACATTCAACTAAATAATACCTAATTTGGCTGTGTTGTGTGATGGTATAAAAGTAAGTGTAAGTACGTGAGGATGTGAATGTGGGGTATGCTCATGATGCAGGTGATTTTGCGCTATGGATATTCTTAATGCTCCTTTTAACCATATTCCGCGACAGCTTAAACAGGGGGTCTAGCCATATTGGTGTCGAAAAGTATTCTACATACACTACCGCTTTTGCGTAATTGTACTGTCGAAAACGCTTCGTTCGTAGCCAAGACGCATGTCGATACATTACCGCAAAGTCGACAGCGTAGATGCGAGCTGCTGTTCGTAGCACCTTATTCCGTCATATTGTCTCTGGATTAAATGTATTCCTAATGTCACTTTTATAAACAAATAAAAGTTAAAACTACAATATTATTGTAAATTTGCAATAATTGCAAATTCCAATTATTGGAAGCTGCAAAAGGGACATTAGAATGTCAGCAAGGTCGGAACAATTTTCGATTTAAGTGGAATTTACGGAAGGTGCAAAGACAATATATGAATTTTAATTGCATGTTTAAATTAATTATGGTTTGTTTCATGTTTTCTCAGAAATTTAAGGCTACAAATAAATACAATATTTTGAAATTGCATAATCGCGATATATAATAATTAGTCGTACTCATACTTTGATATTTTTAGGATTAGGAACCTCACAACTAATCTGCAAAATGAAGAAGCAACATATTTTGTTACCGCTTAGAAGAAACAATAGAAATAGTACTGTGGATTGATAAATAAAGAGTGAAAATAAGGTTTACTAGAAGTTGATAAGGAATAGAAGGATAGTCCAAGGAATTAAAAAACAATAGAAAAAAAACGTAGACTAGTGTGAACACTGAAATTAGAGTTTGATTTAAGCTTTAATTAGGTTTGGTGTTTGTGTTTGAACATTTTTAATGTCAATTTGTAAGCAGATTTATATATAAGTGTAGATTTTATTAGTGATTACTAAGTACTAGTTGGAATTATCTCTGTTTATGTCTAACAAACAATTTCAGTTTAAGTTAGAGTCATAAAGGTTGATTGTTTATAATAAATTTATACTTTTAGAAAGTGAGAATTAAAAAGCAGCAAGTACTCAATGAAATGAAAAGAGGGATTAATAAAAATTATAAAATAGAAACTTAGTCTGGTATGAAATTATAACCCTTACTCAACCTTTGATTCCATATTGATGCTCCAACATCTTAGATATAAATTTAAGTTTGATGCTGATTTTAAGTTAATATTTATGTCAATAAACTTTTGGTTATATCAGTGATTTGCTACTAGTGAATATGTAAATGCAAAATCTGTTTAAGTAAGAAATGAATAAACATTGTATGTTATGTATTTGTCAGTTTTATTTTTGGTAATTTACCTGTCTTCTTTAGTAGGAAAAGCCAGTGTAAAGTGGTTAACAATATTAGTTTACTTTACAAGAATATACAGATAATGCATATATGAATGACCCGTACCTACTAATAGTTAGAAATATTAAACAAATAGGTAGCAAAATAAAAATATTTCAGTTATGGTTATTTTTTATTAAAATAAGGCACCAAATATCTTCCTTAACATAATGCAGTCTACATAGAAAAATAAGCATATGTAACAACTTATTAAACAATACAGACATTACTACTGAACACACACAGGTGCACCAAATTCAATGCATTACTACCTAATGTAGATGTATTCAATTATTCATATTTTTATATGTAGGTAATTAACTAATAAATGTAAGTGTTAATTTGCAGCAGTCAATAGGTATCTTGTTTGTGTGCTGTTATATACAAAAAATTGTTCAATTCATAAAACCTAACGTTAGATGTTGTGATGATTTCATAAAATTACTATGATACCTACAGTTACTATGAATACATCCTGATTGTTTCCTTAACACAACAATTGTAAATAATAATAGTTAGGTATTTTAAAGATATAATTCTTCCCAAAATCTACAAATCCAGTTTGTTTATAATAATATCTCATTGACATTCAAACTGCTGAACTTATTAAGATTAAATGTGGAAGAACATAGTTTCAGTTACTGTTTCCTGTTCATGAGGTAATGTTACTTAACCAACCATTATTTCATACTCCACTTGTCTTATTTTTTACATTATTCATAAAATGCTTCATTACCCATTTTCAGGTACATAATATACCTAACACTAAAATTAATTAAAAGATAAGACTTTAGTAAAACTTGTCCATTTGTGGTTTTTTTTAAATATTTTAAGTTGTCTTATTAGCTTCTCTTTTTCTGAAAAGAAAATATTTTAGTTAGTACTTTGATCAAATAGAAAACTGACAAACTAAACTAAGATCGGTCCAAGGTTTGTTCAATAGGTAACTTTAATATTAAAACTCTTTACTTAATTCTAAACTTGAAAATATACCTACTTAATTTGTCACTTTGCTGCTTATTGTCAATTAAAGTTTTTAATAACCAAACAATGTCAGTAACTCCCAAGGGACTTGAATTCAAACTTCTCATTCATTAACAATATTATAATAGATATCTCTAGTATATTGACTTAGTAAATAATTAAAGAAAATATCTGCTTACCATTACGTAGTATTGCTCACTAGATTTTATATTTCTAAAGTTCATAAAGTATAAATCCACTTTATTTGATTAATTTAAATCAATATTATATCATTATCAGCTTCTATTATAATTACAATAAAATATATTTAGAACTTCTAATTATGTTCATTAGTGACTGCTTTCTCATCTGAAATATACAAATAAAATGTACAATCATTTTTCTTTGTGATTATATAATATATGCAATATTAAATGGTACATATATGTATTTTTCAAATTAAAGAACAATTTCATGAACTTACATGCAATATAAATATCAATAAAAGATATCCAATATAACTAGGATTTACCTCTACTAATTTGCTGATTTTCTTGATATTTTCATATTTATCTGTGTCTATTAAGTTATCCTCGCATTGATTCATTGAAAAACTAAAACTCTAAACACGAGAACGTTAAAAAAAACAGATAACAAATTAAAATCATTTCGTTAAAACGTCCAAAATAAGACATGTTTTTAAAACGGTAGCGATTAAAGATGGCAATAGTTGTACTGAATTATTGCAAACAGCAGCTTTTGAGATCACGCTAAAACATGGCGGAGAAACGCCGTTTTTTCTACACTGCCGAAACATTAATTGGCCGTTGGCTACCGAATAGCGTAAGCGTTAATGTGTGTCTTTTCGTAGCACTGTCATGGCGTCGCTTATTGTATCCCGACTCACGCCTTTAGGGCCTAGGCTACCGACTGTCGACACGGGCTGTCATTTTCATACAAATTTAGTTTTCGACTTTCTACATACACTACTGTTAAGCCATCTTGGCTAGACCCCCAGGTCAAGGCTTAAATATTGGTCGTTGTAGGTCCGGGCTGCGCGATACAAAACTGAGTTTTTTGCATAGTTAGTGTTAATGTGAGGAACATGAAACAAAGCACGATTACGAGTCTGGTAGGCAGGAACAAGGAAGGGCAATTTTTCTAGAAGGGAGCTGCAATTAATTTTATTTGAGATGATGTCATGTAGTAGCAATAAATCATATTGTTTTCGTCGAGAGTCTAAAGTATTAATTTTAAAATGTTCACACGCGTCTTTATATGTATTAAACTTATTGTAGGTCTTATAGGAGATAAATTTTATGAAGTCTTTTTGGATCTTTTCAATTTTTTCTTTGTGTAAAGTGTAATTAGGTGACCAAACCGAGCAACCATATTCGAGAATACTTCTTACGTATGTATAGTATAGCACTTTCATACAGTCGACATCATGAAAATGTTCACTAACACGTCTTACAAAACCAAGCCGCTTATAGGCCTTGTCAACTATTGTGTCAATATGGTTATTATAGGTCATTTTATAGTCTAACCATATACCTAAGTCACGAACACAATCTACTTCTTTTACGGATTTGTTATTAATATGATAGTTAAAGTTATTTTTTTTTTCTGGTGAATGTTATTATATGAACACATTTAGAAGTATTAACCGATATTCGATTTTGTCTATAATAATTGGAAAGGTTAATTAAGTCGGCCTGAATTTTGTGACAGTCCCCTTCTTTGTTTATTTTTAAGTATATCTTTTTATCATCAGCGAACATAGGGTAATTTTAATCTTTAATGCTACTATTTATGTCATAAAGATATGCATTGTATAGCAGGGGACCCAATATAGATCCTTGAGGAACTCCAGAACTTATACGAACAAAGTCACTTCTAGCACTGCCAACCGCAACGGCCTGTCTACGATTTGTTATATATGAACAAAACCAGCGATGAAGGTCACCACGTATCCCTAGAAGTTGGAGCTTATGTAATAGGATGGTGTGATCCACTCTGTCGAAAGCCTTCTCAAAATCTGTGTAAATTACATCAACCTGTGCACCACCATCCATACTTTGCAGTACATAGTTCGTAAACACGGTTAAGTTGGTTATCGTAGAACGTTTATTGATAAAACCATGCTGTTCATCGGGAAGTGAATTACTTATTATATTGTGGATGGCTTTATAAATTATCTTTTCAAAGACTTTACTGAAAGTATTAAGTATCGATATTGGGCGATAATTTTCAATACTCAACCGCGAGCCACTCTTATGAATCGGTATTATTTTAGCTATCTTCCATACATCAGGATAAATGCTTAAAAGTTTGAGCACATTTTTTGATAAAAATAGGTGGTATACCGTCATACCCAGCTCCTTTTTCTGCATTTAATGAATTTAGTATCTTCAATATATCAATTTTGGTTATATTAAGTTTACATATAATGTTGTCGGTTACTTCCGTATTAGTCTGCAGAATTTCATGGTATGAAGGTGCTGCTTGTTGAAATACGCTCTCAAAGAAAGTACTGAATCCCGTGCATGCTTCCGATTCGTTATTATATATATTACTTCCTAATTGTAATCTATTTGGATAGCCAGTGTTATTAATTCGTAAGGATTTTAAATATGACCAGATTTTCTTTGGATCTTTCTTTAACGATGTTTGTATTTTTTGCATATATAAATTAAAACATTTTTTTTGGATTGCCTTCTGTCTAGCACGAAGTAAAGATAACTCATCATAATCTCGTGGGTTTCCTCTTGCTTTCCAACGAGAGTGAGCGGTTCGTTTGTCGCGTATTATATGTATGAGCGACTTAGAATACCAGACCGGATATTTGTTATAAGTATAAAAGGTAGTCTTAGGCACATACTGTTCAATTCCACGGTGGAGGATTGAATAAAATTTCTGCACAATTATGTCAATGGTGTCGCCTCTTAGTGAGTCATTCCAGTCTATACCGTTAAGATATTCATTTAATTTATAGTAGTTAGCCTTCGTGAAGTTATATCTTATCTCCTTTTTTAATTTAATACTAGGCGTCATCAATTCCGACACTTTCAGTTCCAGGCATGGATGGCTTGGGTCTTCTTTAACGAGATAACTGCAAGATTTAGACACCTCAATGTATGTGTCACTAAATATTAGGTCTAGTATATTTCTAGAGGAGTTTTTATGAAAATTATTGTACTGACTGAGGCCAAGACTACTGCATGATTCAACAAGCTTTGCACCCAATACTTGACGCTGGCTAATGCACAAACCGTGCCAGAGCCATTAAAAAAACTTAGACAGTGATAACTGACAATATTTCAAGATAGGCTATAGATCTAATAATCTGTGTCTGTGGTTTCAAGCTTCGCAGCGATGATCCAGAATTTTTATAATTTAGTTTTTAATTTTTCACATAAATAAAATTTAATATACAGAATAAGTTTACTAAATATATTTGTGCCTTGGTATATAAATTCATTAAATATTTTTTAAAGTTCCGAATCTTCTGCGTGCAGAAAAAAATAATTAAAGCGGAATAATATTAACCTTACGACACTATGTGGATTTTGGAAATAAATTCATTTTTATAGGTTTGTATCAAAGATATTATTTTATAATTATTTTATTTACAGTATATACCATATAACTGTCGATTATAATATTTTATATTTTTATAAACATAAATAGCTCACTTTATACCCGTAATGGTGACTAAATAAATAAAGGTCCAGTATAATATAATATAAATGAAAGAATTTTATTTTGACACAATAAATTATATCACTTACAATTTTAATACATCAATTTGATTACATAATAGTATTTTTTCTCTTTTATATTTTCTTATTGAACAGATCTTTATAGTGTGTTTCTTATTATTTGTCTCATTAATTTCTAAGGTTAATCTTATAGCACTGGATTACATGACCTGAGGATATGGGTTTAAACTTAAATTAAAGACAAAAATAATCAGCAGAAGTCTCAGCCCTTATGGTATCAGAAATGTGAGAGCACTTGTTATAAAAGGTCATTATTGTCATAGCTGTTTATGAACAACATTAAAGAACAATGTTATTTCTCTTTCTATATTTTCTATTAAATTGTTGGGCAAAATATAATTACGGTAAAATAATTAAATTAGGTTAAATATTAATCATTAATCAATACGGTTTATACACAATTTTAAAGATTATTTTATAATAAGTTACTTATATTAATAACAGCGTCACAGTGGCGGGCTGTGAGCACGGAGCCAGCGGCGCTGCCTCTGGGGGCGGGCGGCCGGGCGACACAATACGTCGCGTTAAGGTGAAGATGTCGTCAGTTTCTGCTCAAGGCGTGGTGGAGCGCGCTTCTGCTGAACTCTCGCGTCGAATCACGGGTCTCGGCCTCCGTGGCAGAAAGCGTTCTCCTGGTGTAGTGGAACGGGTTGCTAATGCACTCTGTGGTCCTGCCTCATCTGCTCCGAGAATACCCCGTCGGAGAAGACCCTCACCGAGACCCCTAGTCTGGAGTCAGTTTATATTAGATGAAAGATTTCTTGAAAAGTTTTTTCTTTATTTCAATTCTAATGATAGAAGAACCCTTGGTCAAGTATGCACGAAGTGGAGGGATATTCTGTACTCGTCTACCCGCTGGTGGATGGGTCTTGTTGCCATAGTGGATTTCCGTGAGAGTAGATCTGAGTCTGAATGTTGCATGCAAAGATTTTATAACTCTGTGGTGAGGAGGGGTGTTCGTGGAATGGCTTTGGTGGCGGCATCAGATGAGGACATTAATGAGTTTATTCGAGTATTTCCATTGTCAGCTAACCATGTTAATGCTTTAAGTTTGAAGGGTTGTACAGTAACAGACAGAGGTTTAGAGTCTATTCTGGATCATTTAGAGGTGGGTTCACTAATAGGAATTGTATCATTAAATAATTTGTGATCATAAATGCTTTTATTTTGCTTTTTAGGTTCTATTTGAGCTTGAGTTGACAGGCTGTAATGAAATAACAGAGGCTGGTATATGGGCATGTTTAACCCCAAGAATTGTCTCACTCACACTTACTGACTGTATTAACATTGCAGATGAAGCTGTAAGTTATTTGTATTTTGTATGCTTGCATTGCATGGCATTAGCCATAAATCAAATAATATTATATGTTTTACCAAACAGGTTGGTGCTGTGGCTCAGCTCTTACCATCATTGTATGAGTTCTCACTTCAAGCCTACCATGTGACAGATGCAGCTTTGGGTTATTTCTCTCAAAAGCAGAGTGCTTCACTCAGTATATTAAGGCTTCACAGTTGTTGGGAGCTTACTAATCATGGGGTTGTCAACATAGGTAAAAAATATTTTTTTAAATTACATTTGAAAGCTATTAAAGTATATTTAGGAACAATGGTGATTGTTCTATACTATACTGTGTGTACATATTTTTTGTCAGTTCACTCATTACCGAACCTTACGGTGCTGTCATTAAGTGGGTGCAGTAAAGTAACAGACGAAGGTGTGGAGTTGGTAGCAGAGAATCTTCCACGTCTAAGAAGCCTCGACCTTAGCTGGTGTCCGCGAGTAACTGATAGCGCGCTGGAGTACATCGCGTGTGATCTCAACCAACTGGAGGAATTGACACTTGACAGGTATATTTATTTAATTTTACTTACTTCAGGTCACATGATTAGTATATCTGTTTCTAGTTGATCTTCTCAAATAAATTAAAAATAGAATGTTTCAAAATCGTATGTTGTTGACAACATTTCAAGTTTTAATAATATTAGAAACAGCCAGCAACGTTTCTAAAGAATAATAACATGTTTGGTACACATAAATAATTGCTTTTTCGCGAAGTGCATTTCCATACTTTCTTATGATAAACCTTAAAGATTGCAACCGTCAATATTGAAAAAATAAACATAGTTCCATATTCTAATCCGTATCTCAAGTCACAACCTCCTTTTGAGCCCTATGAAATATTTCATTCTACAATAATGTAAATCATACATGAGAAAATGGTTTGAGAGCTATTGAAACTAGATTTAAGTTTGTTTGTCGTGACATATATGTGACAACTATTAGCATTTTTTCATTGAATTGTCTTAAACTATAATCTTCCGAGTCTAAGGCGGTCATTGTAGTTGTAGTAGCTTTGAGCAGGCCGACCTTTTTAATGTAAACTTGATTAATTCAATTATTTTACATGAAAATAAATGTTTTTTAATATCTTTCAGATGCGTGCACATAACGGACATAGGCGTGGGTTACATCAGCACGATGCAATCTCTGGTAGCATTGTATCTCCGTTGGTGCTCACAACTCCGAGATTTTGGCGTACAACATCTATGTGCTATGCGCGCTTTGCAACTGCTCTCGCTGGCCGGTCTGTATACTTTTCTGTACTAATATTTAAATACTATAGATATAAAAAAAAGGTAAAAATATCACTTCATGTTTTGCCTGTGACTTGTGTTTTAAAATGATATTCAATGTCCCTCTTTTTCCATTGATACTAATGTGCGTTAGTATAAAACATAGAGCATTGAAAATACCGTGTTTACATTAAATAAACAAAAATCATCATTTTTTTTAAATAAAAATCGCTCAATATTTTGTTTTTCGTTATGCAATTTTTATTTTCTGTTGAAGACTAACTTTTTATGCATATAATTAAAAAAATACCAACTTGGTATAACAAACATGGTTACGCTTGCTACCTTTTGTCCACGATTTATAATAAGGCCGTTCCTATCAACGTTCATTCTTTATTTCTCGTAAACTGAGACGCTTATGTGAAAAAAAAGATAGTAAGCTTTAGGGCTTAATGAGCTTTAGTTATGATAACCTAGTAGACATAGTCACGAATACAAAACCATACTTAGTAGAAAAGAAATAATTAATTTAATTTTGTTATTTATTTTTGCTTGCTTAATTTTATTTTATTCATTTGGCAACATTCAATCCAACCAATCATAAACGGTGTAAATGGTGGTGAAAGTTTAAATGCTGGAGATACACACAATCACCAACTCAAATTTTTATTGCTTATGACATAATATGTTCTTAAGTATTTATATGATTTCAATACTACTTTGTTCAGAAGTAAAAATGCCAAAACCGACAATTCTAGGGTGCCCATTGCTAACGTCAGGCGGTTTGTCCAGTTTGATTCAGCTCCGTCAATTACGAGAGCTTGAATTGACGAATTGTCCAGGGGCTTCGCCAGAACTATTCGATTACCTGCGGGAACACTTGCCCAGATGTGTCATCATAGAATAATATGCGTAGGTATAACTTCAGGGGTTCACGTGGCTTGTATAGCAACTAAGAAAGTGTTCTTGTAAGAATTTGAATTCTGTGACGTTTTTCAACATTTATGAAATTCCATAATTATTGAATATTCTTGTGCATTTAATTGTCATACTTTATTGGTATAGAAAGAATCATTCCCTTGTTACAACCATAGACTTCAGTTGTCACAGAATTCAAACTATATGTTACAGTTTCCATATGTAAAGCATGTTCATATAATCTTGATATGTGGCTGCAAATGAGCCTGGAATCATATGCACTATTTCCGTTAACAATCATTAAATGATATAATTTATGACAAAAAGCATTGTTCTTATAATAAAAAAATCATATTGTTTTTATTTGAATTGCAAATTAAATGGACATAGTGCATGTGCCTCCGAAAAATTTATATTCAATATAAAACAGATATACAGTATTTGCTAATAGTCAATTTTTAGAGTTGCATTATGCGTTATTCGATTAAGACTAATCTGAATCTCAAAATGACTATTTTCGATATATTTTTAGCTTTACATTTTCACTACGCTATTTGTGTGGTGCTGAAAGCTAATTTAAGTTTGACCAATTGTACGCTTTTCACGAGACTTGGATTTATTGCATGTATAAGACTACCGTTCTCTATGTAATGTACAGAAGTAGTGTTATTATAGTATAGCTCAAATTTCCGAATATTATTTTTAAATATGTTAACGGCGCTTCATTTTTTTTATAAAGCAGCGAAGTGTGTGTTATCATTTATATGTTATTAAAGTCTAAATATGTTCGCGCGCTTGTAGCGTTTTAAGAGTCAACTGACAAGAGAAAGCGAGTAAACGCTGACAACGCAAGAACGAGTAACATCGCAGTGCAATTTGGTTATTAATTTAGAGAATCGCCTTATTGACCTTTATGATGTATATTAAGAACTTAGTCCCTAAATAAAACTATGAATGAATGTATTTTTTAGCGTAAATCTCTAGATTTTTGCACCGCAATATCCCACCTAATTCTATTTGCTCAAGTTCCTCTTATGTGTAACTGCGGAACGTTTGCTTTCATTATCTATTAATCAAATGAAAAATATCTTTATCGTGGATACAATAAAATATTTCTAGTCGGTATAGAAGTTATGTTTATGAACTAATTCATTGACAGCTTCTTAAAACTTATCAAGGCAAATAACGATCGAAAACTAAATCAAGATCTCATCTCAGTATGAGTGACAAAGTATTAAACGCTGACGTAAAAATGTCCTCGTCGAATATTTGTATGAAAATTCTTACAGGGCGTAAAATTTAGAGTTTTCATACAAATGTGTGACGGAGTGGTTTTGTATGGTAGCGTTTCAAACTTTATCAAACTCATGGTAAGACTACTGTAGTGCTACTGTTGGCAAAGTGTTAAATGTACGACTGCGTAGAATATTAGTACGAAATCTTGTTTTGCACGGTACCACTTAAAAATTATTGACTAAGATTAGTTGGCCTTAGATAATTCATCCAGATTTTTTTAATTGCTGTCCTTAAAAAAAATTGCCGATATATAAGACTAAATAAACAATTAATATAAATTTAATCAACAGGATCCAATATTATAGTTGTTAATAACTTGAAACCTATATAACCATTTGGTAAACAATATTGAACTATAACGTCTGTATTATTTTGATAGCTATTTCTAGTTTAAGTCTAGTCAGAAAATTATGTTTAGGTATCAAACAGTGTGGTTCTTAAGTTAATATGTGTGACTGCTATGCAATATCTATATTAAACAGAACTCTACTAAACAAGGATTTAAGGCGATTACAAGCGTTAGATATTTTTGCTAACTATACACGTTTTTTGTGTATAGTGTGTGCGTAAGTCGTTCACACATATGGGACTTGGGATAAAATCACTATTTGACATGTGCAACCCACTAACGCTAATCGACATTGGATGGGAATGACATTCGCTCACGCTTAGTCACGTGACCATTTAAACCAACTGATTGTGTGTCGAGCCCATGGAACCAAATATCTCGCTCACTCACATTAATAAGAATAAATCTTTCTCTCTCTTCAATAATTGGTAAATTTTGATTAACGAGTTATTTGAGGAATATCAACTAGTACATACCCAATACGTAATCGTTCTTAGTTATTTTTATTATTTAAAACTCTTGAATAAGGGACTATTCTATAACATGCTCTTTTGACAAACGGTTCTATGAGAAATATGGCGGTATTTTGATCAAAGAATTCAGCCATAATTTTTATAACTTTGTCTAAAAATGTACCAAATCTTCAAAAATAAAGATCTCACGATCTAAATCTCAGTTTAAATATTGGCGGATATTTAACTTATGGGGTTTTATCGCGCTTAAAACATAAACGCTATACACTGGATCTTAAATATCCCGCGTCAAATTAGTTGCATCATTTTGTACATGCGTCGTACACGGAATAAATAAATAAGGTTGGAAATGCCTTTGGTCGAATGTATGGAGTGAAACGCTCACTTGCCAAATACCTAAGCTCGAAGTGGCGACGCTAATATTTTACTTTTTGAAAAGCATTAAAGGGTATTTATTATCTATTAATATATACGTTTTTAACGAGTTTTAACTTCTTATTTTTTTTTAGTTATTGAAGTTTCACGTTTACTTCCCATCCCAAGTTTTAAAATTTTTTTACAGATACTATGCGTACGAAGTCAATTCTCGAATAAAATATTTTAATAGACGCAAAAACGTTATGTTATTGTTCACTAGAACACGGCCGGACGTCGTGGTCGTGGTGACACCAGTTTTATGGTCTCTAAGGAAATGATAATTATTATACAATCAAATTTATATCGATTCTGCTTAACGTTTGTCTGTGGGCAATATTACTAGAAAAAGTATTGACCATTTAGAAGCACAATAGCTATAAGTAAAAAATTATTCCGTATTTCTTAAATATTCGTTGATAATACTTTAATGTCCTTATTACTATTTTATAAAGTAATTATTATGATATTTTTGTGGGTCTATGATTTTTCTAGTTTTTTTTTTTACAAATTTTATTACTATACCGTCCGAATCTTATGTACAAGTGTGTGAATGTGTGTGTTAAGTGTGCATGGTAAAATTATTAAAGGTACCAATACTGAACAGAGTTTTTGTATTGGAAGATTTAACAAGTATATATGATTTGTGGCGAAGAAATCGTTTCGAGACATTATAGACACAGTAGAAAGTAGATAATATTTCATTAAATAAATTCTTTAACAAAACTACGTAAAACCAACAATATGATGCAATATGCGTGCCTCTAAACGTATGTAGTACTAGTTTAGCTTGTATAAATACTTCGGTATATATGTTCTCACGTTATTCTCAAATATTTGATGTTGTGTAGAATTTTATTTTTCCTAATACTAGAGTGCTCATTCTGTACATATTTCGTGACAAATATTTTGAAATTCAAATAAGACTTAAAACGTTGTTTAGACGATAATTCTGGTAAATGGTTGTAATTAAACAATATAAGCAATAATATTTGTGTATTTATTATGTCTTACGCAGCGTCTTACTACTACTAGACAACGCTGGGCAACAGCATCATTAAGATTTCGAAATCATACTTTTACAACTTTACCTTGAAAGTATTGTCACTGCGTGGTCTGAATCTATATTTTTGTATATGTGTGGTAGCTATTTAATTATCAATTTAGCATTTATTAAATGTACTGGTGTGTTTTATTTGTGGCTGATATTTGAATTTTGTTTTGAACCTAATTCCTTATGAGTTGAAAAAAATATGGTTTTGTACTTAAATATGTATGTCTTTTGTTTTTAGGTAGTGTGTTTATTTGTAAATTACTAAGTGAGATGTTATAGTGCAATATAGATGTACTGTTTTAAAATGTGTTTTAATTATACTGGCTATGTTGGCTGAGAAAACCTCTCTATTATAAAATATAGTAAACGGAATATACCTTGTTTTCCGTTACCGGCAAATAAATCGGTTTATTAATTTTACAACCGTGCACTTTGCAAAGTGTATGTTTTTTTTTTTTTTGTATTCCTTTATTTTACAAAATAATATAATACAATCATAATATGTTACATTAGAAAACCGCTGTGGTTTGTATAAATGTAACCATAGCAGTCTTGTTTAGGAGCGCGACAAATGCATATAAAAGTAGTTTTTTAATTTACTTTTTATGTTGGTTGGCGTTAGGCAATCTAAAATCTGATTGGGTAGACCATTTATTAGCCGCGGTAGCAAATACCTCAACGTTCTCTCGCCGTAGGTATACGTTGTTTGCCCTCGATGTACAGAGCCGAACTTGCGTTACCGCTCGGGTCTGTACGTCATGCTCCACTCGTTTTTTTATGTCATCTCGAAAAAAGTGCTCGACTAGAAGACATTTATTAACTTTTTCTGATATGGGCAATATTTTACAGTGTTTGAAAACTCCTGTTTCTTCATTTTTATATGAGTCGAGCACATTTCTCGAGACAACGTGTTTGAGGATTCGCATTTGGAGGTTATATATTCGGTTGAGATACGTTGGATAAGTTCTACCGTAGCTACTAAGACCGTAATTGATGACTGACTCGCAAAGCGCGTTGTAAAGTGAAAGTTTGGTTTTAAATGGGATACGCTTTTTGAGTATTGTTATTTGTGCCAAAAACTGTCGTAGCTTATCGCAGACGTATTCTATGTGTTGATTCCAATGCATGTTTTTGTCTATAATTAATCCGAGATATTTTTGTTTATCAACTATTTGTATAGAAGGGCACTTGCACACTGTTGATTTGTGGAGACAAGCGTGATCGTGAGCCACCAATGCTATACCAGTGGCTTCTTTGATGGAATTGGATTGTATGATAAGTAGTTTTGTCTTTTCAATATTAAGTACTAGTTTAGCATCATGGCACCACTTTAGTATGTTGTTAAAATCTGATTGTAACCTTTCAATAGCTTTATGAGGGTCCCTATCTCCGACTAACAAACACGTATCATCTGCGAACTGGTAACAAGTGCAGTGTTCTACTTGGTTATGCATTTGGTTTACGTAAGTCAAAAAAATGGAGAGGGCCGAGGACCGAGCCTTGGGCGGTGCCTTCTGATACTGAAACCACCTCGCTGTGGGTATCGTTTATTTTCACTACATAAGTACGATTTTTAGATAATTTGAACACCGAGTGCCTAGTGGCCCCTGAATTCCTATATGTTTAAGTCTATCCTCAAGTTGTTTATGATCCAAAGTATCAAAAGCGCGGGAAAAATCGATAAACAAAGCAAGAGTATAATATAGAACATCCAAACTAACCTTGGACTCAATTGCCTCTGCTCATCTATGTGTAAGGTATACAAGAAGGTCACCAGCCGAACGACCACGACGAAAGCCGAACTGATAATCGCTAATCAGTTGGTAGCCCTCTAGATACCTCAAGAGCTGGCCATTAATAATAGATAGGGCGATAGTTGGACGGATCAGAGCGATCGCCTTTTTTAGAGATCGGATGTATCGAAGCGGTCTTCCAGCTCTTCGGGACAGTGCCGAGCGAGTACAGGTACCGGAAAAGGCGCGTTGGGACCGGTCCTTAATTATATTTCAATGATTCAAGGGATTGATTTTATCTCACATTCAGTCACTTGACCATTTCCATTTTCCACGGCGGAGTCACGCTTATCGCACTTATTACTTTGTATGTACAGTATTTAAAAACATTCAGGTGTAGGGCTGATGAGTTTATTTTTGTTTTCATAATTAAACTGATAAGCGATAGTTTTCCTAGTCTGTTGGATTCACGTTGTCTGTGCTTGTCCGACTCTATTGTAAGTATCATATTATCTGTGTGCGTTAAGTTTTGGCGCGTAAGCTAGCAGTAGCAGCAGCTGTTGTTTTGTTACCTTCTTGTTTATTACAGTACACTTATTTTGCTTATAATTCATAGGAAAACTAATATAAAATGGATATTATAGATAATATAAAATCAAACAAAGCTTACGTGAAGTCCAAAAACATAGTAAAGAATTGGGAAAATGAATTTAAAATTAAGAATTCTCGTTTACCTTCAAAGTTTGATATAAAAGAAGCCCCGGCGAGTATTAAATATGCTTATAAAAAGTATTTTCAACTTAAAAGTGCAGCACTTGAAAATTCATTGTCTATTTGTGACATAGATGATGAGCCTCTAAAATCGCCAGAATCATTAAGGTTAACAGAATGGTCAACTAACACCGCAGAAGACGACAGTTTTCAAGAAATACCGATGCCAATGTTACCTTCTGACAAAGAATTAGATAGAATTTTATCTGTAAAACAATCAAAAGAACCACACGTTACTCAAACTAAGTTCAGTGAAAATTTATCTAAGAAATTATTTCACAATCGAAAGTTTTCCATTCGAAATCCAAGGAAGTTATCTGTGTCTAGAAGTTTTTCACAGCCAAATAATGATAATTATTCAGAAAACTCATTTGAACAACAAAATACCAGTTTGTGTTTATCTTCACCAAGTAGTCAATTGCATGAAAACACAGGGGCTAATTCTATTTTTAGCAGTCCTGATAGTTCATATTGTAATAATAATAATAATGAAAAAACTGAAAGCAGCCTATGTTCTAATTCTAGTGTACTTGACAATAAAAGGTCTAAGAACAATAATATTAAAGGAATGTTTACTTCTATTAATTCCTTAAATGATTCTGCATCTTCAGTGAGACAATTAAACTCAGGATGGCTTCAGAGAGCACTTGGTACATCAGAACCAAATAAAGAATCTATTAAAAGTATTACTCAAAGTTATGAAAAGTTAGGTTTAAGTAATGTTACTATTCAAAACCTGCCCGAGAAAAGTGCTGAGTATGTAGAAAACAGTGCATCTGAAGATGAAGATGAATCTCTAAAAAAATTAAAACCAGCCCTCAAAAAAAGAAAAATAATGATAGAGCATAAGACAACTGAGAGTGAGAGACACGTGAATATTAATACAGATAAAAGTGATATATTACAAAGCAAAAAATTCAAAGTTAAAAAATCTAAAAAAAATTATACAGTTAAAAATAGGGTAGAGTCAAGTAATGATAATATAAATGCTGACCCACCTGACATTTCAGAATATTTACCCTTTGGTTTAAAAGAAGTTATTACTCCCAGGCACTCTAATGTTACAGACATTCTCGACTTTGTAAGTGACAAGCAAGATCAAGAAATAAAAAATAGTAAAAGTAAATTAGAAGTTCAATTAGAAAAGAAGATTGAAAATGGATCCTTAAATGAAAATTTTGTTAGAATTAATATAGAAAAAAAAGTCTATGCTAGAGGTAAGAAATCAATGAAGTATTCCACATATAAAAAAAAATTGTGGAAGGATAAAAAAGCTCTACACTCTGGTATGGAATTTCCAGAAGCTGGTAAAATTACCTGTTTTAAATGTGGTCTTACTGGTCATATGGCCCGTTACTGTACAAGTCAAAAAGAAAATGCCTTACTTCCCTTAAATGATAACTGTGAAGAAAGTGATATGCCTACACTCGAAGATATGGAAAAAATTGTAAATAAACCATCTAATACCACCACTGAGGATGAATTGCATGCTTGTCTTTATGAGGCCAGTAAAATACCAGAAACTTTTAAAATGTTGCTTGATACACCAAGTGAAGACTACATCAAACCAATTCTTTCTAGCCCTGATGATGCATCTGAAGAGTTATACAATGCGCTAGAGTTGTTTGGTCATAAACAATTTCGCCCAGGTCAAGAAAAAGCAATAAAGAGAATATTATGTGGGCTATCCACTTTACTCATATTATCAACAGGAGGAGGAAAATCTTTGTGTTACCAATTGCCTGCATATATTTATAGTAAATATTATAAATGCATAACATTAGTTATATCTCCACTGGTATCATTAATGGAAGATCAAGTATTAAGTATGCCAGAATTTCTAAAAGCAGGTTGCTTACACACAAACCAACCACCTACTCAGAGGCAAAAAATTGTTGAATTAATAAAGGATGGTCAGATTAATATATTGTTAATTTCACCCGAAGCACTTATTTCTAGTGACACCTCAAATGGATTTTCAGGTTTATTTAAATCTTTGCCTCAAATTGCATTTGTTTGCATTGATGAAGCCCACTGTGTCTCTCAATGGAGCCACAATTTTAGACCTAGCTATTTGATGATTTGTAGAGTTTTGAAAGAAAAGTTAAACATTAAATGCATTCTTGGACTTACTGCAACAGCCAGCAAGACAACAATAAAAAGTGTTATAGAGCATATCAAAGTCCCAGATGGTGAAAATGGGGTTGTGATAAATCCATCACTACCAAGTAATTTATATCTGACCATGTCTTTTGAAAAAGATAAAGATAGGGCATTAGTAGCATTGTTGGGATCTGAAAAGTTTAGTTCATTTGATTCTATAATTGTATATTGCATAAGAAGAAATGAGTGTGAGAGAATAGCTGCTGTGATAAGATCCTGTTTATCTCAACCAGGTAAGATTAATATGGAGCCACAAAGTAAGAAACGTAAAAGAATGTCATACATTTCAGAAGCATATCATGCTGGCATGTCAGCTGCTCAACGTAAAAAAATACAAAAACATTTCATGGATGGCACACTTAAAATTATAGTAGCAACAGTTGCTTTTGGTATGGGTATAAATAAGTCTGACATAAGATGTATTATTCATTATAATATGCCACCTAGTTTTGAATCATATGTTCAAGAAGTTGGAAGAGCTGGACGGGATGGCAAACCAGCATACTGTCACGTTTTCCTAAGCCATAACAGGAATAGCGACAAAAATGAATTGTTGAAACATATTTATTCTAATTCTATTGATAGACCTATTATAAGAAAACTAGTCCAGAAAGTGTTGCTTCCCTGCAAGTGTTCACCAGCTTCTGACTATAGTGATGAAAATATAGAAAAAGTTTTTAAGTGCCAAGGACATGAAGTTGGAATACCAATTGAAAATACAGTTGAAGAACTTGATTTACCATCAGAAAATATATCTACTCTTTTGTGTTACATAGAATTGCATCCAAAACACTATATTAAAGTATTAAATAATGCTTATACTATGTGTAAAATATCCTCATATGGTGGCCCTATTAAAATACTTGAAGCTGCTAAAAATAGTCCACCACTGGCAATGGCATACTTAATTGAAGGTAAAAGAAACACTGAGGTAGTTAATCAAAGTCTATTAGAATTTAATGTTATAGAAGTTGCTGCAGCTTTAGGTTGGGAAAGTGGCATGACAAAATACCATTTGAAAAACTTAGAATGGAATGTTTCTAATGGTATATCCAAAAGATCATCTTTAAAAGTTGAATTTCATACTTTAGGCTTTAAAGTTAAAGCGCAAGGTGATCTTAGTTCCTCTGAATTAGATGGACTATTAGATGATTTGCATAACATTGTATTAAATCAAGAAAAACAAATGTTATATCAACTTGAAGAAATAAATAATTCATTCAATCAACTTTGTACAACAACAGGTGAAATATCTCATATGTCAGACAACACTCTTCAGGAAAAGTCTGATTTATTAAAAAGTATTATAAATAACTACTTTGCAAGAGAGGAAAATTTGCCCAGCAATATAGTAATTGAACCACGTCCGCTAGATGTTGAACAAATAATAGCTGATGTGAGAGCACTTATTGCAACATATAAGGATTGTTCATTTTCGGGTAGAAGTATAGCAAGAATATTTCATGGGATTTCATCGCCCAACTATCCTGCCCTGGTATGGGGCCGATGCAGGTATTGGCGTTTACATATAGGAGAAGATTTTAATGGTATTATAAAAATTGCGACTCAACAAATAATTCAAATGAAAATGTAACCAATTATAATCTTAAATAAATTGTATTATGACAACTTATTTAAATATTTTAATGAGATTTAATTATTAATTTATCAATGTATACTACATACATGCTTTGTTAGTTAAAATCACAAGATTATACATTCTATACTACTTCTTGTTAGCATAAAAAAAGATTGCAAAGATCATGTATCAACTTCAGTAGTAATCGTACAAGACTTATTTGAGATAAATGTTTCGTTAATAAAACAAATATTTTGTAATGTTTTTATTAATAACTAGTATAACAGCTATGGAATATAGCATCATAACTTATAGTAGCGCCAATCTGGCCAGAAATAACATAAATAAGTAGGTAATATCTAATAACAGATATATACTTACATAACCCTTTTTAAACAATATAAACCTGACTTTTTAAAACAAATGATTTGAAATTAAAAAGAAATGATTATATAGAATGTTATCACATTTCGACAAAGGTACAATATAAGCAATCACAGTAAATAATAATTTAAAATGTAGATAGGATAGCTAGAAAGATTATAGATATTAACTAGGTATCAAAATATTTGGTAAGGTATGTATTCTTCAACAAAACACTGCTGTTGTCATTTAACAGGGCGAAGATACTTAAGCTTAAGAAGAAGCAAAAAATTTCATATTTATGTGGGATCAATTGTGCAGGCGCTTACTGAATAGATTATAAATATGTATGTTATTAAGTACATATCTTTTATTTTTTTAGCCTTATTTTAAACTTTAAAAACATTAGATTTATCTTACAATCATTATTTATATGATAATCTTACTTAAAGCAGTTTTAGTTTGACAGAAATTTTATAAGACAAGACATAAACATTGAAGTAAGGGAGCGTTCAAGTATTACGTAACGCAATTTTTGGAGATTATTGACGACCCCCCATGTAACTCGCCGTAACGTTTTTCAGTACCCAAGTATAGTAAAACGTTTCGTGAACACCTAGTGACTCTTTAGTTACGATTATGTGGTGTAAGTCGAAAAAAATATTAACAATAACGCGTAATTTAATCTCCGCCCCGCATCGTAACGTTTAACAAAAGGACCCCCGCCCCCTCCCAAAATACGTTACGTAATACTTGAACGCTCCCTAACAAGATACAGGTACTTTTATTATTCCTATCAAAAAATTATACCTGAGCAATATTATACTTTCAATAAAAACCTACATTTACTTGGTATAATTTTTTGGTGCCTCAGAAAAAAGAGAAGTACCTAATTAACACAATATTCGTTAATCCAAGTGACCTTGTTTTAACAAACAATTTCCAGGGATATAAAAACATTTAACTTTTCAATCAATTATTTAAAGGTTTGTATCATTTAAATCCATTTTAAAAGTTTTGAATAATTACAATATTCCATCTTAATCAATTACAATAAATTATTTGGGGTAATTAGCAAAAATGATTTCCATCAAATGCAAAAAGTTAATAAGCTCAAAATAAAACAACTGCAATAACATTGTAAGTTATAATAGAAATTAAATAACTGTGTGCAATATTTACAATAATTAATTTGTAACTTATACAGAAAGCGAAACAAAACTATTGTATTGGGCGATATTTCGTTTCAATATATCTGCACAAAGTCCTAGCACTCGCTCGAATCTGTCAAATGAAATATATATTATTGTATTTCACACAGTAAACTTACCAAACACATTTATTGAAATAAAAACAGTCACAACAATATACTTATATGGGTACTAAGTATATTGTTTGTTTTGTACTTTTGTACTTATTGTTACGAGCTAGGGGATCGGATAGAAACGCCGTAGATTTCTTCAAGGGTTTATTTCTAATTAAATCTACGAGGAATTTGTTAACACTAAAAATTATAATTACGCACTGAAATTCACTAAATACACACACAAAATTATGTCACTAATTACTCTAATAACACGCACTTCACACAGTACTTGTATTCACTTTTCTTCACTATATTCGCACTTTGTCACTCCGGTGTTTATCGCTTGGTATCGCATTCAAAACTGAACTAACTGGTCCGTTCTGCTATCTTCCGCGCAATCACCTTTAAGTGGCGCTGGGAACCCCGTTACGCCCATGGGCTTGCGGGGGGTTGCGGGATACGCATCCCGCTCAACGGCGGGATGGTCGTTGGGGCGGGCCTGGAGCGGCCCTGAACCTCGTTTGCGCTGCGGAGCGTCTTCGCTCGCGCAGCGCCTCTTGTCTCATGTCGGTGGGGCTGGTGGCGCCCCCCCGCGGCGGCAACGGGCGCGCGTGGGCGCGGTCGTACCACACCGGGTGAGACCCTCGGTTACCCGGGGGAAGCCCAGCGAGGCAGACCAGCGGACGAAACCTCAGCGCGCTCCGCGACGCCGACGGGAGGGGTCCAGCCCTTTTGTCTTGGATGTTGATGTTATAACAATTGTAATTGTGTCACTGAGATTCATCTGACTCCGCGCGAACCAGCTCGCGCGGGAAGGCTCGCCTGTGGTCTGGAGGTCGTGTATGATGCGGGGCGAGGCGCTGGAGGTGCTCGAAGCCGGAGGCGTCCGCACGCTCAAACATGCGCCTCGCCAGCTCGCCGATAAAGTCGTCTAGACCTTGCTGTCTTAGGTCTCTCGAAATAGTCGCGTTTCTCACGTAACGCGGCGCGTCGACGATACGTCGCAGGGTGGTGCTCTGCACGGCGCGTAACCGACGCCGGTGCGTCTCGGCCGCGAGAGCATACCACGCGGGCGCCGCGTACGTGAGATGTGGTCTGATGTAGGTCTTGTATAGGGCCAGTTTACGTCGTAATGGGAGGCTCGACTGGAGCACCGGGCGCAGTCTGGCGGCGAACTAACTGGTCGCGTTTCGGCTCGCTTATATATCCCTGGGAGCGATGTTCGAGAACTCTCTAGGCGGCGGCGCAACTGAGTAGCGATCGCACAATTCTAGAACGTGCGTACTAGCTATCTCTTTCGCACATTGCTCCGTCCTTGTCGTACGGCGTTCTAGAGTGCTCGGTCTAGCTTCGAGAAGGTTCCGATCTTCCCTCTCTCTCGCGTATCGTTCCGTCCTTCTCCCACACCTAGAAAATTCGTTCTAGAACATTCCTTCGTTAAAGGGGTATAACCAGGCCTGAAAACGGGTTTCCTGAAAAGTGTACCATTCGACTACGCGTGTTCTGAAACGGCCTGAAAAAATGTTTCAGGCTCCTGAAAACTAGGGTAACATTATGTAAATTGCGATTTTCTAATATGTGATTGACCCTCCCCTGAAACGGTCAGAAATCACATTTCAGCCTGCTGAAAAGTTCTCTAAGTAGTGGAAAAATCTAAAAACATTGCAGTCGACCCGTCTTCGTAACACTACCCCCTCCTTAGACATGCTCGTCCCGAGCATCATTACTTCCTTTATAGGGAGCCAATCGATTTATGTGAACGACTTTCGGTTTGCTTCTTAAACCACTCATTTTCTTTATCCGGTAAGTAACGTCATTAATCTTCGTGATTATTGTGTATGGACCATCCCAGTCAGCTTGAAGCTTTGGTGATTTGCCTTTGCGTTTTGTTGGATTATGGAGCCATACTTGCGAGCCTTCTTTAAATTCTATGTGATTCGTCTTTCTGTCATACCTAATCTTCGTAGTCTCACTTATTTTGCTTTGTGATGCTCGTACGTGTTCATGGATTTCATGCAGTTTATTACGCAAATCCGCAGCATATTCTGTAACACTCTCCGGGGTGTCAGGTGGTCGTCCCGTTACAATGTCTGCTGGTAATCTAAGTTGTCTCCCAAACATGGCTAAAGCAGGTGTAACATTCGTGGTTTCATGAACCGCAGACCGGTATGACATTAAAAATAATGGAATATACTTGTCCCAGTCTTTTTGATGGCTGTCCACCAGTTTTGCCAAGTGCCTTTCCAAGGTTTGATTAAAGCGTTCCACCATTCCATCTGACTGTGGGTGATATGGAGTAGTCCGCGTCTTATGAATTCCCATTAGTCGGCATACTTCTTGAAACAATAAAGACTCAAAATTTCTTCCCTGATCACTGTGAATCTCCAAGGGTACTCCGAATCTAGAGAATACGTCATTTACAAGTATCTCAGCTACTGTAACTGCCTCTTGATTGGGAATAGCGAACACTTCGGGCCACTTCGTAAAGTAATCCATAACAACCATGATGTACTTATTTCCTTTTTCTGTTAATGGAAATGGTCCAGCTATGTCAACGGCTATCCTCTCCCATGGAGCTCCGACATTGTATTGCTTCATACCAGCTCTGGTTCTCGTCTGTGGGCCTTTAACAGCTGCACAAGCTTTACATTTCCGAATCCAGTCTTCTACATCTTCGCGGCAATGTATCCAATAAAATCTCTCTTTAATTTTTAGAAGAGTCCTTTTTACTCCTAAGTGTCCGCCTGATGAGCCATCATGAAACATTTCCAAGATATCGCGAACCTTGGATCTTGGCACCACTAACTGTAGATGAGATGCATCCCCTCGAGTGTTTTCCCATTTGCGACATAACACTCCATTATGAAGAACTAAGCTATCCCATTGAGCCCAGTAACTCTTGGTCGTAGTGCTAGTAGATGCAACATCATTCCACCGCGGCTTGCTAGCTGAAGATTTAATCCAGTCCAGAATTGGTTTAATGTCAGAATCTTGTTGTTGCTCTTCCTGAATTAATTTCCCGCACCAATCTGGACTAATGGTGTCTGTCCTTAGTATCCTTACATGGGCTACCTCTCTACCTTCGTGTCTTGTACAATGTTTGCAATCCTCCTCACATGGCCTTCGAGACAATGCATCTGCGTTCCCGTGGGCTCTGCCCTTGCGATGTTCAGTAGCAAAGTCATACTCTTGCAGTTGTTCGATCCATCGAGCCACTTGTCCTTCTGGATTCTTGAACTGAAGTAGCCATTTTAATGCAGCATGATCTGTCCTAAGACGGAACTTGCGACCTAGCAAGTATTTACTGAAGTGCTGCAGCGTCTTCACAACAGCCAGTAGTTCCCTCCGAGTGACACAGTAGTTCCGTTCTGATTTCGACAATGACTTGCTGAAGTAGGCTATTACTTGCTCGTGCTCACCTTTTACTTGTGATAGTACACCTCCAATGCCAATTCCACTGGCATCTGTATCTACCACATATTCACCATCTTGATCCGGGTAGCCTAGTATTGGAGTCTCACACAGTCGGTTCTTGAGCTCATTAAACGCATCTTCACACTCTTCATCCCATGTGAATTTCCTCTTCTGTTCGGTGAGTCTGTGAAGTGGTTTTGCAATATCCGCGAAATTTCTCACAAATCTTCGGTAGTAAGAACATAAGCCTAAGAAAGCGCGGACTTCAGTTTTATCTTTAGGTACTGGCCAATCCTTCACCGCAACTATCTTCTCAGGGTCTGTTCGAACTCCATCCTCTGATATAATGTGCCCCAAGTAGCTCACTGCTCTCTTGAAAAATAAACATTTCTTTGCACTTAATTTCAGGTTGGCTTTATGCAGTCTGGAGAGCACCCGTTGCAGATTTCGTATGTGATCATCAAAATCCTTCCCAATGATGACTACATCATCCAAGTACACTAAGCAGGCTTCTCCTATCAGTCCTGACAGCACTTTTTCCATTAGTCTTTCAAAGGTGGCAGGTGCATTGCAAAGTCCAAACGGCATAACTTTAAACTGCCATAGTCCTTTACCAGTTGAGAACGCTGTTTTCTCTTTATGACTTGAGTCTATTTCCACTTGCCAGTACCCACTTTTCAAGTCTAAAGTTGTAAACCATTTTGCCCCACTTAAGGTATCCAAGGTGTCATCTATTCTAGGTAACGGATAACTGTCCTTCTTCGTGATATCGTTAAGACGACGGTAGTCGACGCAGAACCTTAAACTGTTATCCTTTTTCTTGACTAAAACTACTGGAGAGCACCAAGGGCTGGAAGATGCTTCAATAACATTATGGTTTGACATTTCTGCAATCATCTTGTCTATATTCTTTTCATATGCGACAGGTACTCGTCGCGGTCTTAAACGTATAGGTGCTTCGGTTCCAGTCTCAATTCGATGTTTAACTACACCTGTCCTTCCTAGATCTCCATCGTGTGTAGCAAACATGTCAGAAAATGTTTTTAATAGTCCCTTTGCTTTCGACATTTCTTCCCTCGTCAAGGTTTCCTTACAGTCCTCCAGTATTGCTTGAACTATATCTCGTTGTTTACTAACTGTACCATCTTCAATGATAGCTCTATACACGTCGTACCCGTTCTTCAATGTGTTATCTTTTAGGGAAACTACTTCATCTCTACAATTGAATGTGCCGTTCTTCAGGTCAATCTTACAGTTGTAATGCTTCATGAAGTCTAAACCGATAATACAGTCATCCACGATGTCAGCAATAACCACCTTATGTCTGTATGTTCTCCCACCAATCTTGAAGGTAGCGATACCTTCTCCTCGAACGGTTATGTGCTGACCAGTAGCTGTAAGGAGCTGTACATTTCCACCAGAAAGGCTCTTGTAAAATGACTTCAGAAGTTGGTATCTGATTACTGTCCGGGAAGCTCCAGTATCAAGGGTTAACTCACACCTAGTGCCGTTAACTTCTCCGTCGATGACTATGGTATTCCCATCCTGAGTTTGAGAGATCATAACTTTTGGGGCCTTCCTTACAGAACCGGCCAGCACCCGCCCCGTGGTCCTGGCTTCTATTCGTTTCCCTGCCGCTGTTCAGCGGCAGTCACATCCACGTCATCGGGCTCCCCACGTCTTGTCTTCATTTCGCCTCGGGGATCTCTCTTAGGGCACGAAAACCTCATATGCCCTACTTCCCCGCAGAGGTAACAGGTGGGTCCACGTTGGGAACTACGTTTTTCCGAGACAGCCCTAATGCGGTTAGGTCGAGAATCCTTGCAAAATGCTTCCACCTCCAACGCATGAGCAAGAGCATTCTTGAGGTCCTTATGGTGACCTAGGTTCACAGCCATTCGAATTTCACGGTCTCGAATACCGTCGACGAAGGCTTGAACCAACATCTTGTCTGCAACGTCTGGTGAGGATGCATAGGCTTTCCTAACCAGCTTCTCTATTTCACATCCCCATTTTTGCAAACTTTCATTTGTCTGCTGTATTCTATCCTTTAATTGAGCCCTATAGACGTGCTCTAAATGTGCGTCTCCGTACCGTGATTCCAAGGCATCCAGCAGTTGCTTCAACGTCACTTTACCTGTCTTGGTATCTAATATGGTGAGGGCTTCATCTCGCAGTCCCATAATAAGGGCGGTGACAGCCTGATCGTCATTCCACCCGTTTGACTCTGCCACAGTCTCAAACTGTATTTTGTACGCGCCCCAGGAAGATGTACCGTCAAAGGGAGGTACTTTCAGATTTCCAGATGGTGCTACAGTCGTTACGACACCTTTGGTCTTCAGGCACTGCATCTCTTGTTCTAATCCGAGAATACGTTTGTCCTGTTTCGAAAATTTGCAGTCCATATCAGATTCCAAGTTCTCGATCTTTTTCTCTACCTGTATTTTCAGGTCACCAAGTTTTTCTCCGATACGGCGGGCCTGTTCCTCCATCATCTGATGAGCCTGCTCCTCTTGACGCCGTGCCTGTTCCTCCATCATACGACGTGTCTGAGCCTGTTCTTCCATCATTAGGCGTGCCTGTTCTTCTTGACGGCGTGCCTGTTCTTCTTGCCGGCGTGCCTGTTCCTCTTGACGTCGTGCCTGTTCTTCCATCATTTGGCGCAGAGCAAGAAGCATGTTGGCATCGTTGCTTTCACCCATCCCGCGGTTCGCATCGAAACTTTGTCGTCGGGCAGCGTCGCGTGCTGATTGCGCCCTTGTCTGGACTCCCTCCGCAGCTGGAGACTCAGCTACAAACTCCTCTTGATTCTCCCTTGGAGTAATTGGCATTTTTCTATCCCACTTCTGACACCAAAATGTTACGAGCTAGGGGATCGGATAGAAACGCCGTAGATTTCTTCAAGGGTTTATTTCTAATTAAATCTACGAGGAATTTGTTAACACTAAAAATTATAATTACGCACTGAAATTCACTAAATACACACACAAAATTATGTCACTAATTACTCTAATAACACGCACTTCACACAGTACTTGTATTCACTTTTCTTCACTATATTCGCACTTTGTCACTCCGGTGTTTATCGCTTGGTATCGCATTCAAAACTGAACTAACTGGTCGCGTTTCGGCTCGCTTATATATCCCTGGGAGCGATGTTCGAGAACTCTCTAGGCGGCGGCGCAACTGAGTAGCGATCGCACAATTCTAGAACGTGCGTACTAGCTATCTCTTTCGCACATTGCTCCGTCCTTGTCGTACGGCGTTCTAGAGTGCTCGGTCTAGCTTCGAGAAGGTTCCGATCTTCCCTCTCTCTCGCGTATCGTTCCGTCCTTCTCCCACACCTAGAAAATTCGTTCTAGAACATTCCTTCGTTAAAGGGGTATAACCAGGCCTGAAAACGGGTTTCCTGAAAAGTGTACCATTCGACTACGCGTGTTCTGAAACGGCCTGAAAAAATGTTTCAGGCTCCTGAAAACTAGGGTAACATTATGTAAATTGCGATTTTCTAATATGTGATTGACCCTCCCCTGAAACGGTCAGAAATCACATTTCAGCCTGCTGAAAAGTTCTCTAAGTAGTGGAAAAATCTAAAAACATTGCAGTCGACCCGTCTTTGTACTTATATTGTGTTTTTACTTTTTACACATACAATTGTAGGCTCCAGTGCATTTAAAAAGTACCAAAACCTTAACAAAACTCGTCAAAATATGCACAGTCCCTAGAATGTCGTCATATGTACTTTACAATGTATTTACAGTTCATATAACGTCCCTCGATTGAAAGACAAACCCCCTAAAGCGTCGAAATCAAGCGGCTTTGGTTGGTTTAACTTGTCTTCCATACAATGATACACTCTACATATCATTACTCCCACCCTAATAACGACAATTAAATAATAAAAAAAGTACTTTTTAAGTTGCCGAAATTAGTTAAAACTCCTAAGCTGTGAACGTCCTTCTGTCGCTTTATTCTCCTAGCCCTAATAAACTCGTCTGTCGGCATCATACGTACCGCACTTTCTAAGAAATCCGTGCTTTTGTTTACAAATTGGGATTGCTTGCACGTATTTTATCACGTAGATGCCTCAATATAGCAAGATATGAATAAAATAGGTAAAAAACAAACATGATTACTGGTGCAGCAAAAGACGTTAGACAAAAATAACAGACTATACGCAAAAGCTTTCAAATAAGAATTTCTTTTTATGTAATAACAACACTAGTCTGAAATAAACTTTTTCTTTTTCTAATACACATTTTTCTTCTTTCCATTTAACAACTCTTTGTAACGTCAAAATATTCAAAATCCCTTGAGTGTCGTTATTTAGAGTTTACATGTATATAAACTCTTTTGCAAAAAACGGGCACCGAAGAAAGAAAATTTACGTTCCGTCTGTATATTTATAATCGTGTGAATTAATACGCCTGAAGTGAATTCCGACTAATTAATTTACGATAAATTCTGTAAAACCGATGTACGCCAAACAATAAGGTAATAAAGACATGTTTTTACTTTAAAAATTAATTAGTTAAAAATGTCAGTGTAGACAGTTAAATTTAGTTAAATTAGGTCCTTTAAACGTTTTGGTACTTTCACTTATTATTTTAATCTTATTTCTAACAAAAACTAACTCTGTGGTGTGTGTAATGTTTAGTAAGGTTTATAAAGTGTTAGGTTATCAATATTAAACAAATATTTGCTTACACATATACATATAAGGTATTCCAAATTTGTTTTTATTCATAAGAGCACTTTATGTTTTAATGTGAAAAAAAAATCTTTAAACCTAATCAAATGTTTCATACCAATGTTTGGTCTAGCACCTGTTAATGAATATCATGCCATACCTAGCTCGATCCAGTTTAACACATTTGAGTGGTCCATCCGCCCTAACTGTCGCTGCGCGCGGTCTGTCCAGTAGAAGCGCGATTTCGCCGAAGTAATCCGACGGCCCGAGTCTTCCGACTTCCACTGCCTCACCCTCTGCTTCACCACCACGTTGCTGGAGTACTACAGCTGTACCTGAATTTCAAAGTGTTTAAGTTCACTGGCATAAAATTAATCATTAAAGACGTAATCGATAATAATTATAATTCTAGTAAAAACTATTGATACAAAATTACATTATTCTAATTACACTAAAATACACAAGATTATTTTAATTCACAGTATAACTTATAAGCATATTTCGTTTGGGATTAATGATAATCTGCCATAACACATACTAAAAATCATACATACACAACATGTTTGTTCTGTAAGATGTAATCGTCATAGTCGTAGAATAGTGACGGATCTGACAAATAGTAAACTTTACAGGGCAGCCATTTCAAAATAATATAATCATGTTAGTTTTTGTCATAACTATTTAATTCATATTCTTTTATTATGAAATATTGGCATACAAGCAAACACAAGGGTTTGTTTTCAAACAAAATAAAAATAATAACATTAAATTACACAGTTTTCTAGAAAAATTACATGTTTCTATCTAATGCGTCACTTTACAGACTGATTAATTTGAAATTAAAACACATGGAATTTTTTTTAATGTAGCCGTAATATTTAGTCAATGTAGTATCCAAATATGATAAACGGTGGATTTTGGATTTTTTTCAAATCCGACATTGTTCTACGATCATGACGTAAATAGATGTAACAATGTAGTAAGGAATTTTAAAATTCAAACTAAAACCCCTAAAATTAATACTGTATTTCAATAAACAAACCTTCTACAATAATATAGAAATCATTTCCTGGTTCACCCTGCCGCACAATTATTTCACCATCATTAAAGGATACAGGTTCAAGAGCATCTGCCACCGTAAGGCGCTCCCATTTTTCGAGACTTTCTGAAATGTCATAAGTGATTATGTATAGGCATGACTAATTTTTTAGTAGACTTCTCAGGTTACCATGCATATGTGAAATTCCTTTTACTGATAATGAAAAGTTAATTTTTTTCAGAATAATATATTTACAATATGCATGAATAAAATATCCCCATACATACCAAGAATGGATACCCTCGATAGAAATTCGTCATACATGCGTCGTTTTCTTATTGTAGAACCCATAAGTATTCTTCTGTATGAATCCCGATCAAGTCCCCAAAGCTTTAATGGAGTACGGGCTCTAACCGTCGCTGCGCGTGGTGTACCATAGATAAGTGCCAGTTCACCAAAACTACCTCCTTCTCCTATTGTTGTTACTACTTCGCCATTTACCAATACCTGAAATCCATGATCATTGGGGTAAGAAATTAAAACTGTGTTATATGTCAGATCTGTGTCGGCCTAGTGGCTTCAGCGAGCTACTCTCATCCCTGAGGTCGTAGGTTCGATCCCCGGCTGTGCACCAAAGGACTTTCTTTATATGTGCGCATTTAAAATTCGCTCGAATCGTAAGGGAAAACACCGTGAGGAAACGTCGACGGCGTGTCTGCATAGGAGGCTGATCACCTAATTGCCGATTAGATTAACAAATGATCATGAAACATATAGGAGAAATCTGAGGCCCATACCTAAAAAGTCTGTAGCGCCACGGATTTTATTCTATTTGATAGACTATTTAATTTTATTTACACTTAGATGTTTTAAAATTGTAAACTTACGAAGACTGACTTAGGTGGTGTGTTAAGAACTTTTTTCATAATGTTACATTTCTTAAATGCTATTAAATAAACCATACCATCTTATAGGAATAAGACTTGTCGGTGACAGGTAACAGGTGAAAAGAAATTGGAATCCAAAGCTTTAGAATATAAAAATTCTTCAGTATTTTAGAAATAAACAATACTTAATTTCCACAGTAAACAATTTAATTTCAATATTAATTACTTATGTACCTAAAAGTATAATTATTAAGTATACTATTGTGTAGTAAAAGAAACAATAAGAATCATAATTTAATAAGTAAAGGGCTAAAGCAATTCGTTGCTAGCTATTCATTGAATATCTGTCTCAGAAATCCAACAGCAGTGCAACTCCAATTGAAGTGAAACTCACCTCGACTTCACCAGAATCTATAATGTAGAAGTTGTCCCCTTCATCACCTTGTTGTATAACCGTTTCCCCAACAAGACATTGCACAGGAAACATTGCATCAAACATATCCGCTCTTTCTGATTCATCTAAGTGTGTAAAGAGCACATTGGATGCTATTGCTCTAGATAAGGCACCCATAGTCTTATAGTCTTTTGGCACCACCTGCATAATATAAGTTTAATTTATTTTCACATAGGACATGTTTTCCTATATAAAAATAAGATTCTGTACTAAATAATATTCTGTTTCTACAAAAAAAACTAAACTCACCTTTTTGACATAACTAGTAGCATCTTCTTCAGTAACAGGCTCAGCACTGATCCCACCACGTCTTCGAGGCAGTTGCCCTCCAAGTACTGGCAGTGGTGAAAGCTCTCCATCTGCTTCACCTTCAGATGTTGCTGCAGCAGCAGCTGCTGCCTTAACCTGTTCCTTAAAAATAAAGTGTAATGTATAATAATAGAAATAAAATAATTCTGGGCTGCTAGAAATATATAAAATCTAAATCTAAAGCTTATTAAATTGTCAGAGTTATACAATAATAATAGTAGATAATATTGTAAAAAAAATCAAATGTGTAGAAACAGTATATAAAAAATTGGGAGCTTGGAAGTTGGAACTAAGAATCTACTTTAAAGCATTATTTTTCTCACCATTTTTAAGAATCACAAGATATTTAATGTAGTAGTCTTACGTAAAGGAGACGTTGCTGGAATGACGAGCTACGCAAGTGTGAAAAATTACGTAGATATTAAATTTAGTTAACTCAATGTTTGTAGTCTAAATAAAGGCCAACTTTGTGGAATCTTGCAAATCTATTTTGAGTCTCAGCAGCTGTCAACTGGAGCATTGATTGGACACAACACACAGACGTCTAGTCAAAATTCTAATAAAATTTTATTAGCCCTTTGACTGAATTTTAAAGTTCTTAATAAACAATTAATACACATAAACATTTTATTTCCTATTTAATGAAAATTAAGTAATGAACTCACTCTTTCTAATTTTTGAAAATATTGGCGAAGAAATGTCACGGGATCATCAGGCCTATTTAGACAAAGTTGGACGATACAATTTTTTAATAATATTTGAATATTGTGACTTTGAATATAGTTTTCACATTGATTCAAACATTGTTCCTCCTCTATGGAATCCATTTCTTTAATCATCGCTGCATACTTTAAAAATTAAACAGACTTCATCTCTAATTTACTCCTAATGTTTTGTATTCGTTTTTGTTTCACTTTCTGATTTCTCCACAGTTTTAATCTGTCATTTGATTTTTGACTGTAAGCCACAGAAAGTCCAACTTCAATACCACAGAATAATCCATAGTTTGTATACATTACAGAACAATACTAGAATTACTAGAACAATTTTGTGTGGATAACTTTGCATTAAATGGGAATGCTCAAATATACAAGTTAATAAGAAGTAAAAATTTAATTCTTTGAAAATTTATCAACAAACGAATAATATTGAGTATTGAAATTACAACAAGTGGGCAACAAACACAAAAATACGTAATCTACGTTGTGATGCAACGTTACTACGTAATATATTAAGAAAATTACATGCCCCACTACCGTATAAAAACATCTCGTTTACAAACAAAACTTCCTCATTTTTAGCTTAGAATGAGAACATTGCGAAAAAAATTATCCGTTAGGTAATTTAATTAGTCTTCAAGAAGTCATTCACGAAATTTTCATAAAATATAAATAAAAGAAAAGAGATAATATTAAAAAAAAAATTTCTTAAATCTTAAAAATATAGTTAAGCTTTATTTTTATATTTGTTGTTTCGTAAATTGCGGTAAGAGGTCTCGTATAATTGGAGGGTGAAATTCCACATGGGCTATACAAATATAACAAAGATACGATGATCTTTAATCAGTAAGTTTGCAATTTGATAAATAAGTGATCTTTTAATGTGTAAATTTGGATAAATTTTATGTTTAGTTTTATTTGGGATCAATTCAGTGCAAATTTCAGTACTTATCTATAAAAAAATATTGTTAGAAGTATAATGATACTATATGTCTCTCATTATATTTGTTTTTCTATAATTCAACACTTTAAACTTTTGATTTACATAAAAAATTTTACAATAGATATCGTTTCATTCATTATGCATTATATGCATGGTTATATGTAAATAAAAAATCAATACGTGATGATGAATTTTTGTATTAAAAATAAAACAATCGAAACTACTGCTCGATAATTTCGATAAAATAAAATGATTAAGGACGACTGCAATCAGAACGAAACTACTACAAGACAAAAATAGACCTTCGTAAATTTGAAGAAAAGTTCTTTTAGGTCAGCTAAATACTTTTGCTGTAGAAAATAATGGACCAACATCTTATCTAGATTCTCGACTTTATGCGTGGTTTTTTTTTTTTTTTTTAACTTTTTGGCAACAGCTTCAACTTTATGCCAGTTTCAAGTAAAATTATGCGTGGTTTTAGATATTTAGTTATTTTACTGGCCTGTTTCAATTAGTCTGTGCGTCTCAAGTGTCACACTCTGAACTCTCAATAAAATGTCATTTATCTAGTGTACTGGGGCCTTAGTCAAGATGCCTTAACAGTAGTGTATGTAGAAAGTCGAAAACTTAATTTGTATGGAAATGACAGTTCGTGTCGAAAAGTTTTCATACAAATTTAGTTTTTGACGTTCTACATACACTACTGTTAAGGCATCTTGACTAAGGCCCCAGTATAGTCAATGTTTTAAATATCTGTTATTTCAATTTTATCAAGGAATATTTGCGGACTTATTGTTATTTTAATATTATGAATTTGAATTAAAGTTTTTAAAATATCATCGGTATATCTTACTTGATCTATATATTAAGAGGATTTGGGATACAAACCGTTTTAATACTTGGAAATGGAGTTAGCAGACGCAATACCGGTTACTTTCAAAGAAATTACTCCAAGTTATTGCTTGCCCGATAAATGGAAAGAAATCACTTTAAATACTGGTAGTTATAAATCTTAATAATTCTTTTTTTAAAGCTATTAAATCACTGTTTATTAATTTGTATGGTTTGTAACCTAACTTTGTTTATGCAGGTGGTACTCACAGTACGTTGCAAGATATAAAACTACCTCAAAAAGCTGGTGGGTATTGGTATAGAGATTCTGAAAAGAGTAGCACAAGGAACAGATTCATATATTGGTAATTTACTTACATTACTTTGTAGTTGATTAATAGTGCAATTGTATATTATATATAATTTTATTTACAGGCAAACTACATCAGATGCAATTGAACTATCAGAGGCATCTTTGGATGTAAATATTTCGAATTGCAATTTAAGATGTAAAGTGGCATCAGGCACACCACCATTAAACAACATATCATTTTATGAAAAACCATCATCTCAACAAGTCATAGTATTGGCTGCTACTGTGTCTTCTGTTCATAGATTAATATTTCCACACCCAGACAGTCTAGATAAAAAGGTAAAATTCAGAGACAAATGTATAATTTTTTAGTGTTTAATTATTAAACTAATTATCATTTTTCAGGCTACTTTTGGAGCTCTCAGCAATACAACATCATCAATATTTTATGACACAAGTGCCATTAATAATCCAAATAACTACTATATCCTAAATCAGTATTCAACATCAAGTAAGTTGACATTTTAAGTTATCTCATGCTAGATTTAGGTGGTGAGAAATTCATAGAATAAACTTTATTTTTTAACAAAGCCTAAATGGTGGTCCACTAAAATACTACTAAGCTTTGGTATTTAGCTAAAGAAAAAATAGTTAATCTTCAAAACTTAAACTTGTAAAGGGATTGGTGTTAGCATAATTTTATGAAATCCTTATTACCAATATCTATTTATGTTATTTGTTGTTCCAGTTTCTTCTTTTACAAGAACTATGTTTTAATAGAGTATATCTAAATATCAATGTCTTGTATATGTATTTAACCAAATTTTTCAAACAGATACAGGTGTTGCTCATTCATGTTCATCAATATTAAGAGACAATGGGGAAGCTGTGTTTGCCCTGGCCTTTGGTTATGGTGGAGAAGGAGGACTATTACTTGTTAAACTACCTGTTACTGGTGCTGCTGTCACTACAGTTTTGAAACGGGAGTCTAATGTGCCTAGGTTTTTGTCGGGACTAACTGGAGCTTTGAGGTATATACAAATTTAAAAGGGGAAATTTAAATATCACTAAACAAAATTTTCATTCTTTTCAAAATTCCTATTATTATGACTTCCTATTATATTATTATGATCATGATGCTAATAGAAAAAATTGCAAAAGGTGCTGTACAATTTACTTCCACAAATTTGAATAATTATTTATCCAAGTAAACTTTGGCAATAATTTATTATGTTTCTTTTAACTTCTATCTATTTAGGGGTAAAGCCAGCACAGAAGGTATAGAAACATATGGAGTTGTTCTGACAAATGGACTTGCTATTGTTATCTGTGGGGATACATGTCTGCGTGTCTGGCATTTTGATGAGGGTGGAGCACCAATATCAGTATCAGCTCCTTTATCACAAACAGTAGCCAGACCTAAGCCACCTCGTGAGTATTACAATTCTTGAATGAATGTAGAAAATTACTTACTTAATTCAAGTTTCAGCAAAAAAAGGTATTACAGTACAATTTTAGTATTATATTTCTATGCTTTAGGGAGTTTGTAAAATATTATGAGACCTATTAACAGATAATAAAAATCTATATTAAAATTGATCCCAGATTGGACACCAAACATATTATTATTAAGTAAACTGAGTGAAATAAAGCCAAAGGTGATTTTAAATTACATTCTCATTACAAAATCTTTACAGCGCACAGTCACATGCTCCAAAGTACAAAAGGATTGGATGGCAGTACACTTTTAGTTGCATATCTTTCATTCCCCAATGAGTCAAAATTTATTGTGATGAAAATGCATGACGCGGGCACTGCCGGAGTCAAATTTTCGCAAATTCATCATATTATGGGCCCTAAGGTAAATTATTTTAATATTTCAAAATTCATAACTATTACAATAAAAAAGGATGAAACCTTTCTTATAAAATTGAACATCTGTAAGTTACATTTCGTCATGATCGTAGAACAATGTCGGATTTGAAAAAAAACCAAAATCCACTTTTTATCATATTTGGATACTACAATGACTAAATATTACGGCAACATTAAAAAAAAAATCATGTGTTTTAAATTTCCAATCAATCAGTCATTAAATTTTTGTTGGTAGACGCTTATTGATTTTTCTAGAAAACCCTTTTGTTTGCTTGTATGCCAATTTTCATAATTACACAAAAAACTAACATGATTATATTAGTTTGAAATGGCTGCCCTGTAAAGTTTACTATTTGTCAGATCCGTCACTATTCTACGACTATGACTTTTGCTACTAACCATGAAGGAGAAATTTTAAATTTCTTGTAGTATAACAATAACAATGTTATTTACTATACCTTAAACATATATTTTTTTAGCTGGATCTCCTTGATTATACAATTGGTTATGGTGACAACAGTCACGTTATTTGGGCTTTATGGTCACAACCTGATGGAGATGCTGTCATAACAAGTATGTATTTACAAAAATGATCCACATACACATGTAACATTTTAAGATTCTATAATGAATCGTCCTAATCTTTCCGTTTTAGGGCTAATTTATTGACGTACGTACACTGCAATTTTTTCTTACTTTAATTTCATATCTATAGACAAATATTAAAGCTTTTTAAATATTATTTTATCTTATCTTCTAGACAAAGTGACATCGACTATAGACTTTTTCATACATTGTCTCCTAATACCTCAACTTACTTATCATCGGAGGTATTTATTACACTATAAATTAAAACTTTTATAGGTTGTGCCATCGGTCCTGACGTTTCTTGGCGTGCAGTGGCCAGTAAGGAGCCATTGTCTCCGCTCCCACAACTATCGTCTCATCAACAGTACCGCGATCGCTTGTTAGCTCCTGGACTATTTCCCACATCCGTTATAAAAAAGGCACTTGTGGTAAGTGAAACACTTTGTACAGTTGTTGGTTTTGGGTAAACTTAATAAAATATTCTTTATGAACACATTTGTTTTCTACAATGGGTCATTTGCTGTTCTATGATTGTGTAGGCATTATGATTTTAAGAATCGAACAATTAATTTTAAGCAACAAAAAAAAGTGCAATAATATGTACTTCATAAAAAATCCGAAAAGCTTACCCCAACTCGAAGAAAGTAGAAGATAAATAAAAATAATAATACAAATTATACAAATATATACAAGCTTTAACTATTCTGATCACAATTCATTAAAAATATTATTTTACAGCAAATTCAAACAAAAACCGCGCCCGCCAAATTCGAAGGTTTCCCGCGTTTTTTCAATATGTTCTTGGAATGTTAATAAAAATAAATTGCCCCCATTTAAAAAAATGTTTGGCTAAAATTTTACAATTTCTAGAGCACAGAATGTCAATTTTGTTATGGTTCTTGTAATCCTTATGTATATATTTTTTTTGGAGTTTATGGCCTGGTATCTAGACCTTTAGGCCAATCCATATGTATATGAAATCTCATGCCCCAGAGTAAATTAATAATTATTATCTATAAGGTTATTAGAGTTCGCTGATATTATTTTTGTATTATATTTTAGGTAGCCAAATAGTGAATGTGTATATTATTGTATACCTATATAATTTCAGATTTATCGTCGCACGTGGGGTGGTAACGAATCAGTAATGGAAACTGAATTTGGCGATAGCTGCGTAAGCGCAGTGCAGACACGATTAAGAAATCTTACTGCGCGGGCCGCGGCGCCTGACCACTCGCATCTTATGCACAAGTTAGTATACATAACAAAAAAAATTAAGACAAAGTGACTTACTATAAAGTTTGCTTAGCAGAGTAATACAAGCGTGTTTAAATTTTATTTATAATAGTTTGTCAAACAAGATTTAATTTAAAAAACTGCCTAAACCATCGTGGGTCAAAATATGTTTGAGACTGTTTCGTTTATATATTTTTTTGTCAAAGGCAAGATAATGGTTGTGCCATTGGAATAGAGTGAACAATTATCGTTTTGACTTTGAAAATTTAACAAAACCTACGGTTTAAATACATTATGCAGTATCAACTTATCCATGATACTAAGCTAGTAAGACTTATACAATATTACTTTTGAATAATAAGGTTTTATATGCAAACTAAAACGTTATTATTCAAGAGAATACAAATTAATCAGTCTTGCTATTATTCATATTTTTTTTATTTATTTGAAGAATTGATTCTATTATGTGTATTTTAGATGCTGGTCGGATTTGTATAGTTGGTGTATGCAGTATATGGAAGGTTTACAAAAGCCATTGGGATTAATGGTTTCTAAACATGTAAGTTGTTAAGAAAATTTTATAACAAATATATAATATATATTGTAAAGTATATATTATGTATTTACAATACGTTTAATTATTATTATGACACACATTATCACACACAAATTAACCATGAAAGATTAAACTAAATATGTGTGTTAATTTGGCCTCGCTTAGTAAGGTCGCTAATAGATACAATATATACTAAATATGTAGGTAAATTAAATAAATATTACATATTCGTATTAATTATAATATTTATTTATTTCACCTAATTATAATAATACATACCGATTAGACCGTATATATTGTAGCGTAGGAAAAAAATAGTTTGATTATTACCTAATAAATTTCAATAATAAAGATCTTAGGGCATTTGACCGTACATAGAGTTAGCTATTTAAAAAAGAGTTTACGATTAAAATCAAATGATGAAAAATTTCATAGACTATAGAATTTGTGTGGCGCAATTTGTTTATAATTGTTTGTCATTTCTAATCCAATCACAGATAAGCAGCACCATCCGTCTTTAGCATCAATGTTTCGTCTTGTGTTTTAAATTCCTCCAATCGCAGGCCCGCGATTCTAAACGTTTTCGACATACGAGAGTTACGCCTACTCGTACTTACACGCAGGCAAACTTACAGCTTCAAGACATGTGAAACTGTTTTTTTGAAGTTATACTTCTTTAGGCGCGTTATGAAAAATTTATGAGAGTGAAATTTTACAATGCGTGCGCACCTGTGACACAAAATTAGGAGTGTGATTATAGCGTGTGCGAGCGAGATAGGAATAAGACAATCTACAAGTAAAAAGAAATAGAATATGCGTGAAGTTCGTATGCCAAGAATTTTGAATGACCATAATGACATTTGTCATTTACCTTTTAAACAAATAAAGGAGTTTTAATTATTTTTTCAAAGAAATTTAGCAATGCTTTTGAATTATATATAATCAGAAGTGATTTAAATTGAATATTTAAACCAATACTAATTAATATTTGTGAAAAACTGTGCTCATCAACCTTCCTAAGTGCTTCATTACAATTGAGGTTAACTATCAGTTTGTATTATTATTATCGAGTAATGTTTTGATTAAAAAAATTACCACATTGTTTAATCAAAACATGTAATTTTTCTCTAGCAAATATAAGGACAAGAGACAAAAAACAATTTATGAATCAGTGTAAGTGCACTAAATTGAATACAAAAAAAGAGTTGTCATCTTATCGCTGTGAAACATCAAAAACTGGAGGTGGAACAAAGCCAAACTATTTTTAATAATGCCAAAGAAGTATAACTTCTTACGCGCGTACATAAGTACACGCACTCTTTTTTTTTTCTTATGTTTTAAATTAAATCGATTTATTCAGAAGGCTGACGGCGAGATAGGCTGGTGGTGTGCGGTAGTTCGGCGCTCTGGAGTATCTTTGGTTCGAGAACTGGAGCCTTTGGAGCAAATGATGCTCGCCGATGACGTCACGGCTCTTCCTACAGGTACTGTTGACGTTGGTTTGTAATTCAAAAGAAACTAAGAGAAAGTAGATAAATATAATTTACGTATTGTAGAAGTTTCAAATTTGATGTTTTAAACAACTAAACTTTTATAAATGAATTAAACTATTATATTATTAGGTTTGCGTGTCATTCGTAATAATATTGTATAAAATACGCAAGCAAACTTACTATTTACTTTCGAGTCTCTAATCGAGTTAAGAAAATAATCTAATAACTTCGCGTTTTATTAAACAGGCTCTATATGCGACCTGTCCACGGACGCCCGTCGCGTGGTATGCGCAGGCGCACGCTGGGAGCGTCTAGTGAGTGCGTCGGGAGCGGCAGATCTCGAAAGGCGATTGTTCGCGTGTGCTGCGCCGCAACATCGTTTACTCCCCAGGCTATTACATTTGCTGACGGAGCATGACCCTACACCGGTATAGTATCTTCCGCCATATCATCATCATCATAGCTATAGGAGTAAATTTAGAATTGAGAAGAAGTTCGTCTTCCGCCATCCAAGTAGGTCCTAGGTATTGTTACTATGAAGTATCCTGTCATACTGGTCCAGACAATATAAATCGTATTGAAACGATACGCAATACGCACTAAAATATTTATAAAGTGTCCAAATTGTGTATATTACCGTCAATTGATTATGTAAAATGTGTTAAAATCCGTTGATATCGCGTGTTAATTGGATGCCAGCGACATCTCTTGAATAAAATTATAAAGAAAGTATTAACGTTATAAAGTTTTTTGTTGTTTTATTATATTATATATTTTGATTGTTACTAGTAGTAGTAATACCACCTGTATTTAAGATCATTTAAACTAAAACTTATTATGATAGTTATACCTTTAAGCTATATAGTGACGGTAAAAGTGTTGTCTGGGGTTCTATGAAAAAATATTTTATTATTATTACAATAGCTTCACTACATAGTATAAAACAAAGTCGCTTTCTCTGTCCCTATGTATGCTTAAATCTATAAAACTACGCAACGGATTTTGATGCGGTTTTTTTAATAGATAGAGTGATTGAAGAGGAAGGTTTATATATATTTAATAACATCCATCAAATAGTGGATAAATACTGTTATTTTTGAGGTTTCTAATGTGATGTCGTAAGTATTTAAACATTTTCCGCTTACATTGCAAACGCAGGCTGAAGCCTACGAGATTTATCAAAATAATGTACTAAGTATTGTACACATTGAAAATGTCTACAGAAAACTACGCGATGGTATATGTCTATCTCTCAAGGATATCCCACAATAACATTTTTTTGTCATTTACTTTTTACGACAAATAATGGCTAATTTTCGAAGCGATTTTAACCAATACAGCATTAATCCTTATCCAATTAAATACCTTAAATACATTGTTGATTTAATATAGATCTATATGACCCTTTACAGCATATGATTTAAATGAATATTTTCGAAGATATTACAAATTTACAAATTGCGGGACGCAGCGCGTCGAAGGCCGCGGCATAGCACTTTGAATTTAGTATCAGCATTGCATCCGTGCGAAGCCGAAGGGTCGCTAGTACCCAATAAATTCGAAAAATTTCAAGGTTTTAGGGCATTTGATCTTACATAAGAGTTTACTATTTTAAAAAGGGTTTACAGTTAAACACGAATTAATTACTGAATGTAAAAATAAGTTTTATAATTGTAAATTGTGTTTCATAAAGGGGCACGAGGCAGGTACGCACCCATATTAAGTGATTTCTCCGCCCATAACACTGAAGGCTCGCGAGAGAAGTGTCTTGCCTTTTTAGTAATTTGTTCGCTGTGTTCTTGAAGGACCCTAAAGTCGCTTCGGAAATACTTCGATGGGCAGTACAGTTGTGACAGAAAGTGCTGTTGTGGTCTGTGTCTGTTTCAGGAAATAAAATAGCTTAATTCTAATTTTTTAAATTGTTTTCAGAGTTTAACACCAGAACAGGCAAAGTTGACTTCGATCTTGGAGCCGATTAAAGATTTACAAAATGCTGTTCTGGAATTGAACGATGCGTTGAGATTAGATGTACCAGAAATTGATACATCCAAAAGTATGATTTATTTTTGATTTAACGAATAACGAGTGCCTGGGTTCCGATTGGGCTGATTAACTTCTAACTCGCTTAACATTTTGTCTTAATAATGTTTAACTAAACAGGCGCATATATGTTTGGCTACGCTTGATCCCGCGATGCAATATAAAATAAAAAAATAAATCAGTGGCGCTACAACCTCTTTAGGTCTTGGCCTCAGATTTCTGAATCTGTTTCATGGTTATTTTTAAATCTAATAGGCAAGTAGGTAATCAGACTCCAGTGCCTGACACACTTTTTGGGTCTAAGACGTGTCGGTTTCCTCACGATGTTTTCCTTCACCATTCGAGCAAATGTTAAATGCGCACATAGAAAGAAAGTCCATTGGTGCACAGCCGGGGATCGAACCCACGACCTCAGGGATGAGAGTCGCACGCTGAAGCTACTAGGCCAACACTGCTCTCCCTAGAATTAAACCTTGGTTTTTAATAGTTCTGTACTTACAATTTAAAAACTGTTCAATAAGTCTTAAAATATTGTATTTTCTTTTTGTTTGTATAATATGTGGAATTTGTATAAGCATATAAAATATAATTGATTTGTGCATTAAAACAAGGGTTTATTTCAGGCGACGACGAAGACACCAGCGAATATGATAATTTGTTTGCAAGTGATCTCGGTGTTGCCATTGTTACTGAAGCGATCCGACAAATGGCAGAAATGAGGTAGGATTTTATATATGTTTTGTATTTCAAATAGACTTATCTGACTTTCTTTATCTTCTATATTTGTATGACTTTCGTTGTCTGTATTTGTTTGTTTAAATGTATATTATATCATAGTTTATATAATTAATGGAGTAGTTGAATTAAATTAACTTTTTTCATAATTAGATTTATTTTATAATGTGTGTTTATATACCTGGTAACTCTTTAATTGCGCAGTATGAAAAGTAGACAATTTTGTCATTTCCTTGGGCGATTGTTTCCGCTTGTGTTCGACTTATAAATATCAAATCGAGGAAGATATTACAAATATTATTGTGAAGCTAGGCGACTTATTTGAGTTGTCTGTTTTATCTACAGTAAATTTTATGTATCATAAGGAGCAAATTCGGAAATTTAAGATTATATATTTCTAACTCAGGTGTCGCGTGGTACGAGGGGCTCTGGCAGCACTGGGTACAGTAATGGGTGCTGGAGGAGTACCAGGTGCTGGTCACTGCGCAGTTCATTGGCAGGCGTATAGGGCACTGTTATGGCTACACTCTGCTGTACTACAACAAACGTTAGTAATAATTAATACTTTATACCTAATAATAAAAGAAAAATGTGTAATTATAATAACACACGCCGGGGCAGTTTGCTTGATACAACGGGTCGGGTAACTAAATGTCCACCCCGCGACAGGGAAAACCATTTAAACATTGTCCTTATTTGCTCATAGATATGACAATGTAATAACGGCTCGCTTATCTGCTACCTTTAATGGTCCAGTGAATAGGGTATCTCGCTATTATAACTTAATTACAAATTGATGATAAAAACATTGATGTGTTCTACAACAGTCTACCGACTTACCGGAACTTTGTTTTTAGTTTTGTTTATTTCTGTTATTGTTATTTTTTTATCTTTTTAGTTTTAGTTATTACTATTAATTTTTAATTTTTAGTCATTATTATTTTTTTTGTGGTTGTTTGTTTAAATCTTTCCTTTGATAGATTTCATATGTTCTAATGTAATTGATGTGTATGTGTGTTAAATTCTTCTTATAGTTTTTTAGGCATACACATTGTTTTAGATTGTGTAAATAAAAATATTAAAGACTGTGCTATCGTACTCTTGAATGCTATGCTCTCATCTATAACTATATACTAAACATATAGGACAGCAGGAGGTACAGAAAGCTTCCGTCTTAAGCTAAGCGCTTTAGGCGGTGAAGCGATCGAGTGGAGCTCTGAGGCCTCGGGTGCGGTCGTCCACGTGTACGTGCACGGCGCGGGCGGCGAAAGGGCACGTGCACATCTAGCCACTGCGAGAGCACATACAGCTTGGCATCGCTCTTTACCGCTACTCGCGTACCATCTTGCACATCAACTGTATCCTTTCATTAAAAAACGTTCTTACTTATTTTTGTATATATTTTTAGAAATTTCAGAAAACAAACGCAACACATCAGAAATACCTATCATAGAACAATTTTATTCTTAAATCAATTAAATTTTTGGCTCGCTCGATATTTGTTTAGAAGAAACTAATTCATTTTTAGGTAAAGTGTCAAATTTTAACAGCTGTACATTCATAAATAGTATTTTTAAAATGACAATTACATATTAAATAGTGTTATAGATTTCTGAAGATGAAATCATAAATATTTTAAAACAATTCAAAATCAATCGGTAATGGATTATCTTTTTTATGGTTAATTGTATCTATAATATGTCATAAAAACTTTACCATAAGTATAAATATAATAATAAATAATCCTGAGCAACATACAGTTGGGCCGTAAGCGGAGGTTTTGAATTTGGTTGGTGGCTGGCTTCCATCAATCAGCCACGGCTTGTACAGAGCTACGTCAATATGCTGGAACCCTGGTGCGAGTGGAATGCTTGTTCCCGTTAGTATCTATATTATTTTTTAATTCAACTTGTCCTTACTAATCTCATACACTCACTCACCTGGTAACGAGAAAGTTCCAGCGCTCTCTGTCCTGTTCCACTTCCCCTAAATTGCTGGCTTTCAGCTGCAACATGTCCTCCTCCACTCTGCCGATCCAGCAGTACCTGGACCGACCTGTTGCTTTCCGATCGCTAGGCCGGCTTAAGTATACTTTGTTGCTTATTCTTACTATTCTGAAGTTTGATATTTTAGTTTGTGTGTAGACTTTTCTTATTAAACGCGATATGCATTTGTGACTTATGTATTTGAAGTTATACTTCTATAGGCGCGTTATGAAAAATTGATGAGAGTGAAATTTTACGATGCGCGCGCACTGTGACACAAAATTATCAGTATGAAGTTGCCCACTAACGAATTCTTTTTAAACCAGCCGGGTGCCCAGCGTGCGTGACGAAATGGGAATAAGACAATCTACAAGTAAAAAGAAATAGAATATGCGTGAAGTTAGCAGCTATGCCACGAATTTTGAATGACCATAATGACCTTTGTAGTACCTTTTAAACAAATAAAGGAGTTTTAATTATTTTTTTCAAAGAAATTTAGCAATGCTTTTTCACAAAGACCTATTGTTACTTAGTTAAAAGGTTATGAAACATACCTAGTTATTAAATTGAATGAATAATATAATAAAATAATAATAATAATTATTATTAATTAATAATTGAATAATATACTAAGTATTATTAACGTTAAATATTTAATATTTAAAAAAATAAAGAAAGCCAAAGAAGTATAACTTCTTACGCGCGTACATAAGTACACGCACCCTTTTTTTTAGTAGTGGTAGTAGTTTGTAGTGAAAACTTAATATGCAGTCTCGCTTTTAAAACTAAATGACTCTCTATTAGTAGTATATAGGTACATACAACTTTTATGTAATTTGTCAGAGGAACTAGTTTCTTTTTATTTCACCTATGTATTCATCAAAATCATGCAATGCTTATCTTATATATAAAATTCTCGTGTCACGATGTTAGTTACCATACTCCTCCGAAACGGCTTGTCGGATTTTTATCAAATTACTATCTATTTTTCGTTCCCCTAAGTGATAAGGGTTGTCCATCCCTAACATTTTATTTTTTGGACGAAATTAAAAAAATACATATAACCCTAAATTTTCACTCCTATCGCCAACCCTTATTTTTATTTGTTAATTTAAATCTTATGACTTGAACTCTGAGGTTTATATAGAGAAAAAGGTAGGCTAAGTAAAATCACATTAAGGAGAAACGAAGTTCGCGGGGGCAGCTAGTTAGTATATAAAAATTTACTTCTAGGAATATTTTTAATATAAATGTTCTTTACCTTAGGTCAATTCATCCTGGGTCTCTCGCTACTGGAGCTTGAAGACTCTGAAGGCGCATACACGGCGTTCTGTCGCGCGGCGAAAGGAGTTAGCACCGAGCCATTTCTACGTCAATTAGTGGCCGAACCACACGATAGACTGGCTTACCAACACGCCCTTGTGCTGTTTTGTATGAAAGTCAGTATCTTTTATATCCGTTCTCATTAGCCTGCATGAACACTACACGAAAAAATAATATTACATCAAATTAACGCCTACCATAGGCGGGCAAAGGTGTGGCTAAAATGTAATAAAAATACTTAATTCTCTTTATAATATTTAGATTGTGAAGGAAGATGAATTTATTATATTTAGAGTTGCCTGAAATAGATCGCTTAGTGGCGCGTTGTTTTTTTTTAATATTTTGTAAATAGTTTTTATATTGTCCAATAAAGTGTAAATAAATATTTAGAATAATCAACATTTAATTTATATTCGAAATTAAGGTAATTCATATTGTTTAAAGGTAATTAAATTGTTCGAGATTCACGACGCTGGCGCCTGTGTAGTTCGATTAGCAGAAACTGCAATATCAATTGCTGATAAGGACGATCCAAATCTGGTGAGTACAAATTTTATTAATGCAAATATTTCCAACGTCTACCAGTAAATGGAACGTGTCTCTAATGGGACTAGAATGGACCAATCACAATTACATGAAACACTTTATTGTTCTGTATTTTGTTTTATATTCTTACTACCAGAGTTTTACATTAGAAGTAATACCTCTCCCCTCCGGACCGCGGAAGCGCTTGGACGTGTCCACTGTGTTGAGTTTTGTGAGAAATTTAAATTTAAAATCTTAAATTAAAATACTAAATTGAACTATTTGGATTTTTGTGGTTTTGAACCCGTGCCTCTTCGTGGATAGGCTGTGTGGTGGGCGCTGTTGTTTGCCATTACACCAAACGGTTGAGTGCCGGCGAGTCGAAATTCTACATCACATTCGGCTAATGACGTAAGTAAGACTACGACGCTTGTGATTTGCTACGTTACTACATAGCTGTTATACCTGCTACGATCAACTGGTGCGATTGTCTATTGTTGCTTTGCGATATTGAACTCTGGGTTCATTGAAGATATGCCCAATATCCAACACTCACCCCCTCGTAACACTTCTGTGATGTCTTGTTCCCGATCGGAGTCTGATCTTTCGAAGTCTCCGATGACGAGTGCGGGCTGTATTGCCAAGGGTGACACCAATATAACAACGCGCTCCAAGCGACAACGAATGGAGACCTCTTCCCCGAATGCTCATTCTAGTTCCGAAAGTAGCGACTTAAGAGCGGATGTCCTGAAAATGCTTTCTGAATGGAGAGAGGATCAAGAACGAAACCTATGTGAATGGAAGTCCACTCTAAATGACACCTTAAACAAATTATTTTCTGAATTATCCAATATAAAAACTGAATTCCAGGAAATAAAGAAGTCTAACTCAGAAATAGAAAAAGGAATAGAATTTATAAACAAGCTACAGGAGGAGACCAATGGCAGAGTAAAGGAAATTGAAACTAACCAAAAAAATAATAAAAATGCCATAAAAAACTTAGAATCGCATATCCAGGATATACAGTTTCGTACAAGAGATGCATCTCTGGAGATCCGCAATATCCCGATTTCTGAAAATGAAAAGTTTGACAACTTACTCTCGACCCTTTCTGTCATCGGCAAAGCTGTGGATGTCGATATAAATAGGAGTGATGTACGTGACTTGTATCGGCTGCCGGGTAGACCGGGAGTATCAAGACCTGTTGTTGTTGAATTTACGAGTGTTAATGCTAAAAATGATTTATTGACTAAGCTGCGAAACTTTAACAAAGGAAGGCCGGTTTCTGAGAAGCTCAATACTCATACTATCGGGTTGCCAGGAATAAAGACTCCACTTTACATTGACGAACATCTAGGTCCATCTCAAAGAAAACTTATGTTTGAAACCCGTCAATTTGCCAAGAAACATAACTACTCGTGCTGGCATTCAAATGGAAGAATACTTTTGCGTAAGGATTCGACTGGTAGACCGATTTTAATCCAATCAGAAAAATGCTTATCTCAGCTGGCAAAGGAATCATGACTCATTGCATGTAACTGCTTTCTCATTAACCTATATTGCCAATTAACTGTATATTGTTATTTATTTCTATTGATTTACTTTAGTCTTGCTAGTAATAAAATTACCTTAGTCAATTTTTTCATGTTAAGTTCTCGTTTAGTCTATAATGTATTTTCGTTTGAATTTGTATTTGCTCTTGCACTTATTTTAACCTATACTCACACACTCACTGAAATTATACACCACTTACACTCAATATATACAAAGTGTACTCATAGAAAGAATGTAACTGTTAACAACAATCTCTGTCTGTCTTCGTGCCGTGTGTATGTGTATTGTGTTGGTCTCATTTGTGTGGCGTTGTCCCCGGGATTGTGGAATCCTCGTAGGGTTGTGCTGTACCGCGTGCCTTTTTGTCTTACCATAGTTGCGGACTCAATAAATAAAATTCGATAAAACTAATGCAATTATAAATGATATCGATAAACTTGATGTTGCACAATCTTCTCTTTGTGACATAGAGGACTGCCGGAGACTTATGAACTGCCCGAATAAGTGTCTAAAAATTATCCATCAAAACATTCGTAGTATAAATCGTAACTTCTCTGATTTTCAAACCTTATTGTTTAGATCCAGGACTGATTGGGACTTAATAATCTTAACGGAATGTTGGCTGCATAATAATCGTAACTTACCATCTCTTGAGGGATACAACTCTGCTCTAACCGAGAAAAACTTCACACAGAATGAAGGAGTTGTAGTATTTTACAAAGAACATTTGAAATTAGTTATATCCGAGCCTGACCTTTGTGATGCCAACTGTTTACTGATTAACCTTGAGGATAATGTAACACTAATTGCAGTATATAGACCACCTGGTTACAAAGATGTTCAACGGTTTTTGGTATCTCTTGACAAACTTCTTTCTGAGATTAGTAGTACTCATAAAGTTCTGATAGGTGATATCAATATTGATATATTGGATAACAATAAGGATGTTAATTCTTCAACGTATTTGAATATGTTGGCTTCTCATGGTTTATTGCCAGCCCACTTATTTCCAACTCATGGCAGGACTTGTCTTGACCATGTAATACTAAAATGTTCTTATCGCGTCTTCTGTTATGTTGCTGAAACCTCAGTCACGGATCACGACACTTTAATTCTGAAACTTGAACGTAGCACTATGACTGACAAATACTCTTCTCTGAAAAAGATTGATTACCCGTCTTTGGACGATGCTATGAAGAACTTAAACCTAAGCCTTGTATATAAAATGACTGATCCCAATGAGGCAACAGCATTTCTTCTGACTGCGCTTGACACTGTAATTAAGGCAAATACGAAAACTTTAACCATCCCAAATCGTAAAAGGATCAAGAGGCCTTGGATGACTGCAGGTCTACTAAGATGTGTAAAGCATCGTGACAAACTACATCAAAAATCAAGAAAAATCCTAGTAACGAAATATTAACGTTAACTTACAAGAGGTATAGAAATTTTTGCAACTCACTTTTAAAAAATATTAAAAATACTTATGAGAGAAACCGCCTACTTAAAGCTGCTAAGACTAATACAAAAGTTCTCTGGGACACTATCAAACAACTAACCTACTCCAACAATACAACTAGCACTGCACTTGAATTGGTCTCTCCACTGGACCCGATGGTCTCTGTCAACAACATTAATAAATATTTCGTTTCTATCGGGAAAGAGATTGCCGAAAAAGCATATTCTAGTAGCTCTTATAAAAAACCATCAATCAATCCTACACTGTCCTCATTCGTCATGCTACCTACTGATGTAGTTGAAGTTCAATCTCTTATCTTGCAACTGAAGAAGGACGGTGCTGCGGGTAGAGATAATATTTCTGGAGCCTTTCTCAAACGTTATCATGAAATCTTAGTCCCTCCACTTACATATATATTTAATTTGATTCTTTCTACGGGGATCTTTCCGGACCTATTCAAGCTAGCTGAAGTAATTCCGGTTTATAAAGGTGGTAATAGAGATTGTGTCGGTAACTACCGACCTATTTCTAAACTATCTACGCTATCCAAAATCATTGAGAAATTGATAAACAAACGCCTCATCGATTATTTAGAAAGTAATAACCTACTCTCCAGCTCACAGTTTGGATTCAGACCGGGTTCATCAACAAGCGACGCAGTTCATCAATTAACTGATCATATTGTTACAAAACTAGATAAGAAAAATAAAATTTTAGCTGTATTTTTGGACATTGCAAAAGCTTTTGACGCGGTCGCTGGTCCTATTCTGCTGGATAAATTGGAGGCTTTGGGTATTCGTGGTTTGCAGCTTAAACTATTTGATAGCTACTTGAGTGATAGACAGCAAAGAGTAAGGGTGGGCAACATTGTTAGTGACGATTTGCCGATACGCTATGGTGTGCCACAGGGTAGTGTTTTAGGTCCGACACTGTTTCTGGCATTTATCAATGATCTTTGTGACCTCCAGTTACAAAATGGTAAAATAATAACATTTGCAGATGATACTGCACTTGTGTTTCATGGTGATAGCTGGAAAGATACTGTCGACATTGCTCAAAGAGGATTCGACGTTGTTAACAAATGGCTCAGAATGAATGCCCTAACTATCAATGTCAATAAAACTAAATGTATACCGTTCTATATAAAAACTCCTGGTTCTAGTACTAACCTTGGTTTAACTGCTCATGTATGTTCTGATACTGATTCTTGTGACTGTCAAAAGATCTTTGTTGCCAACAATACTAAGTATCTAGGTGTCGTTGTTGATAACACGCTAAAGTTTAACTACCACATTGACCTGCTACTATCGCGAACTCGGAAACTTATCTTCACCTTTAAGAATCTCCGTAATATTGCTGAAAAATCGATAATTAAAATGGTTTATCAATCCCTCTGCCAATCCGTTTTAAGCTATTGTGTTACTGTCTGGGGAGGGGCTTGTAAAACTAATCTTATAAAACTGGAGAGGGCTCAGCGTGCGTTATTGAAAGTAAGTTATTCTAAACCATTTTTTTACCCTACCAAAGATCTATATCTTTTATCTGACGTGTTGAGTGTTCGTCAACTATTTATACTGAACACTGTGCTCAAACAACACTCCATAACTCGCTATGATCCTTCTTTGAATGACAACAAACGATGCAAATATAAAGTCTGCACCTCAGATACCCGTTGGTCCACAGCTTTCTCAAGAAGGTTTTTTGGTTTTATGGGCTGTCACCTATATAACAAGATAAACAGGTTGATCAACATATATCCGCTTACTAAATATGAGTGTAAAAAAGCCACAGTCAAATGGCTTAAAAATCTAGACTACGAGGGGACTGAGAAGTTGTTAGTAGTCCTCAGCTAATACCTAACACTAACACGTTATGTATACGAGTACATAGGTACACTATCACCCATGCTCATGTATGCTTCACTAAGACATATATACACTAAGTCATAAATTCACTAACACATACATACATTAACACTTACATACACTAAACCATACATGCACCATCACACACACCCACTTAAATGTGAGTATATTTGTAATATTTGTAATAGTCTCTCGATCAAATTGATGTACCTACTTAAATTCCATTCGGTCCGGATGCGGAGGGACTGGCAATCTGTAATACAGGTATCCTAGTACAGTCGCCAGTCTCTCACACAGATTTTGCCTGTTAATGCTGAAATTTGTATTTTGTGTCTGTATTTTTGTGTGAGAGAAAACAAATAAATATTTTTATTATTATTATTATAATATCGATATTCAATCAAGTTTAAAGAGAAAATTGCCTTAAATTTGAAACTATTGCAAAATACGATTAAAAAATTTTAGTTGGTTCGTTGTCGTACGTGCTATCAAGCTCAATTTAACTGTTTTATTTATTAATTAATATATATATATATATATATATTATTAAAAAAACGTTTAGAATAAAATAATATTTTTGTTGTTAATCATGCAAATAAATATTGTTATTACTTATTTAGCTTAGTTATGTTCGTTCATTTACAGGCGATGTTCCAATGGGTGGTATTTAAATGGCACCTCTCTGAAGGGCGCACAGAACGCGCGCTTTGCGCTGCTGCCGCTAATCCCGCTCCTCACGCTCGACAGGCAGCTGCCGCTATGCTACTCACTACGCTCGGTAAGTCCTATATCGATCCAAGAAAAAGATTTAAAATTCATTCTTTAAATATAAATTGCCAACAGTAAAATACTTATTTGAGGTTCCATGCCTGTAAACATTTGTAGCAACACCTACAATTACTGCGATGATATTTATATTTATTATTTCATTCCTAAGTTTCGTAAATGTTTGAACCTTTCTTGTATGTACTTATTATTATAAAACTTTAATATATAATGAGAAATAATAAATTAAACTTTTGGCTTAAAGAAACTATCAATTCTAGATTGCTTCCTTTCTTTCTACATACAGATCTTGGTAACACTGATAGGCTGTACAAATTTTGTTATTAACGTTGAATCTTCTCTCAAAATTAGGACCATTTTCTTCAAAAACTTTTATAGCATTCTCCAAATTTGCACAAGACAAGTGAATTCTCCTATGCCGGAAATCGAAACAAATGACGTATCCTTGAGGAATAGTGTAAAAAATTGTTCGACGTAACTTGAAACGACGTAAGTCGAGGACTGCCTGTACTATAGACTATAGAGTACTAAAAAAAGAAATACAAAAATATATACAACTTTTCAAGCTTAGTCACTGGGCCTGCGGGCCGATCAGACACGGGTTAGACTTGTCGAGGATCCTCCTTTAAGTCGGAGGAAAATCAGCACCTTCCTTTTCCAGACATTTGAGGGGCATCTCATTCGTATCTTCTCAAATTGAAATAATTACAGTTGCTAAACATATTCAATTTTCCTCCTGTGTACTAGTGGAAATATTTAATATATTTTTTATTAGCGGAGCGTAAGGAACTTGACGCGCTGGTTCGCTGTGCGGCGTTAGCGGGTGAAGCTGAACGTGCGGCGGCAGCTCGAGCCAAGCTACACGACGCTCACACGCACAACCCATACTATGACTTTCTCTACTCACTGTATCTGTCGAGAGGGCACTTTCGAAAAGGTATCAAAACGGCTATAGGATTTTTCTTTAACTTTATAATTTTTTTTTAATCACGGACAATATTTGATTTCCATGCATGTTTTATTGTATATTCCAGAATTGGTTAGTTCAAATTACTTGCATGTACATATATTCGTTTAATACAATAATTTTATTCAACTGATTAAAGTAACGTTCAATATATTATTGGAATTAATCAATATAAATTTCCACAGCGGCTGCTGTAATGTATGAAAGGGCTACCCGTTGCGCCAGCGAACGGGGCGGTACGGAGTTACGTCGTCGGTACATCGCGGCCGCTCTTACATGCTTGCGATTGGCCAGCCCTCAACACGCGTTCCTGGCACGGCCACATACGAAAGGACACAATGCTACGCCACAGGTATTCATGTTAATATAGTATTTTGAGAAATTTTTATAGTCTTTTAATATGTACAATTTCATACACTTCCACTTACGTCAAACGAGCGAAGTCATAAAAAAAAATAAAGCACATTTTGCCATTTAAAGATAGATGCCAGTATCTTGACTCTCAAACAATTAAAAGATATATCTATGATTAAGCAATTTTAGAACGAACGAGATTATCTTCCTCCTCAAATATGCTATGCTATTTGTACATTACGTTCGATTATTTTTAAAGATTTCTCCGAATATATAAAAACTTTGATTGGTTCATCCTTAAATTAAAGAACAAAACGTTCCATGTGTTGATTTTTTATACAAAATATTTGGCTTAGGTACCTTGTATGATATAAAATATCTGTTTCAGGTAATAGGCCCAGAAGAATTGGCGGCTGAACTACGCGAAGGTGACATAGAAGCGTTAGATCCAGTTCAACAGGCTTTAAAAAGTAGAATAAATTATACGTATATAGCTTTAAATTTACTGCATTTAAACAAACCTATTAACATTCCCGAAATTTTCTTTCAGAGTCAGAGCCCATAGATTTTGACACATTATACCCAAAATTAAAGGATGCCGATCGAGAGACATTGTTAGCAGTAACAAAGAGAACGATTAGCACGGGATACTTTCTACCACGTTGGTTTCTACAAAGATTTATGGTAAATATTGTCAATGTTTTTTTTATATATAGAATATGAATATAAAAAATAACTATTCAGTACTACCCTATGGGTCTCGACCACTGGCCTCAGATTACATGTTTCTTTGATCATATATGTTTAGTAGACAAGTGTTAGACAACCCCGTTTCCTCACGAATCACATTCACCATAGGTGCAAATTTTATTTGCGCTCATAGAAAACCTAAATTCGGAGTTAGACTTCAGAGTTCAGAGGTGAGAATCGCACGCTCTACCCCAACACTGCAGGATATCTCATTATACTAATATTATAATAATAATAATAAGCCTTTTACTTCCTGTTTTACAATAGTTGGTAGTTGTTATATTAAAGTAACCAAAAATATTGATTTTGTTAGTAGGTTAGCTTAAATTATGTTAGTAATATATATTTATATTATTTATTTAACAGGAACCCCGGTTTGGGTAAAGGCCTCCTCCAAAGATGCCCATTGTTGTCGGTCCTGTGCTATGGAGTGCCAGTTTTTGCCAGCTGATCTTTTCAGATCATCTTCCCAGCGGTCTAAGGGTCTCCCCTTCCGCCTCTTGCCTGGTGGTCCTTTCCATTCGGTGACTCGTTTGGTCCACTTTCTGTTAGACATTCTTGCCACATGGCCAGCCCAATGCCATTTCAGTTTTCGGGCAAAAGTTAAAGCGTTTGTAACTTTAGTGACGGCTCTTATCTTTGTGTGTCTTATTTTGTCCATTCTCTTTATGTTCAACATGCTTCGCTCTAAACCTCTTTGACATACATTGATTTTATTCACAGCTTGTGTAGAGAATTTCCAGGTCTGGCTTCCATAAGTTAAGCTGGGTAGTAGACATGAGTTCATAACTTTAGCTTTGAGAGTTATTGGTAAGTTACTCTTAAATATTTCTTTTAGGCTCCAATATTTATTCCGGGTTTGTTGGACCCTTCTCTCTATTTCTATAATGTTACTGTTTTCCTCGAAACTTATTCTTTTTCCCAGGTAGGTATAATTTTCTACATATTCTAAAGGGTTACCATTGATAGTTATAGGTCTTTTTCGTGTATTACTCATTATCTTTGTCTTCGTTAGATTCATCTCCAATCCAACTTCCGCACTCACCTGTTGTAGAGATTCTATCATGAATTGCATCTCGTTGACTGTCTCTGACAGAAGGATCAGGTCGTCAGCGAACCTCAGGTGACTTAGGTAGGTGCCTTTTATATAGAGTCCTGTTTTACTCCAATCTAATTTGTTCATGATGTTTTCGAGTATTGCTATGAAAATAGTGGGTGAGAGCGGGTCCCCTTGTCTTACCCCTCTTTCTATATGGAAGGCGGGGCCTAAAGTTTCTAGCTTTATTCTTCCTTTGTTGTTATTGTATATGCTTTTAATCACCTTTATGTATTTATCTGGCACCTCTTGTTCTTTTAAGCTTTCCCATATACTTATGTGTGTGACTGAATCGAAAGCTTTTTGATAATCAACAAAAGTTATGTAAAGAGGTCTCTGAAATTCTTGATATTTCTCCACAACTAACTCTATGGTGTGTATGTGGTCGATAGTAGAGTACCCTTTTCTGAAACCTGCCTGTTCTACAGGTTGTTTTGCCTCTATTATCGGGCTTAGTCTATTATATATAATGGATGCGAAAAGTTTGTATATATTTGGTAACAAACTGATTGGTCTGTAGTTGCTGATATTTTTTGGATCGCCTTTTTTATATATAAGAACGATATCTGCTTCAGACCATTCTATGGGCGTTTCAGAACTTAGAAGTATAGAATTAAACAGTTCAGTTAATGGTTCTGCCAAAAGTTGGTGACCATATTTTAGCGATTCATTTGTGATATTGTCAGATCCGGGACTTTTTTCGAATTTCAGCTTTTTTATTGAGTTTATTACTTCGGTTTTGTGAATTGGTTTTATAGAGTGGCAGTCTACAGTTTCTGTTACGATTTTGTAAGTTGTTCGTGTTTTGTCTCTGTAAAGTTTCTTGTAGAAATCAGTTGCTGTATTCACAATATCCGTTCGATTGTATAGGTCTTCATTAAGGGTTTTCAGTCCTTCTATCCAGGATTGGTTTGTTCTGAGTTCTTTGTACGCTGTCTTTGAGCTGCCGTGAAGCTCAAGGTGTTTCTCTATTATTTCTTGCCTATATTTTGCATAGTCTCTCTTGATATATCTATTAACCAGTTTGTACAGTGCGGAGAGTTCATTTTTCAATGAGCGTGTTTTATTTTTTGTTTGTTGTAGTTCTTGTCTTCTTTTTAATAATTTTAGAGTACGGTCTTGTAATATTTTATGTTTTTTATTATCTTCTGTATTATGTTTCGCAAGGATCAAACTTTGTTGGACATGGCCGTCTTTATTTTTACGTAGGAGGTCTGTACCGTTTTGTTCTCAAAGCTGATGGGTTGACCTGATGGCTCCAAGAGAAAGCTTGATAGGTTTTCTTTGTACTTTGTTATTTCATCCTTGTTTCTAAGTTGACTTGTTTTATTATTTGTAAAGTTGGTCCTATTTTTCTTCGGCGTTGTTAGCCTAATTTTACACCTTAGAGGACGGTGGTCTGATGCGTAGTTTAGGTTCAGAACTTCTATATTTTGAAACCATTTTGGGCGATTTGACAGTATATAGTCAATTTCGTTTTTATATTGACCGGCCGGAGAGCGCCATGTCCATCGCAAAGTCTATAAGTTTTTGCCCTCTATTGTTTCTTACTCCGTATCCGTAGTTCCTCATTATTGTGTGTTCGTCCATTTGTGGCTGTCCTATTTTGGCGTTAAAATCTCCCATTAGAATAAATTCTTCGTGTGCCATTTCCATGGCAGTATATATAGTTTTATAAAAACTGTTTATTTCCTCTTCATTAGCTTTTGTTGTTGGGGCGTAGACTTGTATTATAGTCAAATTTTTACCTGGTAGCTTCAAGTTCAGTAGAGCAACACGTTCCGAAATTCCAATATAGCTTTCTATATATTCTTTTAAACGTTTGTTTATTATGAAGCCCACTCCATATAGGCCCGGCGTTTGTCCAGTAAAGCAGAGAATGAATTTTTCATATTCATCTATTATATTTCCGAGGCGTCGGACTTCCGAAATACCAATTATATCGTATTTTATACCTTCTAGCGCTTTCTCTATCTATAATGTAAAAATGAATCGCAAAATGTGTTGGTAAGCGCATAACTCAACAACGCATGGACCAATTTGGCCAATTATTTTTTTATAATATTCCTTGAAGTACGAGGATGGTTCTTACGGAGAGAAAAATTAAAAAAAATTGAGTGAAAAAGTCTAAAAACAACACTTTTCTATATTCCCATACAAAATATTCGTAATAATACTTAAAAGTCAATTTGAACTTTAATACCATACCATAAAGTTCAAGTGTCAGTGGAGGGGTTCCGGGAAGGTAATATTTTATTTTTTGACATAATTTGCTGTCTTATCAACTTTCTTTTTTTATCTTACTAGCTAGACCGGTGTCCCGAATAGCAGAATAAGTATTTAAAAAAAATAAAGAATCGACTGTTAGGCGGTACGATGCTCGCCAGGCCAGCTAGTTTCTAATATATTTTCGTATGACGAAAGCGTTCCGACGTTGTAAGTTATTATATAAAGATGGTGATTTTCCTTCGTTAACTTTTTCATTGCTTGTTTTGTGATGATGATGATGTCCTTGGAGGGTTTAGGTCATAATCTTCCACGGTGACCAGCCGGGTTGGAAGATTAGTTGGGGGAGTGTGTTTATTATACTTTTGTTTCCGATCGCCGGTATATAATTGCTATTGCTGAGTTTTTGTTGGGAGTGTTGAATGCTCGTGAGATCGGCCTCTCATCACGTCGAATGCATTTATTCTGTTATTTCTAGACGAGCTCAGTGTTTACTGTTTTCTTGGTTGTAATTCTACTTGCGGAGAGTTTGATTTATCTCTCTTCCTCTTGTCTATGGCCCTTGAATTCTCTTTGACAATAAGTTTATCATACTTTATGAACGCTAAGTTTCCTTTCTGCCTTTCTTCCATTAGTTTGGGTTGCAAGGACTTCCGTATTTCCAAGGTTTCTTTTGAGTAGTCTTCTGTTATATATAACTCCTTTAATTTCTTTTTGTTCCTGATAATTTCTGCTCTTTTCAATCCACTAACTAAAGAAAGGAGGGTAGGCCTAGGTTTTCCATTATTATTTTTTATGCCAATACGGTAGATTTTATTTATTTCATAATTTTCTAAGGTTATACCTAGTTCACCCAAAAGACATTTTTTTATGCACTCGATTTATTACTATTTCGGATTATTATATTACTAATATTATATCTGATGTTTAATGTTTTATAAGGATGTGGATGGTCCTTGCTGTGTCCGCGCTCTTCTTAGTGGCGGGCGACTTGTGGAAGCAGGCGAAGCTTGCGTGGATGCAATGCGAGCTGCGCTTGTATCGTTGGGACCCACCCACCTTACTGCAGCACCATTAGCCCTAGCAGACTTGCTGACTGCGGAATTGCATGACCATTTACATCATGAACCTTCGAAACAGGTACATAATGAACATTTTTAGCTAGTTCATATTATAAAATATTTTATTTTGTGAAATATCATCTTGCAGGCAAGTCTTAGGTACTTTAGGCCAACAAGATGAAGTGACTTAATTATGGGGTGATATTGTTTTATCTTCCCAATGTTAACATATTATGTGAATACTCTCAAAATGGTATGAGGTTGGACATAACTTGTTTGTAGCTAATTATAATTATGTCATTTTGAAACTAGATCTTTTTTACAGATATATGAAGAATTACAGAAATTAGTTGAAGAATATAGTGAAGTCGTAGTTCGAACTTCAGATGATATGAAAAATATTCAAATAAAACATCCTATAGTAAACTGAATTAGTAAGAAATAAAAATGTTTCTTTTTTTAAACTTTATTTTCACTTATTTCCCAGCACAGTATAAAAAAATTGTAACAAAAAACCCAATGAAACACAGCCAGAGTCCAATAACATAGTTTTCCCCATATTACATTACATATAACAAAAAAATTATCACAATTACATAAATTAAATAACAAGTTAAAATGTCATGGATTTTTGTCAGTTGTTGAGCTGACATAATAAATGAATTACCTAAATATTATTTTTCTTAGACCATGATTATTTCTGATACTTGTTTAAGGTAAATTTAACAATATTAATTTTCCTCAAGTACTTGGTAACTGTAAATCTTTGGAATGTTATGCTTTAAATATCATTGTCATGTCTTAAACACACAAAATGCTTTGGTTTTGAATATGGAACTTATAATTACATTAATAATACCCACACAAAAAAGTTTTGTTCAACTTTCAGTTAATTTAAGGACCTACTATTCATTCATACTGCACAATTCTGAGTTGATTTATCTAGTTAATAAACCTCCTTTAAAACTATACAAAATGATGGAAGTAAGACCTTAAATCACATTTAATGTTTGTTAACCTTAACTCTCATAATAGTTAACACTAATCTTACAACTTTTTCATAAATAAGAAACATTAAAGCAGCAGTCATAACTGTTTGCATAATTTTTGCTTCCAGCCCCCTGAATATGATTTTTGGATTAGACTTGATATCTTTATACAGAGGTTTTAAACTAGTGCCAGCTCTTAACCTAGACTGGATAAGTTGAAGAGGATAAGTCAGTGTGGTGGCAATAGCCTTTGCTATGGCACCAATAATAAATGCACTATAGGTATTGAAACGATTCATTGCTATAAAGTTTCGTTTTAGAGATTCATACACCATAAATTGAATTGCAGGATTTGAAACCAAAAGTAAGGATGGCACAGTACCTGACCATAAACCTCTCAGCCCTTCTTTTTTAAATAACTCAATAAGACCACCTGAGAGACTTTTATAATTGTTCTTACCCAACTTTATTCGGGTGTTGACAACCCATAAAGGTGAAGTAAGCAAGACATTTAAACTACCTGCTATTATACCAAACAGTAAGTCTTTTATTGCTGTTGAACCAACAGAAGATCTCTTCAAAGCATGAAAGGTGTAAAAGTAAACAAAGTTGGAAACGGAGAGTGATTGTAAAACTGGATACAATCCACAATACAGAGATTCTAAACCTTCTTCTTTTGCAATCAGAACCAGAAGTTCCCAAGTAGATCCTCGCAGCTTAGTGGAATCTTCAACTGTAAAAAAGTATCATGATTTATTATTGAAATTGTTATTTATTGGTAATAAAACCCAAAAAATAAATTTACTTTGTTGTCTGGAACGCAATGTGTCCAAAGGGTAGAACGCAGCCATGCCCACAACGCTTCCCTATTAAACATGTAAGATTTATCAGTTAAATCGCGTACATCATAAAAAAATATTTTTCTATTGTGACTAACCGTTGCACCTGCCACTGCATGCACCAATGTTTCATAGCTAAACAGTAATGGTGACATAGTGAGGAAAATATACTTCGGTATAAAGTTCGAAATTTATAATTTAAAGTAAAATGATTTCTCTTATGCCCTGAATCATATCGCTCATCATACCCTAGTTTAATATGATTAGAATATTTATCTTGAACTTTGAACGTTATTTTTTATACTTGTCACAAAAACAACCGCAATTTATGCAGTAATTACATTATTTTAGCGACTAGCGCTACTATTTATTCAACACTAAGCTTAGCATTAGCAATAACTAATAAGCTCTAAAGGTATTTTTTAAATATTCCCTATGAAACACAGATACACATTACACTGGAATTCCGGGAAGTGGAATGTAGATATACGAATTATGAGGGTTTAAGACAAAATCACTTTTCCACAGGCGTGACCCACAAACGCCAAACGATTGTTATGTTCACGTCACGTGACAATTACAGAGAAACTTGAAGTGTTCTTGCCATAATATAAAAAGTGTCAACTTCTTTAATCAACTATGTTCTATGTTTACAAATTGTAAAATGTAATTACATGTTTTCCCTCTGCTAGTTGTTAGTATGGTATGGTAGTCTAATTTTAATAATTTTTGAAATTTAAACATTCAAAGATTCTCAAATTTTTGGACAATTATTAAAATGAGGGTCTTCTTAGCGGAGGATAATCTTTGTGCTCAAAATCTATTAAGAATAGTAGCTCATGGCAATGCTATTTTGGCAGAGATATTAAGACTTAAAGATCATATTCCGATGATGTATATGTATGTTAATTTATAATTTATTTATTTTATGTTTTGCCTACTTCGATTCTATGTTTGAGAGACATGTGTTCTATTATATATTTACTATATAAAAAGTAGAAAATACTCATATTTATTGATATAAATGAAATAATAATAAGTAAAACATATTTTAGGCATTACAAGTTTGGTATAATTTTTAAATACTTGTAATCCATATGTTTTTTCATGTTGTTTGTTAACAGGTTGGAAACTAAAGAAATTCAGCAGAGATATCAAGATGTTATTATGGATTTTAGTTATTTCAAACTATCTGACACATTAGAAGTGAAAATTTCCTCAAATCTTGTAAGAATTTAAGACTTTTAGCAACAATTAAAAAGGAACTTATTTAGAACTTATAAAATAATAATCTTTGCCATACCTTCCAGAAATTGCAAGATTTAGATGAAGACTTAAAAGAACAATACCTTGAACTTATTACAAGATTTTACTTATTATTTGAAAACATTTATACATTTATCATGGATTTGAATACTTTTGTGGAACAGTTACGTGATAGTGCTTTTATTCAGCAATCAATGGATACTATTTTGAGAGATGTTGAAGGAAAGCAACTACTGGTGAGCATTATATTAACTTTGTTGCATCATTTATTATTTATTTAAAAAATAATCTTTTTTACAGTGTGAATCTTTGTACCTTTATGGCGCAATGTTGTTATTATGTGATTTATACATTCCTGGTGCTGTGAGAGAGAGATTATTAGTAGCATTTTATCGTTATAGTACTAATCAATCCCAGTCTAATGTAGATGATGTTTGCAAGCTATTGAGAGATACAGGCTATAATCAATTACATGGGAGGAGGCCCTCTGATTATCCTGTGGAGTATTTCAGGTACTTGTGCAATTGATAATGTTAATTACGGTAGGCCTCAAAAAGGAAGGAATATCTATAAATATAAATTTCCAATAATTGTTGGTCTATAAACATTGTTTGGCTTTTGTGTAATCTTACTAATCTATCTCATAACAAGATTAATTGTATATGTAATAATTGTTACATTATTCTTAAAAAATGTCAACAATTTGCCTTTTTCTAGTCGAGTACCTGTCCATCCAGACTTTATTGAGAAAGTTGTGGGGAAGTTGAGGTCAGAGGATATTTATAACCAGCTTGCAGTTTACACTATTCCTGAACACCAGGCATCTGCACTTGCCCCTCAGGCATCCATGTTGGTAGTTTGTTTATTTTTTGCCCCACACTACCTGCATGCGGATACAACAAAAATGAGAGAAATTGTCGACAAGTTTTTCCCAAGCAATTGGATTGTCCCTATCTATATGGGAGTGACAATAAATGTTTTTGACTACTGGGATAATTTTAAGGCTGCTAAATCTAGTCTCAGCAATACTTGCAATAATAAAACCATTAAAGAATTATTTTCGAAGAGAGGTAGTTCTGTGCCTTTGCTCATAACTAAAACTCAACAACTTCTTAAAGAGGGAACATTAACTGATGAATTTGTCCTCGACAACACAAGCAAAATTTTAAATGTAATACTTAATTCTAATCATGTATTACGTCTCCTCTTATTACATACCACAGATGTTATATTTTTTGATAACAATAGAAAGAGTAAACAAATGCGAGAATTAGTCATAAAAGAAACAAATTATGACCCTTCGCAATTGTTAGAATTGCTTATTAGTACTGCAGAATTAGAGTTAAAAGTAAGAGAGTTCTTAAAGAAGTTACTCGACACAAGAAATGAAAGCTGGAACATAAACAAAAATATAGCACTAGAATCATTGAATAACTTATCAGAACTTTTTACTGGCAACAAATCATATACAAAAGTTGCTGAAAATGAACAATTAAAGATATGGTTTGATAATATTGCTAAACAACTTTCATCAATAAGTGACAACATAACTCCAAAATCCATTAAAAAGGTAACCAAATTAATTCAAGCCTTAGATGAAGTGGAGGAATTTCATGGTATAAAGACTACTGCTACAGTAGTTCAGCTACTAAATGAAACTAAAGATGCCCTAAAAAATATTCTAAGAATAGCAGCATTAAAAGAAGATTCTTTAGTCACTTTAGAGACAGTAGCAGATTTTAGCTATGCTTGGTGTACTATCGATCTCTATACGAAACATATGCAAGGTCGTATTAAAGAAAATCCAGCAGTAACCAGTCGATTAAGAGCATTGTTTTTAAAATTAGCTAGTGCTATGGAGATTCCTCTTCTACGAATTAACCAAGCAGAGAGTGAAGACTTGGTCTCTGTCTCTCAATATTACAGCAATGAACTGATCAAATACATTCAAAAGGTTTTACAGATTATCCCAGAAATGGTTTTCAGTTTAGTTGAAAAAATAATTGAGTTGCAAACATGGTCAATTAAGGAAGTGCCCACCAGAATTGATAAGGATAAATTAAAGGATTATGCACAGCTTGATCATAGAATGGAAGTAGCTAGACTGACTCATTCTGCCTCAACTTTTACTAGTGGTTGGTACACATTTCCTTTTTTCCTTAAGGCCCATTTAGATGGAGAGAGTTTCTCGTATAATCGCGACTATCACCAGCAATAATCGCCATAGCATTATCGTATCAAAATGTTTACATTCATTCAGAACTAAATTCTCGCCTACGATTATGTCATACGAGAATCGCCAGGGATTTATCGCTAGGCGATTTTTTTATATTCTTTCGATAATCGTACATTCGAGATGAGAAACTTTCTCCATCTAAATGGGCCTTTATAATAATATAATTGATCATGTTTGTTAATTGTTTCTTAATCAGGTATTTTGGATATGAGATCAACGTTGGTAGGGGTAATTCGAGTAGACCCTGCAGAATTACTAGAAGATGGTCTACTACGAGAGTTAGACAGGCATGTTAGAAGCAAGTTTGTTGAATATCTCGAACCACAACTTAAAAAACCTAATAATTTAGTCTCAAGGCTTCAAAAACTGGCAGAGAGTATGGAAGGTTACAAAAGGTCTTTGGAATACATCCAGGATTACATAAATATGCATGGTTTACGGATATGGCAAAAACAGGTCTTTAATCTTCTCAAGTTTAAAAGGTTTTAAATTGTTAAATACTCTAATAATGAAATTTTTTTGTAGGTTTCCACTCTTATCAATGAGAATGTCACAAAAGAGATAAGTGCTCGAAAGGGGGTGGCACTGTATGGTCCATCAGCGGGATTTATGGGGAGTCTTGCTAAGCAAATTGTACAACAAACTGATGCCAGGTCTGTCCTATAAAAATTATCTATAAACCATGTCTATATACATTGCTAATGATAGAAAATTTTTATGCCTTACAAACCAAACCTTTTACGAAGTGCTATGAAGGAACTAAATATATGACCGACTCTATACAATGTGTTTCATAGGTAATCACATTAATGATATGATAACGTACAAGAGCTCAACGATATTAAACGATTTTCAAAATTTCAATTTAATCTGTTAAGCCGTTTGGTCACAATAAAGTTTTTTTTTAATAAACAAAAAAAACATCATGTTGTTCGTAGTAAAAATACAATGGATAGTTCCCATTGATAATTTTTACGAGAGACGGTGCCGTTTTGTGTTACGCTATTGTGCGAACAGTAAGGGAATATCGGGTTATTACGGGCCGCCCCCGCGCACCCTTTTACTATTAGCTTCTACTACTTTATGTTTTCCTAGGATACCTAGGATTAGCTTCACCGCTGTCGTGTCGGCAAAATGCAGCTTTAGCTTTAAGAACTTGTAGCAAGGTATGCTACAAGTCGAGTGTGTCCGACTGATTCGAGAATTTTTATACGAGCTGTTCAACGGTTACGTTACAATGAGCCAATACGGCCTTGTCGGGGAGAGATTCCCTCACGGGCATTGGCACTCGAGGAGCAAATCTTGGACCCCTTGACCAGAAATCCCAGGTGCAGTCTCCGTAGGGCAGCTCGTCAGTTACACACAAACCTCACGTCTGTTCACAAAATATTAAAAAAGGCCAAATAGGCCACAGTAACCAAACACTATTATTTACGTTTTCTACATATTGTTATGATTTTTGCAATAAGTTGACCCAATTTCAACGTGTGATTAAACGTAAATGTATTTTATTTAATATGAAGTTAAATGTTCGCTAATCAAGCTAATACTGCAAATTCAAGGCAATTTTCATTCCTAGCATAAGGTGAAGCTATAGCTTTCTCGCTACATACATGTTTTCTGATTCTAATAATCACAAAAATTATGGGTTGCTAATTGCTATTATCACTGTAATCATTTTGATATCAATTACAATTAAAACACAATTTGATACGTCGATACACGGCACACATTGAGATTCATTTAAATATTCACACGACACTTTCGAACATCTAAAAAGTAAACAATAGTATCCTATTAATCTTAATTTATTATGATTTCAACACAAGTGAACTAGCGATTATATTAACGCCCCGGTATTCCTTTCATCCTACCGAACTAGCACATCAATGTGCATCGTTCTTCACCAATGTCTAGTACCGATGAATGAATTTGCAAGGGTGTTAAATTTCTCAACTTGTTTGTATGGTAAAATGGATTTCTTAATTATTAACGTTTTCCTTGTACTTTTACTTTAATATGCATATTGGCACTGATATCCTTTAAATAGAAAAATAAATGTGATTACGTTTAAAACACGTTATATATCTTGCATGTCCCTTGTTTTTTTTAAATATTTTCCAAAATTTAAAGCAAATTTTGTTAAATTTATTGTTTTAGACAGCACTTTCAGTAATTAATTTTCCATAACAATCAGCTTCAAACGTGAACCCAGAAAAGCCAATAAAAACCCAGTACTCTAATAAGGTGTACTTTATTATTTTGCAGATTGTGTACATATATAAATATATGTGCAGCATGGTTTGATGTCAAGACTAATACTGAAGTAATTAACAATAAAACATTTTCGAAACTAAATGACGCGATAGGAGTAGTTGGCCTACATGGTTTGGATACTTTATATGGTTACATGATAAAAAATCAACTTCAACATATTCAACAAATACTCCGAACAAGTCAAGATAAAATTATAATTAGTGATAAAAATATAGATCTGAAGGAAATAGAGCAAACTATTATGAAAAATCAAAAACATATACAACAACTAGCTGATGTATTACTTGCAGTAGGTGCACTGCAATTGCTAAGAAAACACATCGCTTACCAGTTGAATACAACCTGTAAATTTGATTCGGCTCATTTAGAAGCTTCACTTAGGACAATGAATGAGTATGTTTTTAAGATTATTAATTTTATTTGTATATAACTTTAAAATGAATATAAATATTTTTTATAGATGCTTGATACACGAAATTAAAACGTCTCAAAATCCTCAAGTGAATTGTAATTCACTGATTCAAGAGTTGGAAGAATATTTAGTAAGGTGTGGACTTACAGATCCTTACGAGAAGGCATATTTAAAAAGCCCACCTGAATTTAACAACATAGATTTGGGACAGATGTTGGCTATAATTGTAATAGCACAACTACCTAGACTCCATTTATGTGCTACCACAGGTAAGGTCCATCCAGATAATGTATAACAGAGACATTAGACATATTTAATTCACCTTTTTTATGCAGGTCCTATTCCTAAATATCTATTAGAAAGAAAACGCTTGTTTATTTTCAATTTTGTAAGGTTATACGACGGGTTGCACTCCGGGAGTGCCGGCAGAAGTGAAAACTTGAATATTAACGTTGTGCATTTTTGATATTTTGGACTGGTTAGGGAATAATTTTGCACGAATTGCTTTAATTATCAGTATAAAAGTACTATCATTTATGTGGTAGTATACAATATTTATTTATTGCGCTATCGTACTGCGTACACAAACATGACAATTTATATTACATTAAATACGCCGCGCCAGGTGTCTACTCTCCATCCGTCGTCAGTCTGACCAAATCTTTAATAATAAAGCTTTAGACGTTTCGCAAAATTAAACCTTGATGTATTGACTTAAGGTCCAATTCCACATGCATCAATGTGTATCTGAGGAAAGAGACAAATGAATTAAAACCGTAACCATATAGCACGAAGGTTCATAGTCCTTTAAAAAAACATCCGTCTTACAAATATGTCCTGACGCGAGTTTATAATTTTTTACCCATTCCAAAAAAGTGTACAACGCCGCTAAATAAGTTTTAACTTCAAATATCAACAGTTTTCTGTATGTTGCGGTTACCACTAATAAGAGTGATTTTTTTTAATTCAATGTGTGCAATTAACACTATTGTGCCTTGTACCGTGAAGGATACATTGTGAGAAACCATACCTTTGACTCAAAAAAATGACGACATGTGTCAGGACAGAAGGCATCCTACAATATAATTAATTAAAATATTTGAAAATTTTAGGCGATTTAATAACTAAAAAACTTGGAGAAAATATAGATGGATATCCATTGGTGATTGGTACATACACTCTGCTAAGGCAATCCAAATTAGAAAATGTGGATGTCTTTGTCAACTTTTTGTGTAAATATGCAAAGGTGTTGACCCTCAACAAGTAAGTTCATACATTAGCTTAAACTGTAATAATCTGGCTTAGTAAAAATCTGTGTTGAAGAAAACAATATTTACTACTTCATCTTTATTTTAGGATTAAGTCAGCAGAGTCTACTAGTGATGGTTTAATGTTAACAAGACTTTTACAAATCTTATGTGAAGCTTTTGGATATCCTTATGCAAAGTTAGAAGACAATCTGCCCCTAGGTTTCATGAATTATTCAGGGCATAAATAATTGTTATTGTTCTTATATGAGTCATATTTAATATGAAATATAATATATCACATATAATCTTAAAGAAAAAACTTATTAACCGGATTAAAGTTATGTATTATTATAAATTTACAATTATAATAATATATAAATTTACAAATACATAACTTTAATCCGGTTAAAAAGTTTTTTCTTTAAATGTGTAAAGGTTATGTCAATCAAAGACAATACTATGTGCAACATATAATCTTATTATTCAATCATACATAATATAAAATAAAGGACTAAATATTGAAATTATTTTTTTATTACTCTCTATACAGCTTGATTTACTTCGTTTCATTAATTCATTGCCCAATCGCCTGTGATTTCAAGGAGGAGGGGGGATGGTTTTAGGGTTCCGTAAAAAGAGTCCAAAAAGTGAGTAGAGGGAAAATCTGGCAAGCCCAGGGTCTTAAAATTCGAATCCATTTTCAAAGGCCTGTCTAAACGGTGGCATCTATGATCTAGTTACCGTTTAAGCGTTCGTAAGAGTGGGATTGGGTACTTTTGGGTCAAGATCTGCTTTACATCCTGGACACGACGCTAAACAAGACATTGAATTAGGGTGTTTTAACAAAAATGTAGAGAACTTTGAGCAATTGATAGGGGTAGTGAAAAAAATTCAATACGGCCGAAAGAAACTACAACTACAACTTTGGTATTTCTCGCGCAATCGAGCAGAAATTTTATTTCATTTATTAATTTACCAGTGCATTAATTCTGTAAGTACTCCAAAATTTGTTTCGACCTTTGGTTTCCATCTTCTATACATTCTGAAATTCACCTCTACAAGGAAACGGTGACAGGTGGATTATTTGTGGTAATGGAAACTGATTGGAACCTTGACCTCCTAGGCTACTATTAGAAGTGGTTGAAATTTATAGATTTCTAACAAAAAAAATGTCTCTATGGAGCCCCCTTTTCCACGGAAAACCTGATTTGACCCACTTGTGAGTCGGAGTGGTATAAAATGGTCAGTCATTTTCTGTCATTTGCGGCAGTAAAATTTGCCACTGTGTAAGTCGAGGTACGATGAAAGTTGCAAACAAAATATTTCCTATAATTTTCCTATGGGACAAGTATTCCATATTGAATATGTTATTTTTTGTTAGTGGTGGTTATTCCAAATGTCAATAGCTGACGATGCGCGATTCTCCGACAATTCACGACAGAAATTGTATGTATGTGTCGAATAGGTGTAAGTTGTATTTATGATGTTGTTTTATAAAAATAAATTTGAATATTACCCTGTCTGATTCATTTCTCGCTTCCTCTCAAGTGGCGAAGCCACCTTCAAACCCTAAATTATCGCGGTGAGCCCGCCAGATAGGTAGGTGTTAGAAAATCCGAGCTTCCTGAACCTCTGATCAGACCCATAGGGCTCCGTCTGTTGTTACCTTAAGTGTCTTGGTGGAGACATCCCATATTTATTTATATTTACTACTTAAGTTTTAAGGTACATCTGTAGGTGCTAGGGATCCGTAGGCTTGGTTCTTAGTTCTCTTATAGTTAATAGTTATAGTACCTAAGTTTTCTCATATATTAAGTTATCTAGTGCAGCCTGCTAATACATACACTACATAAACTATACAAATACTCCTCATTGTCACAGTAGACTGGCTAGCAGGCTGTACACATGCTATAACTATTAATGAATAAGGCAATTATTTAATTATTCATTATAAATATATAATTAATTTATAAAGATGAGATATAGAATGAAATAAGATATTTACAATAATTATAACTTAAAAAAAATAATAAATAAGGTTCATTTCGTCATAGTCGTAGAATAGTGATGGATCTGACAAATAGTAAACTTTACAGGGCAGCCATTTCAAAATAGTATAATAATGTTGGTTTTTGTCATAACTATTTTAATTCATATTCTGTTATTATGAAAATTGGTATACAAACAAACACAAGGGTTTGTTTGACACAAACAAAATAAAAATAATAACATTAAATTACACAGTTTTCTAGGAACATCACGTTTCTATCAAATCCGTCACTTTTCAGACTGATTTATTTGAAATTAAAAACAAATGGATTTTTTTGTAAAGTGAATTTTAGATTTTTTCAGATCCGACATTGTTCTACGATCATGACGATTTAATCCTTGAAATAACACTACTACTACACCTACATTTATAATTATATAAATTGTATATTTATACAAAATATACAGACATTAGGTAGGTACACATAGCAAACAACTAGCTTTTGTATAACAATAGGTGTGTGATACATATTATGTAAATAGTATTATTTCAAGGAATAAATGGGGCTTAATTAATATTATTATAGTTTTTGAAAGTACTTTATAGCTATCTCAGCTGTTATGCTGTCACTAAAAAACTATTTTTTTTTAAATTTGGTTTCCTTTTAGACCTGGTATAAAGTTTTCAATGGGTTTAAGTTCCATAAGGCCTTTTTTTAATAAATGATTTTCTAGAATCTGTAGACTGTCTCATATACCCTTTTATAAAGAAATAAGCTTTTCACCTCTTGAAAACAGATTTAATATTCATTCTAAAATAATAAGTTAAAATCAATGACTGTCTATTTGACCAACCAGGTTTTTGATTTTTAATTCATAAAAATATATGTATGTAAAGAAAACATAATATATTTTCCTATACAAACTCTTGTCTATATTGTATTTTATATAAACTCTTTTGTAATGTTGTCTTTACCGTCTGATCGACGATGTTTAATTTATGTCACGGGGGCCTCATAGCCTAGCGGTCTTATTAAGTGGCAGCTAGGTGAGGGGTACCGGGTTCGATTCCCGGTTCGAGGGCAAGTTTTAATTTAATTTAAATTTGTTCTCGGCCTTTGGGAGGGTTGTGCTTAAACCGTACATAGAGGACGCTGTCGAATTTCTAAAAGACAAAGCACGAATTATAAAAAATCCTATACTTGACGCTGGCTAATGCACAAATCGTGCCAGAGCCTTAAATAAATTTAAAAAAAAAATTATGTCACGTCAATACGTCATGGAAAAAGCGCGGGAAACGTTGGTCGTGGCGGGGGTGTTTTTTCTTGTGAAATTTAATTGAACTTGTATAAAAGATCAGTTTGTATATATTTGTATGTAGTAATTTAATTTAATAGTTTAGTTTATTCATTTGTGTATATATTCTACAGTATCTGGTAAGTTTGTATACTTTTTCCTCAAGGCCTGGAGTCAGGCGAAAAAATGGACGAGCCCCCGGACATCGGGGTTAGCTTGTAATATTATAATAGAAAATAGATTTTCTAAACTGGACGAGTCCAGTGTAGATACAGATGTGGATCAACGGAATGACCGAAAAAGAATGCGACTAGGTAAAATTTGCAAACACTGCAACAAAAGGAAAAAAAGATTCGATTCGACGCGTCGGAACAAACAAAAGGACACTGATTGTTCGTGCCAAATACCGGAAATTGAAATTCCCTCAATATATACTGGGCTTAAGAACGCTAATGCTCTAGATAGTTTTCAGAACAAAGTAGACCGTGTAGATAATACAACTGTTAATACCCAACAGTACCCATCACCTCCATCAGACGTTTCTCAGTCCATAAAAAAACCTATAGGCCGAACGTTTTATGAGGCCTATGACAAAGGGCCATTCGTAGTTCATGCGCAAAAAGTTTCTTCAGATACGGACATCTCCTCCCTACACCCCGTCCAATTTGGGTATTTCCTCAAGAAAAATTCTTTTAAAAACATAATTAATGGTAGCATCAAAAGAATAGGCAAAAGAATTTCCCTATCATTCTCAGACCACAAATGTGCAAACGAATTTATTAATAACCCTTGCCTGGCAAGAAATAATTACAAAGTTTTTATTCCCTCATTTAATGTGACCCGAATGGGCCTGGTGCAAGGCGTTCCCGCGGAATGGTCTCCCGAAGAGATATTAGACAACATCTCTCTGCCTGTAGGCAGCGGAGGAATTATAAAAATTAGACGACTAAATTATAAAGTACGTACAAGTCGTCGGAAATATCTGCGAACCTGGCTTAATGACGTCATACAAACTGGAGAGATAGCAAAAAAATTGAAGATGTAAAAATAAAAAATATTTTATTTGTGTACTTATTTTTATTGATACTCGTACCTACCCATCTTACATACAGCACTAAATAGGTAGTTTATGTAATATTTCACCAAACAGAGAAACAATAAACACTAAAATGCGATTACGAAAGCAAGAATAATACACGTGCGGCATCGGCGATTGCGTTGGCAACGGTACTGGATAGGCGAAAACGGGGCGGGGTGCGGGGGCGCCAGGGGAAGCGCATTCCAGCGAGGTTCGCAGATATTTCCGACGGCTTGTAACAGCAGCCCTCCTGAGTGGAAGCCATCACAGACTATTGTAATAACTTTCGATGGTCAAACCCTACCTAAACATGTATTTGTCTGCTACAATGCCCTGCCCGTGGAACTTTACGCATACCCCACTATTCAGTGCTATTCTTGTTGCCGATTTGGTCATACTAAGTCTAATTGTAACTCTCGGCCCCGCTGTTACAAGTGTGGCCAAGGCCATACTGGGGACACATGCAACATACAAGATGATGCCGCGTCTTGCTGTCTATGTTCTGGTCTACACTTTGCTACAAACAGAAAGTGTCCAGAATATGAACGGCAGACTAAAATTAAATTGTATATGGCTCAGAAATGTGTATCTTACGCAGAAGCAAATAAAGTGTATGATCCAGTTTCAAAATCTTTTGCTGATATAGTTAAGTTTTCAAACATCCAGGATTTCCTCTCCCTCGATTCCGTCGTATAGTAGATCTTATAAGAAAACAATATTTGCTAAACCAACATCCCCCAAACTAAAACGACGGGTATAACAAAACAGAACACATCAATTTGATAAAGGACTACGACGCTCCAGCTCCTTCTAACGGGGTCGCTTTAATAAACAGTAACCTTAACAATAATGAAAGAATGTTCTCAATCTCTGATATAATGCAAC